TAGCCTTGTATATAACTAGACGTGTTCGACTTGGCTTGGTGGCAACAAAGGAAAAAATAAGAGAGTGGCTCAGGAAGCAGAAATACTTATACCTTTCTGACTTACATGCTGACAGCTTAGATCAACTGTCAGACGCTTGGACAAATACCTCTTGTGACAAAAAACTACAATGGGGCTACAGTAAGAAATAATAGTATTCAGGTACGCTACGAAGACTATCCGGCATGTTTGCCTGGCTAGGGAACAGAAGCAAAGACCAGACACCGAGTACAGACGCCGGAGAGGCGGATACCTTTTTTCTGTCTCCTTTGTTAGCGTGTCCAAATTAAGGTAGCAGTTCTTACTCATGCCCATACAGCCTCATGCTTGGCAAAGATGGGCTACTGAGTACGGATCCGTAGTATGAAAAAAACATTTTAATCTGGTTGATACAGTCAGGTGGTCTTGTAAGTCGGGAATTATAGGAGTTTAGCGATATGAGAAATGGGGCGTTCCGGTACATTTTCGGACGGAAGACGGCTTCATCTTAGCGGCTGTCGGCGACATTCAGGGCCCCTCTATTCCTTCGGCGGGCTGCATGTAACTACCTACATACCCCAATTTTTATCATTAAGAATTGCTTCAGCATTTATTGGACAGGCGAAAGGAAGAAACGAACCCGTGGAGATTATAGTCACTGAGCTCCATAGTTTATAGCCTAAAGCTTAGAGACGCTTTAAAAAAATTTCCATTGATAAATTTTTGAAAGAAAGAACTTGAGAAGTATGTTGCTTGTTAGAGGGAACTTGGAATATGCTAACTCGGGCGGATTCTTTCTTAATTGTCAGAATGCTCTTACGGGTCTAGCGCATGGCCTTTAATTTCAGATGAAATTTCAGATGACTCAGACTCACAAAAAATACGAACATCGGAATCGTGGGGAACTGAATGACCCGACCTATGCCCCGCTTCCCACTTGACTTTACTTAACCTGTGCAGGGGCAGTTTGTGTAAGAGATTTAACATAACCTAACCTGTGTAAAAGTTTAGTAAACCTGTGGAATAAAGTTTACCTAACCTATGGACTAACTTAGCCATTTATAATTTAATTAATTAATATTTATTAAGTATTTATTCTTTTATAAACCAATTTAATTATTTATAAAACCTTTATTTATTTATATATTTAGTTTTAAAACTTTATTTTTTTTTTTAATACTTTAATCCGTAATTTACGATTATAATATAAATTACTTATTAACATTACTTAATTAATTAATACTTATTAAATACTTATTAAATATTTATTAAATATTTATTTTACCGATATTATTTTAGTTTTTTACAACAGTTATTATAATATTTATTAAATATTTAATAAATATTTTATAATGATTTATAATTAAATTATTATTTATTATTAAATACAAAAAACAACGCCATAATTATTGTACAACAATTACGTTTTATATATTATGTAATATTTATATAAATAAATATACTTTATAAAAATTTATTAAATAGTAAAGGTCCATAAATTAGGTAAACTTTATTCCACAGGTTTACTAAACTTTTATATAGGTCAGGTCATATCAGATCTCTTATACAAACTGCCCCTGCATAGGTAGGGTAGGGAGCGGGGCATAGGTCGGGTCACTCATGCTCCCCGGAATCGTGGGACATGTTCCTCTTCCTCCTTTCATGCACGCGACGCACAAAAATGAGGTTGTAAATCTCCAACGCGATTTGTCATTTTTAAGTACGTACACCCTTTAGAATTGCATTGGATCTTGAATTTTAGCGTGGAATATAGCGCATTCCACCTACGTACAATGTAATTGAGATCCAATTATTTTGCGTTGTTGCAGATCGCTTACATACTTGTCGACTGGTAGGTATCAACACAGCGAGGTCTTTTATGAAGTATGCTATGCACTTTGCAACTGCTTAAAGTATATCAACAGAAACGAACATCCAACTTCCAATTGCACGTGCTGGTCTACAAAGTTTGCGCCAGTGAGTTTAGTTTAGAGGTTTGAGAGTTGCTTCCAAACTGAAAGGCTTGAACTACAGTTCAATGGCGTCTCGCACATATTCCTCTGACAAGGACTGGCAAGTCCTTAGTTGTGCGTTGTGCGGGCGTACCTATAGAAGGTTAGGGATGCCCATGTTGGGTTTCTAGGTATTTGCATTGTGAGATTCATTATGTATAGACCCGTAGCTAAGTTCTATTAAAAAAGAAGCTATATTGAAGGTATAATGAATACTTCACTTAGGTAAGTTAAATTGCTAGAATAATTAGCTATATGTGTCTGTTTTGATACCTAGGCCTTAGTTTATAAAGTGTCTGTTGGTAATGTAGATAGCAAAGATAGATTGCCAACCTAAATGCTTATTTCTATTCTTAATTGTAAAATGTGGCTGATTACATGCATGTAGGTTGATGTTTAAAACCTTAATGTGAGGCATGTAAATAAGGTAGGTACGGGACCATCTATTTTCAGATATTGAACCTGGACGCCAACGTCATATAGCGTAGATCGGAATTCCTTAGCAATGACGCCGTTAGGTACATGGGTCTGGAAATAAATAGAGATTTGGAAGAGAATTCAATGCCCCGCACACCCCGCGTCCAGCCGTTTTACATAGGTACCTAAGGTACATAAGGTTTGTATGTAGTACAGAATACAAAAGACAGAAGTTTATTTTTTATAAAGTTCATAATATCTTTGACATAAAAGATGCTTAAAGTTAATGTAATACATAAGAAATTAATGGAGCAAGAGCCCTGTAGACTCAAGTCGGATAGTGGTGTCAGGCACCAACGGCTACTGTGACTTGTAAGCTTTCAGTAGACTTTTAGTAGTCCCGTAACGCACAGCGCCGCACAAAATTTTAGGCAAAGCTAGAAATACCTCGCTTTTTTATTTTATGCCCAATCTCCACCAGATTCCCATCAAGTCAACTTTTCCACTCCTCACCTATCCTTTCTTTCGCTCATATCTTCTTCCTCAATAACCTCTATTACAATCGCCAACCCACGCTTTCTTTTTTCCTCCGAATTTCTTAGATCTTCTTAGAAGTAGATCAACGTTAACCCATTCACGATGCCTCCTAAGAAGCAGTGGGGTAAGTTGATATCTCCTTATATTATATTTACACGGAAAAAGGGCTCCCCCTCGAAGTTGCCACATCGGCAAGTTGTATCACCACATGGCATCTGCGATGAGGCGCATTATAATCTTCTGGATCTATGGAGAAGCGACGTCTGATAGGACATGGTGGACCTTTACCGCGTCTATTCTTCCCCGTCCATTGGACTGCCTCGACATCTATTGATGCGACACATGCGCACCTGCAACCGCCATTCTAAACCAACCCGGCTGATCTTGGCTGATCACTCTTTTGCATATAGATGACGAGGACGATGAGTCCAGTACTCCTCCAACCTCCCCCCTTGTCGGCGGTGTCCGTCGCAGCAAGTTCGATGATGAAGAGGGCGACGATAGTGATGTAAGTCGGGATTACTAATCTACTGGCTTGGTTGATCCTATCATACTAATCTACCACTTCCAGGTCCTTGAATCGTGGGATGCTGCTGAAGATTCAGAGGCCGAGCGCGAGAAGGCCAAGAAGGCAGCTGAGGCCAAGGCCAAGGCTGATGCCGAAGCTGCCGCTAACAAGAAGTCTAAGGCCCAACGTATCGCCGAGCACAAGGCTGAGCGTGCCCGCCGCCTAGCTGAAGGCTCCGATGTATCCGAAGATGAGGACGAAGCCGAGCGACGCGAACGAATACGCCGCACCGAGAAGGAATCCGATCTGAAGCACGCCGAGGATCTTTTTGGCGATGCTGGTATCAGTCTTAGCAACGGGCGCAAGGCTACTACTGTTGGCTCTGCCGTACCTGTTGATCCTCAAGACCCTACCAAGACCGTCGATCTCAGTACTCTACCTCTTTTCAACCCCCAGACTAAGACACAATTCGAGACCCTGCGCAATACGTTAGTCCCGATCTTAGCCGGGAATCACAAGAAGGCACATTACGGCTTGTTCCTCCAGGAATTTGCTAAGCAACTTGCCAAGGACCTGCCTAGCGACCAGATCAAGAAGGTTGCCAGCACCCTCACTACTCTTAGCAATGAGAAGATGAAGGAAGAGAAGGCAGCTGAGAAGGGCGGCAAGAAGACAAAGGCACAGAAGACCAAGACCACACTGGTGACCGGCAGGGCCAACACTACAGATGTCGGTACCTACGAAGAGGACTTCGGAGAGTGAGTTGTCATGATGCTTCATACGTATTCCTTGTAACTAACGGTCTACCTAGTGACGACTTTATGTGAAGAACGCGAAGGAGATCCAAATATCGTGGCCTTTGTCACGGTACCTTTACATACCTTCGCATGGGCTGCCCCCTTCCACAGGCCTGCCGTGGTGGACATTTGGAGCTATATCCCCTGCATGCAACAATGGGCATTTTGAATTTCTAATATAGGTTGCCGAATACCAGTTGCCCTCTCCCCCTACTTTACCCTCCACTTCCCCCTTACCCCTCGAGCGCCCCGAGCCGAGGTTTAATTCGAGATAAGCCGCCATGGTGATGATTGGTGACGATGTATGAACTAGCCTATGGAAACTGGTGGACATGCGACGATCAATCCGCAGCCACGTTGGGCCTGGCCAGGTTGAGGTTATACTGACTTGGCTATGGGGGACTCTAACCTGCATTTGCGTTGTGCCAATGGACCGAGTCGAGCCGAGTTATGCTGTGGGCTCTGGTGACGAGGCTGGTGGTTTGGTTGGTTGATCGGTTGGCCGGCTGGCTTAGAGTGTTGTGTGGCCTCGAGACGAGAATGCAGATAAATGAGGCTTACGTACCAATGGTTAATTCAAATTTGCGGAAATTTGCACCAACGCGATACCTTCTTCATAACTCATACGTGAATATCCTGCTTCCGTATAAGCTCATTCCTTTAAATTAATAGCAAAGTCCTTTACACGTATATAGATGCTGCTTTTTATATTTACTTCTACTACTTAAGTGGGGTATTTCCGACTCTCAAGGACGATCCAAACAAGAATGGGATCCGCGGATAAAGCCGTAACTACTCCAGACGCCAGACGCCATGATAACTCCATACCTGCGTAGGTAGATAAATGATATGCCCTAACCCTCCGAATATAAGTCATACGCGAACCCCCATTTTCCCCTATCTTCCCATACATACATATTCCCGTTTGTCACATAATCCATTTCATAGCCGTTTTATGTACATAGGGGTAAAGGAGAGAGAGAAGAGGAGCTATCCCGGCGTCTTATTTATATGACGTTTCCGGCCATGCCCATGAAGAGGGCGTGAACGGCGAGACTTAGGGTCCAGAAGCCGACCTTCTTGAGGCGGCGGACGCGGCTCTGCTGGTCCTCGACGTCGCGGGCGAAGGCGGTATACATCTCGGCGGAGGCATCATCCATGAGCCCGCAGTCGTAGATAGTCCAGGCACCATCGAAGTCGGAGACACGCTTGACAATACGGCAGTTGATGGGGATGTACGTGCGCTTCGCGTTGATGTATGCCACGATGGGCCGCACTAGCGCTTGGTTTACGTACGATAGGTTGGACGTGAAGACGGGGACGGTGGCCTTCACGTCGTTTAAGTGGATACGTAGATCTATGACAACGTATCGCGGGGGTTCTTCGTCGGAAGCCGACGAGGTTAATGGGGTAGATTGCGTTTGGGTTGGGCTACTGTTAGGTGGGGGGCTAATAGGTGTGGTAGTACCATTAACCTCGTTTGCTTCCTCGTTAGAATGTAAGTGACTCGGGGCGTTAAAAATAACCTCTTCCTGTCGACGGGGCTTGTCAAGATCAAGAATGCGAATGTAGCGGTTTGACGTAACTGCTTCCTCGAGGCGGTCGTAAAATTCAGACATCACTTTTGTGATGCCGTCGTCGTCATCGGCTGGGAATCTTATGTCGGCAACAATATCAACATTGCCTTCGTAAATCCATCCAAAAGGACCTTCGACTCCCCGGTTGAGATGATCAATCTTCAGTCCGTCTATCCGGATGCGGCTATACTTTTTCCAGACATCTGGCTCCCCTAATGGATCGGATGACATGTGCTCGCGGCCAGCAGGAACGCCGTGGATCTGGCGAGGATGTATCGTAAAGAGCGAGCCATCATATGATCCAGACATATGGGTGGCGGCTAAAAAGTCGTAAAACAAGAACTGTTTCCTCAACTGAGGAAGTTCGCAGGAGTAGATACTCACAGGGAAAGGTCGAAACCCGCCCGGTTGGTGAATAGTGAGGAGTAAGTCCTCTAGTTTGAATGAGTCGATTTCAAAATCGCCAGGATTGTGCTCATGGCGGTATGATAAGGGATCAGCAGGCTCGTCGGACCACCTCACTGAGGTCCTATCCACAACTCCTCGAACACCTTTGATCTCAACATCTTTAAGTAGACCCCTACCATTCCACCACTTGACGAACGAGAGCGTGACATTAACGGCGTTTAACGTAAGGTCAAATTGCGTATAGTTGCCATCATCCACCTCAACGGGAGCGGGGGCCTCCTTATCGGTTCCTCTTTCAGCAGCGGCAACTGCAGCAGCATTGGATGATGATCCCTTGCTAACAGATGACTTGACTTGGCCTGGCCTTCGGGAGACGAATACATTCCTGAAGGAGATGACACCGTCCTTCCACCTAGGAACGATGGCAGACTCGAAAACCACAGTTACACCAGCAGACTCGGTCAAATAATCGCCAACCCATTTTGCCAAAGTTTCTAGAATGCATTAGTTGGGTCGCAGCATCTCTGAGAGGATCATGTTCTTACCTTGCGCAAAAACAGTGTTAATAAAGAGTATACCCAGCGAGAAGAAAGTTGTTGTGCCGACTAGAATCCAGACTAGATGACCAAACAGAAACCAGGACACAAATGCACCCCATTCATCTATATTCCACGGTCTCATGCTTCTGATAGAGAACCACTTAAAACGAACCTTCAACCGTTCCCAAAAGCCATTGGCGGCAGCTAAAAACTCCTCTTTCGTGGGTCGATGTGGTAGGTGCGGCATTGTAGGTAGATGAAAATATTTGGACACAGGCGCAGACGTAGACTCCGCTTCGGGTAGACCTGCGTCGGGCTTTGTGTTAGGCTTCGCACTCAAAGCGGATTGCGACGAAGGTCCATTCTTCTGCTGAGAGACCGCCGAGCTTCCACTGTCGGTGTTAGACTTGGATGTTTTCGTTCTTCGATGGACCCTTACCACTCTTCTCCGAGTAGTGGTATGTATGTCTCTAACCCATGCCTGTCTTGCCAACCTGCCAATGTTCACCGTTTGACCCGCGCTCCCGAGGATAACAGAGTCCGCAGCTACCGAACATTTTACAGTAACGGCAGAAGTTGTCGAACACGGTGATGCGAGTCCGATCAAGAGCAGCCCACTAGAGGTAAAGCTGCGACGAACATTATTGCCGCAATACTTTGGAACCCGCGGAAAAGACCACGGAGGCTTCGACAACCGCGGAGTCGCTATGGAGGAAAACGAGGTACTTTGATGCGGTCCAAGACGGTTGATTGGGTTTTGCCTCGGCGACACTTTTGAACTGAATGTGTCGACTAATTCGTAAAGTGATCGCCAGGCCTGACGCCCTTGGCCTAGGATTGAAGACCTAGCTGCTGATGACATTGTGGAGGTTCATGATGAGGGCATCATTTTAAGACTTCGAACCGAAACAAGAGATCAACCATAAGTGACGAAAGCAGCAACAAAACAGAACTGTGATCTATGAGTCTAACGTATATAAAAAAAAAGACAATCCAGCCCAAGGTCACCCTTCTGCTTTTTTTCTTAACGACCAACAGCTCGAGGAGTAAGACGCAAGGCACGAAGGCATAGGGTATGAAAAGGCATGAATTCCAATCCAAGAATTTGCTTGGCTTCAAGTTTGAAAAAAAAGTCGTCATTAGTACATCAGTACACTATAACCGGACATAACGGGCTAACGGTTATAACTGATAACGTTACCTGCGATTGAATCGTATGCTAAGATAGCCGTAGCCGTTCATTCCATCCCGAAAACGCCACTGCCATATTCCTTTGCTCCACTAACCCATCTAAGTTTAGGAGGTACCTAAGGTATATCGGCTAGCCGTCAAGGTACCTTGATACCTAATGCAAGGTATGCGATAAGGTTGGTCTTATCGATAAAGAAAATAGCCCACCAAATATGGACCATGGTTTTTTTCCAGTGCAACACCAGAAAACCATCGCTAAAGTCCCAAAAGAGAACCGAAATACAAACCTCGCAATCGGAGCCATAAGCAACCTACGAACCTCAATCCCGCGCCCAACTACAAGCCATCCACGAAGCGCCTCAACAAAATTCGTCACTATGCCTGCCCCGACAGCCCTGCTCAAGCAGGTAGACGATACCCCCCCATCCAACCTCCCTCTTCCCGAGCCGGACCAAGATGAGGACTTCACATTAGAAGGCATGAACGAGCTGCCCGAAGACGCCAACGCAATCCTCCAACCAGTACGGAGAACGGGAGAAGATGGTATGGAGATCGACGAGGAGGACAAGCCGCACTTTGCGCCTGTACAAAACACAGTATGTTTCGTCCCCGTCTCCGCCTTCGCCTTCAACAGACATGCCATTCATCTAACAGCACCGCCCAGGACCCCGCAACACACATCCAAACGCGCAAAGTCGGCATCCCGCCGCACCGGTTCACGCCTCTCAAGAGCGCCTGGCCCAAGATCTACCCGCCGCTCGTCGAACACCTCAAGCTGCAGGTGCGCATGAACGTTAAGCACAAGCGAGTCGAGCTGCGCACTTCGCGCCACACGACAGACGCAGGTGCGCTACAGAAAGGCGAGGACTTTGTGCGCGCCTTTGCGCTGGGCTTCGACGTCGACGATGCTATTGCCCTTCTCCGTCTCGACGACCTCTACATCGAGACCTTCGAGGTCAAGGACGTCAAGACCCTTAATGGCGACCATCTGGCTCGCGCTATCGGGCGTATCGCGGGTAAGGATGGCAAGACTAAGTTCGCTATTGAGAATGCGTCCCGCACGAGAGTCGTGCTGGCTGATTCCAAGATCCACATTCTAGGAGGTAAGTTTGAAATCAGGGAGCCTTGAGCTGCTACTCTACACCCTACGATTTTAAGTAGCTGGTTGAACCTCGCTAACGCATTGGAATGTAGGATTTAAGAATATCCACATAGCCCGTGAATCTATAGTGAGTCTAATATTGGGTAAGCCTCCCGGCAAGGTTTACAACAATCTACGCACCGTATCTGCGAGGATGAAGGAGAGGTTCTAATTTCGGGTCGATTTTGCATCTCATGGGACGGCGTTCTGGTCTGGAATCAAAGCAGGTTTTATTTGTACTTCGTAGATGATGAGACATAAAAGAAAAGTGTCTCTTAGTAGAGCCACTAAGCCTCTAAGAATATCGTGGGTATCATGAGCTGTATGTTATATTTCGTGATAGGCGTCTGTTAATCATCAGACATGCCTCCCCTACCTTCGTCATATTACAAATACTAAGACTTGATACCTCGTTTGCAAGGATAATAACTGTCTCTTGACCCCCTTGTCGTCTCACTTGATATGGGCTTCGAGGGAATCCATATCTTGGATATCCGCCTCTCCTACTGTAGTGTCCGAATCCAAGACTTCACCATCCCAATGAAGCTCGATAGTCTTGTTCTCCGGGATGTTCGCGAGTCGTCGATACAGCTTGATTAGCTGAGCAGCTGTGGTGCTGGAGCGTACTGTCGCTTTCGTGGGCGGTTGATCTTTTGCCTTGAAGAACACGCGAATCTTCTGGTCTCCCTGGGAAGTTTGCGATTGCTCTGGTTCTTGTTTTTCTTCGGGCTCCTCATCTATCAACTCCCCTAGGTCACGCAGTCGCTGTTTCTCCTTTTCCTCCAAGTATTCATCATAGAGCTCTTGCGTCCACGCTTCGAAGAACACCTTGTCTCGCCCGTGATATCCTTCTTGGTCCTCCTTCCAGCTCGGATACAGCGTACCATCGCGCTCCGGTTTAATGCCTAATGTTTGCAAGGTTGTGTGTGGATACACCTTGTTTCCCCTCCAGGTGAAGAACATGGTATCCAATACAGAACGTGGTATCAGGCTATGTTTAGCTACTTGTTGCTCGATCCATGTCTGGTAAACCACTGTCAACTTCTGCGATAATTTACGCCTAAACATTAATGTATGAACGCCGGCTAGGTTGGAATGAATAAGGATCTGCACGACTGGATCATATTCGTTCCCTATCGAACCGCCGCCTCCTTTTTCTCTTGCTTCCCGTTCTTCCTTAGCCTTTTGCGCCCGTTCCATCGCGATCCTAACATAGTACTCGGAAGGGTCCTCTTCTTCGTCTTCCTTTTGCCCTTTAGCCTCTTCGGCTTGAGGGTCGCTCTCATCGTCCAGTGTAACTACGTCCTGATCAGTTTCCTCATGGGGGCGTTGAAGAAGAGGACGCCTTGTAGGAGATGGCATGAAGGTAGGATCATCGTCGTCGTCGTCGTCTAAAGAGATCACGGGCGCACCAACGTTCACCGACTGGGAACGTGTACCATGTCTTCTCGATCCCTCGGACCCCTTCGTACTGGTCACATATGGACTCTCTCGCTTGGAATCGGGTGTAAAAGGCACAGGAGGAGGCTTTCGCTTCTTAGTGGGTTTGTAGCTGAATATATCATCATCATCATCACCGCTATCTTTACCTTCCTCTTCGTCAGGAAGCGAGATACGACGGCGTTTCTGAGGAGATCCCTGGTCGTAGGTGGGCTCTTTAGTTAATGTATCCTGTTCTGCTTTGCGCTCACGGATTAATCGTTCCTCTCGCTCTCGTTGCTCTTTAGCTGCCCTCTCAGCCTTCTCCTTTTCTACCTTTTCTTTAGCAAGTCTCTGCTGTTCTTCGAAGAATTCGCCAGAACGGCTGAAGAGAGAGATTCCATCATCATCTACCGCCTCGGTTGATTTGCGCCTAGCTGTGCGTTTGAAGGGAAGTTTCCGCTTAGCCGGAGAAGGCTGCTGTAGATCCGCCATTATGGATAGGGAAAGACAAAGGCTGCTCGTAGCCAAAATGAAGATTTTAGAAGATAGAATGGGCTACAAAAACAAATTAGGCTTGTGTCTATGACACTGAAGTATCTTCGAACGCATCCTAGAAAGTTGATAAGTAGGTAAAAAAGAGGATCAATGAGATTCACAGATAAAAATCGGAATTTGGGGTGGTACGACGCGAGATACGGTTTCCAGGGTGATTCTTTACGCGTGCACTGAATTGAGAGTGTCCCCACCTTCTATGTAGCTGTAGGTATTATGTACCTAATTTAGGTACGTACCTCTATACGCCTACCCCGCTTGAGCCTGCCCAGTCTGCCAGTTGGCCAGCCCTATCAAAGCGGAACCAGATTTTTGGCAAGCAGGCAAGCTAAAATCAAACATAGCACCTGCGGCACTGCGGTATACCTTAGGTAAGTACGCTAGGTAACCTCATGTACCTTACATAACCTCTGTTTAGGCGTCATCTTGCAAATACTAAATTCGCTTAGCATACGTCGTCCTGTTTAATCTCAAATTACTTCTCCCTACAGTCACTATGGAGAACGGTACGAACACCCAAGGTGAGGGTAAGGACCCGTCTGGGTTTCTATCAGACATCATCGGCAATCCAGTCACCGTCAAACTGAATTCTGGCGTTGTATACAAAGGTGAGTTGAGTATCTCAGATGATAATATTCCTAGCAACAATACTGATATGTCCGTTGCAGGCGAGCTGCAATCTGTTGACGGATACATGAACATTGCGCTGGAAAAGACTGAGGAGTATGTGAACGGCGTAAAGCGAAGGACATACGGAGATGCTTTTGTCAGAGGCAATAATGGTAACTAAATCTGGCCCTGAACTAAAATCTTCACGTCCATATACTAATCACTGGCTCAAGTTATGTATATCTCAGCCGACTCATGATCTAAATATTTGGTTCCTTCTGGTCGGAATCATATCTAGAAAGGCTTCTCATGAGGTTAAACGGGGTCTTCAACAATGCATTAGGCACTACTTCACACTGAGAACGCTATGTGTTTTGAGCATCCAGTCCTAAGATGGGTTACGAAACTCTACGAGAAAAGGCCTGCATTTAAACTAGTCTTCGTCTAGTTTAGATAGCTATAAAGGGGCTTCTAGCAGCATAATAACTATGGGATATCTATTTAAATCCATGACCTAGAGCGATGCCCTTGTTTTCTACCTATTCGTGACATATCAATGGCTCCTATAGTCTATCGGTCCAAGTGAAGAATGTGACACCATGCACCGCAATTTCGCCTTTATCATTTCTCTCAACGTCATCACCTTGGATTGTCTCTTTGAAGAACTTGACCCAGGCTTCTCGTTTATCTCCTTTGAGCACGGCAATCTGGCTTAAGGTGTTTAGCCGTGAGGCAAGCGCTTCCTCGCTAAGCCAAACCGTCCATTTGATGGAATCCTCCCCAAGCGGAAGACTAAATCTAGGTAACTGATCTGTGAAGGTATCTTTAATAACTTGAAGTGGGTTGCCGGGTAGTTGCTGATCAAATACTTCTTTCCATTTCTTGACACAGAACATTAGTTATGTTCAGGGGTCATTGCTAGATAGGGGCTACCAACCTGATGCCTAAATCGAGGAAGTCCATCGTCTAGTGACCAGATGAAATCATTTATCCTCTGTTCCCATTTCGTAGTCGCCTGCCAGTTCTTGGGCTTATTGTCTAGTCATTTGTTAGAATCTTCTACTTAACATTCTTATAGATTTTACAATTTTGAGAACGAGCTTACAGTCCTCAATGTTCCATATGGCACCGAACACGGCACCTGGTTTCAACACACGTTGGATCTCCTTTAGAGCTTCTTGAGTAGCAAACCTTCACATACAACCCTCATGAGTAAATATTAACGAATGGTAAATCAACTAAATATCTCACCAGTGAAATGACTGTGGGGTGAATATTAGCTTCTAGCTAAAGTACACGCCGGTTAAATATAAAATATAGACGTACTTGAGCCGCGATGCAAGCTTCACCCCACTCGTCCTCGATCGGCATCTTATCAGCCTTGCCATCGATCACCTCTACACCTGCTAAATCCTTCTGGGCAAGCTTTTCCCTCATACCATGATGAGGCTCTATCGCTTTAACAGTGAACGACTCGGGTCGCCGAGCTAGGAGCTCTGTGAACTTGCCGGTACCAGAGGCTATCTCCACGATCTTGGAACCGAATTGTTGTGCAATGTTCAGCTTCGCGAGGAACGCATCGACGGCCTCTGGAGGGTAGGAAGGACGGTATGCATCATACGAGGCAGCATCTTTAAACCCTTCTTCTGCAGCGGTTGGAAGATTGCTGCTTTGGGAAGCCATGATTCTAAGCTTGTCGCAAAGTTTCCTGGAGATGTATATGAAAGAAAGTTGGAGTTGTTCTCAACTTGCTTGACGAAGGTACATAAGTGTGTCAATCCCCACAATTATATCCTTGGAATTCAACCATCCCAATGGCGTCAGTTTCGATAGTATGTACAACAGACGGAGCACTATACTACCTATGGTCCTATAGTCGGTCACCACGACTTGGTGCTACTGTACACTATTATCCGATGAAGCGTTACATTGAAGAATCCGGTAGCGTGGCATTATGTGCATTTATCTAATAAAAGTATATATACTCACATGTATAGATCCGATTAACCGGGAATAATAGTTGTAATGCATGTAACACTTAATCGTGAGCTGATAACATTAAATGCAGCTGCATTAAATGTGTTGTTGCCAAGTACGAAGGGCGACATACATGTATTACATAAGGCAAGCTGCCGTCCTGATTGCCTTGCCTTGACTGCACACCCGGATACCCTACCTGCCTACCCGAGCCATCGACCAGGATGTACCTGTAGCTAAATTCGGATAGCGGCAACTACCAATATGCTCTTTTTACTTCCAAGGTTCAATTCCACTAAAAAAAGGGAAAACTTCCCTGCAGCACAATGTAACAATTCTGTTCAATGCTGGCTCTGATCTTAAGGCGACGGGATCTAGATTTATTAATAAGAAGTCCGAGCTCAGGGGGTAGGTAGGTACCTGGGCAAAGTACCTATGCAAGGTACCTCGACACCTTTTTATTCGACGCCTTCACCTTGGCTTTAAACGCCGAGCACCCCTAAATACATACATACGCGGCCCCTTGGCTTATAGTTCAGTTCCATGGCATTCCTACACGTTGCAGTCATTCTGTCATCTTAATGCGGTAGCCATACGGTAGCAGAGTAGGTAGTTGTCGAGAATCCCATGATCTTCACTTCACGCCTTGTCTGCTTCATCTAGAACGGGGGTCGATGGAGACAGCTGTCGTTTCTTCAATAATGCCATAACTTCTAAATACTAGATCCCTTCAGTCCTTCCTTTGCTCCATTTCCTTTGTGTGTAGACAGTTCCCTGCCTACCAAGGCAATTGTCTTCTTCTAGATGCTCATTAAGTATCGCCGTTTTAGGCGTAACTACTTGCGCCCGCTCCTCTTCGTCCTGTTCTTCCTCTTCTCTATCGACGCTATATCCCTGGTACGCCACCGTCCCGATACCCACCGCGAGAACATACACGTCGATCGACAATCCGACTCTTCTCTCCCGAGAAACACCAGCGTCTTCATTGCATCGATACACCGCAACACCGAACCGATACTACGATCAGCATGGAACCAGGCGGTGTTAGATTTAGTCGACTTCTTCGGTCCAGAAAACGTTCACTTGTCGGCTATCGAATCGGGGTCCCAAGATGAAACGAAAGAGGCATTGATGGACTTGAAGGCAGCCCTTGATCAGAGATATGTCTCTAATACAATCAGTTTGGGGATGACGGTTTGGGAGCAGTTGGAAGAAATTGACACTCGACCGCCGCCGGACGCGCGGGAGCCCGGATGGATTTGGAATGCTGCAGAAAGTCAATTCGAACTGCGTAGGATACCTTACCTTGCCAAAGTTCGAAACCAAGCAATGGAACCACTCAAGCAGCTGCAGAGTGAAGGAAGAGAGTTTGACAAGGTTCTCTGGCTGAACGATGTTGTATTTGACGTATGCTTACACGATCTTGTGCAGAAGTATTCCCGTGGTAATTAGATGGCTAACGTTGGATGACCTAGACCGAAGATATCGTCACACTGTTCAACACTCGTGACAATAAGTACGCCGCTGCGTGTGCCATGGATTACAAGGTAGCACCCTTATACTATGACACATTTGCCCTACGAGACGACCTAGGCCTAAAAACCATGTCCCTTTATTGGCCTTGGTTTCAATCCCCTATTGCGAGGGCGGCGGCTGAGCGCAATGCGCCTATCCGTGTAACCTCATGCTGGAACGGAATTGTAGTGTTCGACGCGGGACCCTTTTACGCCAATCCACCTTTACGATTCCGCGGCATCGATGATAGTCTAGCAGATCTGCATCTCGAGGGTTCAGAATGCTGTTTGATTCATGCCGACAACTACCTCACAGCCAAGAAAGGCGTATGGCTTAACCCGAATGTTCGCGTTGCCTACGGCGTCAAGGCATATAACCAGGTTAAGACGAATCGGTTCCCCAATCCTTTTTGGACGATTGTAGGAGCGTGGGTTAATCGGCTGAATGGCTGGCACGTCGCCATCCAAACTCGATTGGAAAACCGAGTAGTGCAGACCAGATTAGAACAATGGAGGTCAGAAACCCCGAATGGAGGCCCACAGCGGTATGAACCAGGAGATGCGTGCCTCATCAACGAAATGCAGATAATGTGGTCAAACGGATGGATGCACTTGTAAAAGTATAGACTAAAAAGCGGTATACGGTATAGACAAATACATAGACATGATAGAAAAAATGTATCTGGATATTAGGCATTGGATTGAGTACCTAAGGTATATATATATATATATATATATATATTCTTCTGACAAGCTACCACAGCCTCATTTAGATTTATAATTTGGTACATTACGTAAAGCTTCATTGTTGAAGATCCTACACCGTCTTCCACGTAGCATGCCAAGATAGATCTGCGAACCCATATCCTCCGACATAATTGTCGATCGCCTTGTTGTCGATCGCCTTGGGGCTGTCCAGCTCGTTCCACCACAATACTAATGGGTGACAATTAGTTTAAGCGGATAAGGATAAGGCGGCCTATGGCAGCAAGGGGGGCTAGGGGGACTAGGGCTGAATCTTGTCGAGGGTTATACACGATTGCTGCAGTCGATCCCCCGTCAAGCCGAAGGATTATCCGTCTTCTTCCGTGCTGCTCGCATCATCAATGCGAACCTGGCTGTTTGCCCATGCTAAATGCGCACAGCCGTATACCTATATGTTAATATAACATCCAAGAATTTAACACAAACGCCTCGGGTGATATCGTATAGTAGCGAAGCCCATTTCCAGATCTCTCCCATGCGCTCCTATGATTCCGTTTTTAAACAACTCGCTATTTATTATGCCAAATGAAATTCCTTAGGCTATCCCAATGGTCCGCCTGCTGGTAGATATACGTCATGCTGCCACGAAGCGATGGTTGCAGGTCGTCGGGGTGATAACGGAATAGATGCATTACGCTAGCCCACGAGAGCGACGCGAACACGGGCCAGGCATAGCGCGTTATAGACTCGGAGACGCCCTGCCGCGATACCAGCGGTAACCCCGTGCCGCCCTCGGGCTTCACGGCGAGCCGCGCAAGCGCTAGCACGACGCGCGCGAACACATAAACCACAATCTGCTGGTTGACGCTGGGGATCTTGCCGCTTCGCCGAGATCGCCCGCCGAATACTACGTACCCGCCTAGTAGACCCGCCATAAACGAGTCGTACCGCCCTGCCTTCCCGGGTGTCGGCCCGTACTGCTTTAGTAGGAAGCACACCAGCTTATAGATAAAGGCGAAGCGCGCTAGGTTCTGCGCATGTGTGCGCGTGGCGCGGATTACCAGCGAAACCTTCTCCCGAAGAGTGCCGGACCGGAATAGAAATACCATCACCAGCGCGTGCGGGAAGCGCACCTTGGCCCCGTACACGGCGCCGTTGCGAGCCCCTTTTATGACGGCGAGGATGTCGTGGTATGCCGGGTTGAGAACCACGTTCTCGACTGCGGCCTTAAGGCCCTCGAGCGTTGACGCTGATGACGGTTCCATCTTGGCGCTGCGATTAGGAGAAGAGGGGGGAAGACAGGTAAGCTCGGTCGGTTTCGCGTCGCCGCGATGCAAAGAGGAGGGGCGACGGCGACTTTCGAGAGGTTAGGACGTATTCGGAGATGTTATCGGGTCATTGGTTTGTATGTATACGGTGGCTGAACTATCGGAGAAAGGCAGATACCTAGTTACGATGTTTGTTAGAAATAAAAGGAACATCTTTTTGGGGATGATTGGAGATGACGATGGCTGAATCGGTTTGGCCTCGGCAAGTTGCACATGTTGCTCGGCTTAAACAAAGGGTGTCGGGACCTGCAAGAGTGCGCTAGTAGCGCATATCGATACGCACCTGAGGTTACGTGAACGCTACCTATGACGCAGCGCAGCCAATCCTTGCTCGCGAATTGAGGCATACTATTGATCTAACGCAGTTGTTTTGCATGTGAAAGTTATAAGCTTGTAACTCAGTAACTGTGACTGTGCGCGGCTTGTACAGTTATGCAGCAAATACCTATTAGACAACTAATTACTAGTTAAGGGAAGGCTTATTTTATAATTGTTATGAAGCATAATTCTTTAGACATTTCCAAGGATGTGAGTAAGCTCTAATAATCACCTTTAAATTATAAAAATCATGATTGGCTCAAACGATCAGGGACCTTCTGTCATGAGATGGAGCAAGAAGCAAGGAAACAACTTCGTTGTTCTATAAGGAACTCTGAGCCTACGGTTATATCTACTAAAAGTCTGGATGTCTCATCTAGAATCCCCACACCTTCCTCATATATTATATCCCAGTCCTCAGCTGAGTCTTAATTAACCAGGTGAGTGATTCGTAGCTTTCTCTCATTTTGAGATGTTAAATGCCAACCAGGGTTTACTTACTCTTTCATGAGATGGAAGGGAGGCACAAGATATATTTTAAATATCATTGGCTGGGTCGTTTATATCATCATTGCACAGGTGTAAAAGGTTTTGAGTCTTCATTTGTTGTTATAGATAAATGGAATGGATAGGTTAGGTACTTACCTTAAGTACCCATTCCTCTCTCACCTCTCACCGTGGTGAGATAAGACTGCAAATTCTCGATAAGCTGATAGTAACGAGAACGTATTATACTCATAAGCAAATCCACAAGCAATTCCGTATTTAAATCAAGCTTCTCATAGTTAAATATGTTGACCGATGTGCATCTGTACCGTGTGGGACGACTGGAGTACTAGAGTGGGATCGTTAAATATTTCGCCTGCAAAAAACACCAGAGTATGTTGATCTATACTAGTAATAGTGTATCTAGGACTATATAGCTGCTGACGAATACTCAGGATAATAATAGACACGTAGGTAAGCTTTTTAAAATTAGTAGACTTACCATAAGTAGAATGACTGTCCTATAAGATCAAGTTGCGATTTAGTTCCTGGCAATGCCAAGTCCTGCTAACCATTAAAGACTTAGGTGACGTGAGATAATGCCTAGGACGTTTGCCCTTGTCCACTTCGATAGTGAACAACGTGGAATGAGGAGGAGAGAGACTCCCAAAAAACAACCACACAGCGAAGTTGATCTTGAGGCTTACAGAGTGAGAGTAAATGTTCTCCTTACTTACATGCTGGGCCTTCGGGCTAATAATCTAATTCTAATATCTAAGCATGACACCGTGTTTGGTACCTAGAGATTCGCGGGATGAGCCTCATTCGAGAATACTATCTAAACTAATGCTGCGGTTTAATGGGTCTTAGGCATTCATCTTTCAGCCCAGAGGCATCGAGTGCTTTTGCAGTGCCTCCCAGCAGACCTATTCTCGTAAGATATGATCCAGTGGCATCGCGACTTGGTGGCCGGTTTAGGTAATGCTCGTACCTTTGCCAAACCTCTATAGGTGAGCCTTAGGTTGCACCGCTCTGTGTTTCGCTACTGCAGCAGTAGTATAGTCTTTCTTTTCAGCTTGCAGATCAGTATCTCAGTTCCCTTGGTTATATTGCAATGACTGGCTTTCCTCCAGGGCTGCTTCAAGGTCTGTTAGGCCCCTTTGATGGCGTCATCTTGTTTATATGGCACTCCGCCGGAGACTAAGTCAGCGAGTTCCACGAGTCAGGTCAGGTCAGATAATCGTATATACCTGGCTCGATACGAGTCAGGTCAGATATACTATTAGATTTGAGGCTTACCTAGCCGTATCGTCGACTTGGCCTGTACCTATGCCCTTATAAAGCCACACTTAGCCACATCAGCCACCTAATACCGTATATTTCTCCCAAAACCCTTACCAATAACCAATAATATTGCCCTGAAAGTATTCCTATAAAATACCAAATAAAAAAAAATTGGCGCTCGACTCGGATAGATATCCCTAAAAAAGGATCTATCCAGACTAAGTCAGGTCCAGGCTAAGTTAGGCCAGGCCTAAGTCAGGTCAAGTTATTATCTGACTCGTGGCACTCACTGCCCGGATACCTCTTAGGGACCTAAACAAGGGCCAAAAAGTTGACCCATAAAGCTAAGCCTCGCTGCCAGCCAATTTTTTCAGATCTGATTCGGAAAGTACCTAGCTTAAGTGGCTCATCTTCGTGGTTGATCTTAAATATAGACCAGATTCTTTAAAGCATACATAGGCAAATTTACTGGAGAAAGTATTAAACAGCGCCTTTTGATACGTCAACACTATAGAACTGGATAAGCGCTAATTTTTGACCCCTGTTTGGGTCCTTAAGAGATGGAGTCCGAATTATTAAGATATATACCTAGGTAGGTATACTAGAGTCTCGGTATACTACTGATTCACGGTTACACGGTCATGTTAAATCTCTACCTCATCGCTTGATCTCTTTTCAACGCACAATTTCCTTGTGTTTTTGACTTGGCTTTTTTCTTTTCTTTTTCCTTTTCTTTTTTTCTTTTTTTCTTTTTCTCCTTCCTTACTTCAGTATGCTTTACACGAATTCCTCGGTCTGCCTTTCGCAGTCTTGCATTCAGGCATCGGCGGCCATATACTCCCATCTCGATTCCAACTTCCAGAGTATTGATCCTTGTACAAATTTCCCAAAGCGTATGTGTTGATTGGCCCTCTAACAGCTGGTATATATGAGAATTGTTGCTAACAGTAATGGATAGTTGTTTGTGGCGGCCTTCAGGAGCGTAATGTGATTCCAGCATGGGAACAGGTTTTGGGAGAGGTAACTACTCTGAAGGAGACAAACCAGATTTTTATGAAGAATGTCTTGGAGGCACCCTCTGATCCCTCTTGGGTATGTGTGCTCTTAGCGGTATCATTATGCTTTAGATAATTAATTGGTCATCTAGATTTCGCGTGGATCCATCGACGAGAAGAATTTCGAGAAGCTCATCACCGGCTACAATGCCTGCATGAACGAAACTGCAATTGCTGAAAGAGGTGTCCAACCACTGGTAACCTTCCTTGGAAACATCACCGAGAGTTTCCCGGTCATGCCGGAGGAGCACAAAAATGCCAGTCGTTTCGATACTGCCGATCACGAAGCATTCAGCAACACCTATCTCTACTTCGCCCAGCACTCTATATTCCCCTTCTTGACCATAGACGTCGATTCTGATCCCGAAGATGTAGTATGTATTCTCTTCTTGACTTTGAGAAAGTGTGCTAACCTGACAGGAAACTCATATCCCGATTATAGCGCCCACGGGTGCTCTTCTTCCAAGCGAGATTTACGAGAATCAAGAGACAAGCTCCTTATATCAGAAGGTGATCGCGGAAGTATTTGAGAATGTACTACCTACGAACGAGTTAAGGGCCAAAGCAGGCGAACTGGCCCGTGGTATAGTCCAGCTCGAGCGGCAGCTTGCTTCTAACACGCCAACATCAAATGGTGGTACAGTAAGTGTACCTAGACTTCATATAGAATATTGAGAAAATAGTAGAAGTTTTAAGGTGCTAACTAATATTAGGGCCCAATTCCAGCCACGACTTTGGATAATGCTACGCAGCTGGCCCCTGAGTTTGACTTCGTCTCGGTATTCAAGGAGATAAGCCCTTCTCCCATAGACAGAATATCTTACAACTTTCCGGAATACTCTACCTGGCTATCCCAAACTCTAGCGAATACCACCAAACCTGTCATCCAGGCTTATTTCATGTGGAAGGCGATCGTTAGGTATGAGCCAGCTATCGATGGACCTGAACTTGAACCTCTAAGACAATTCCCGAACATCATCTCTGGAGAGGTATGGACTATCTCGGCTTATGGCCATGTACTTCTATATCAAATTTCTAATTTTATGTATAGAAACCTTACATCCCTGAAAGATGGCGAACCTGCGTTACTGATGCCGACTCGAAGATGGCGTGGCTGATTAGCAAGCCATACGTGGAAGCCAAGTATACGGAGGCGATCAAGAAGACCCTTGAGGAGATGACGACAAGAATTCAGAACCGCCTCGCTAGCAATATCGACCGTATCGAATGGATGACGGATGAAGTAAAGGCTATAGCGAAGCACAAGGTCCAGGTCATCACTCCAAAGCTCGGCTATCCAACTCAGGTAAGTTGAAGAACTATATTACAGGTAATCTACTCCTAGGTATCTATGCTAACGACCGCCGCAGTCGCCCAACCTCGACGATGCGCAATCGCTGAATGATTACTACGCTGCTTTCGATGTCTCAGACTCTTATTTTGACAACACTGTCTCCTATTCGAAGTGGTTATCGAAGTCAACTGCGTCGCTCTTCGGGAAGAAGAGAGAAAAGGGCGCATGGCCAGCCGCAGCCGGTTCCGCTCTGACAATCAACGCTTTCTACTTACCACAAGAGAACTCCATCATCATCACCGCGGGAACGCTACAACAACAGCTCCTAGACCCGGAGCTTCCGGCGTACATGAACTACGGGGCTCTCGGCCTGGTTATCGGACACGAGTTTACGCACTCGCTTGATAGTAACGGGCGGATGTATGACGAGCGGGGCGCATTCCGCGACTGGTGGGACGAGAAGAGCGAAGCTGCATTCGACAAGCGTGCGGAGTGCCTTGTGAAGCAATACGGGTCCAGCAACGTGACGCTGAGCGACGGCACGCAGATCCCCGTTAACGGTACGCAGACGCTGGGCGAGAATATCGCCGACACTGGAGGGATCAACACGGCGTACGACGCGTGGCTTGATAAGCGGCGCGAGGACCCGGCATCCGACTTCGACTTGCCCGGGCTGTCGGAGCATTTCACGCGTGAGCAGCTCTTCTATGTGTCTGCTGCCCAGTTCTTCTGTGACAAATCGGAGGACGCCGGCAAGAAATTGTACCTCTCTGATGTGCACTCACCCCCTGATGTTCGGATCCAGAACATGATGGATAACTCAGATGGTTTTAGGAAGGCTTTCAACTGCCCCGTCAAGGAGCCTACGTGTGTGATTTACTAGATAAGGGGTTGTCTTTGATATTATAGTTGACTTCTTTAATTAATTATAGACCTTATTTGACGAATTATATTTCGTTCGTCTTATTGTTGTGATTTGCAAGAATATATTTCTTTTCAGAGAGCTATAGTTACGTTAAGCTCATGATACTCGAGTACCGTCAAACTTCCCCTCCTTTTTATAGATATATACATTAAATAGGTAGGTAGGTACCTAATCAATTCACACTTAATCCAACCCCTATTGCCTAGTCCGAAAATGTAGAAACGTCACAGCACTGCTCCATGTGTTATACATTACTCGTCATTCCTTGCTGGGGCGGATGGAGTTATGGATAGCTGTCGCAGTGCCCATATTGATGAGCCTCTGCGACGATTGGGATTGGGTTCAGTTTGAAATCCTGCATAACTGGACTCGTGAAGACCACGGATAATACCTATGGCCAGGTCTGGGTTTGAAAGGTCGACGAGTGACCACTTAGCACCTCTCCAAAGCTTCAAGGCAACCCATACCAATAGGAAGATGGCAACCTAGTAATTCCATGTCAGATATTGTTACCTCTCTTATAGGAGATAGGTATCTGTGAAGGCGTACGATAAGATATGACGACAAAAAGGGCTCAACATAGAACCTGTTCCATAGAGCAGCGCCATCAAGTACCAAAAGGATGAGCAAACATCCGGCTAAGCCTAGATATGCCGTAAATGGCTGCCCGTTACTTATATATGGGTAGTCGTTGTCATCCCTGTCGCTGAAGCGCTGAACACGCGACACCTTTCGTTCAACAAGTTCGTTACGGTGTTTGCTAATACTAGTAAATATATGTTAGACTCTACCAAGGCTTCTTTGATGTGCATCTGTGCTTTACCAGTGGTAGTATCGAATGAATGCCAAGCACTCGCAGGCCCAAGCGATCAGCACCCCGACAGAGCCCATCTCGGCAAGAATGTTAATGAACTAAACCGGGTAAGTAGAGTTCCATAGGCTACAAGTATGTAGGGTCTCACAGCGCCGATTTCGCTCTTTTGGGACCCGTTATCTCCTATTTGGCTTTCTTGACTTGACTCTCTCTGTTGCTGATCTGGATGAAGAAGTTGTAGGAACGGTACCCAAATGAAAGCGATCGCAGATACAGTCATCGCCCGGATTGGAACTCTGTAGCTGTTGGTACGACCAAGCCATGCAAGGATATTCAAATACCAAGGCTCGTCTGGACCACCGTCTATCTGGTTAGTTAAACCGAATAGTGTTCTAGATGCTACGTAAAGGTTTGTGTTGGCACACGACAACGCGGTGAACACAAGGAATGCGTTGAAGGCGCTCGCTATTTCCGAATTACCGCGAACTTTTGCGACGAGAACGAATGCCGACTGAACGGTCTCGCAGCTATCGTAGTTCAGCCAACCGACCCGAGGTAGCCGACAATCAGTAGGGTCGACGCTTAGAGATACCAGGATTCCGCCCAGTGTATATGCAATACACGCGAAAACAGAGATCCATTTCGACGGAAACCTAACGGTTTCGCCAATATTACTGGCTTGATTGCGCTTATGGGCCGAGGCAGTCGTAGGACGAGCTTCGAGTGCGGCGGCTGCTGGAACTTCGACGCCAACATAAGCGAATGTTGCAGTAGATAGACATATGCTGAATTAAAGCTTAGTTTTTAGATGTCTGGTAGTTAAGTGTAGGTAGCTATAAACTTACTTACCATAGAGCAGGAAACCAACTTTGCGCTGCAGTATCATCGAACGTGACTGGCTGCGCCCAGCCTAATTTTTTAGTAAATACCTCCTATTTTCTAGCAAGTTGAACTAAGTAAACCTAACTCACTATGCTTCTCGTTGGTTTCTTTAGGGCTCTTAGTAGCTAAATACTACTATTAATAGGAATTCTGGTCAACGTGTTGATTCGACGGTATCGTACCGAATACAAGCGTTGCAGTGCCAATAATGGCTAGGAAGATTAACTTGATGATACCGGTCGCAACCTCGAACCATCCATATATCTAGGTAGGTATAGAGAGATTTGTTAGAGAGCTTCCCCTGCTGGATGTTTTCGATAAACGTCGAAGTACTTACATGAATTCCAAAACAATTAAGGACTATCAAGATTACCGGTACAAGTAAATATAACACTCCAGCATCGATCCCATCCTCTACATCACTAGTCCAATAGTGAACCTCTTCCGCGGTATATGCTATCAATGCAGCGAATGAGACTGAGTATGTGAACCTATGATACGTTAGTGATCTTGTATGACACGATTTAATTTCCATCGCTAACCAATATGCGACACCCACGGTAATTCCTAGCTCAAAATCGACAAACTCGCGTACGAAGACGGACATGGCACCGGGGACAGGCCAGATACAAAGTAGTTCGGTAATACACTGCGTAACTAGCCATGACAGTATTCCGAGTAACAAGAAGGAGATAATAACGGCTAGGAAACCGCCTAACTCCAAGATCTGTCCGCCGCGCCAGTAGAGTCCTGTCCCCAGAGTGGCATTGACGGCGATCATCTATCTTTATTAGTTTAGGTACTATATAGGTATTTGCCAGTGATCAAGGTTCCACTCACAAAAACATGAATAGGGAGCAACCTCCTGTGCGTCACTCTTCCCTTCTTCGTATTAGCCCGAATCGGAGACAGCGTTTCTATACGATACGTTTGGGTATCTAGATGGCGGGTCTCATTGTTGCTGGGAATAGAAATCGCCCCAGCGTCGTTACCAGAGCCGTGTTCTAGTGAAAGATCCAAATTCTCAGACGAATCCCGTATCGTATGAGACCGGCCTCGGGTGGCCTCGGTCGTCATTATTGGGTTGCTAGCCTGATTCTTATTGTTTTCCAGTTCTAAATGACCCAATTCATCATGAGGACTTGAGTAATGTCAAGACTGAGAAATTCCTGTGGACTGGTTGTGGGCTCGCAAGGCTCTGAGGATGCTGGCTTCCGTAGCACATGTATGCACCACCGCCACCATTCGCACCCCCCTTCGCCTGCTCCTATTGTACTACGTTTCGCCTACTTTGGCGAGATTTACTTGGTTAGCTGTTAACGCTGCAGACTGCGCCGTAGCGCTAGTTGACCGAGCGCTGAGTTCTATCAGCTGAGGCATTTTTGAGTACAATTGGGCCGTCCATTCGACTTGACTGCCTCCTAATCAATTGACAATAATTGCAAATTCCCTGCGCGAGAGTTTGACTTGTATCTTCTATGATTCTCATAGGACAAACGCGACTTTCTTGGGTCCCATTGATATCTTGGCGTCAACAAGAATCATGAAGAAATATGCCAATAGTAGCTAATCATACCGGAACTATCTGACTCCTCATCATTAAAATCTGTAAAAGGGGTCCCTTATCTAGACTTGATACGCGGTGGCTGCGCTACAGAGCTGCCATTGGTTTTCTAAAAGCTTAGACCCGTCGTATCAATCCTTCCTGGGTGCTCTGGGCGTATTAATAGATCGCCATGCATCGGGGTTGCCTCATCTCACCCTGTTTCCTATCTCTCAAGTCACGGTGACCTGACGAAATACGCCTACCTAATTCTTCCTATAAACCCTAATCTCTACTCCATACTCGAAACTGGACTGTGTCAGCATGTCGGTAACCCAAAATACCAATACACGATACCTTAAGGAGGACAGCTTACTGAGACTTCTTCAACGACTTTTCCCGGGTCAGGCTGATTTCAATATTCGAGTTAGTGTCGGTCATGCTACACAGGGATTTTGGAGCATGGGCTGACAGACGTAGTTGAGAGATGACCAGTGGTGTTTCACTGTACCTAGTGTAGTAAGCGAGGTGAGTTCTCTCTTATATGCCTTAGGTACTTATCTAAGGCATATCCCACAATGCCTATGAGGTTAACATCAGTTCAGAGTGATATCAAGTAAGCAAATAGATGATGCATCATCTGACATATTCTGGGAAGTTAGGTAACTAATAGAATCAGCGGGGCGAGAGATAATTGAGTTATCCCGATGCTGTGTACGAGCGTGGCGTATATTGGCGGCTGCTTAGCGGTGTAATGTTGTATCGGGTATTCCGTGTCCCTGGCGTACCGCATTGATTACCCAACATACCTCTGAGGTAGCTAAAGGATTCACGAACTGAAAATGCTATATATACTTGCTTTGTCAAAACATACTAGGGAAATATATCAAAGCGTATATCAGTCGGACTAGCATACTAGCTTTTGGGGACTCGCTTTACTATTATACCAAAATGTCTCATATTAGCAAATGCTTTGTCGATCAAGTTGTGGCTCCCATCAAGCTCATAGAAGTGTTGCCTCAAAATCAATGCGACGAAGAGCAAGCTACTCGCCAGATATCTACAGCACAGGAGATTGAAGATTATCTAAATCAGATTAAGCCAAGCAACCATTCGCATCGTCACTTGTATGTCTTGATAAGGGAATAATCCGGGTTATCGCTGAAATCTTCCAGGTCTATATGCCAAAGGACGTCATGGAGCTCCTTGCAAATAACTAGGGGGTTGTTGGAGCTTTTCGTTTCTAAACACGGCATAAGCGACTCGTTCTGGGATCTGCCGTCATGTTTCTACTACCGGAACGACGACGTGGAAATAAACTCCTGTCTTCCTGTTACTGTAAATAGGATAGGCTCTTCAATTGGTGGGCGTTTGACTTGACGAATTATTTTTATGGAACTATTGCTAACTGGATATAAGAGATCTATTATACGATTCGTTATCCCGAGCTGAAACCCAATGGTGGGAATTGGGCTATTCGTCAAAGTGGCCTTTATTATCGATTCGACGCGTCGACTAATCAGACCGTATCGGTCTTATTTAACCCAACACCAAACTCGGCAGCCCATCAGAAGATAGAAGATTTCTTACTTGGCACAAGCTGCGGCTCGAGAAACTTTCCAATTCCATGGTTTATTCACGAACTACTGTTTTCGGTATATTTTCCAGCATGGAGAGAGTATCTCGCTTTCTTGGAGCGAAAACTGCTTCCGGAAGTAGGTTTATCATATAACTATAACGTACCAAACCCATGCCGATAACTCTAACCCTCTGGTGAATATAGACAAGTACTACATTTGCGACGTTTATAGACGAGCCACTGCGCGTAGGATATGACAACCTTAGCGCTTTGGCAAGCCTTGATAACCAATTCCTCCAAGTAGCCACCCTCTTGTCTCATAGTGAAGATGTCCTGAAGGAGCTTTCTTCCATATTCATCCAGGAAGGCTTAAAGAGTATAGCGCCAGAGACGATAGACGTGCTTGATAATTATCGCCGTCGATCTGTGGCTCATTGTCGTGTTGCGAACCTTCTGCAGCAGCGAGCACAGACTACTGCACAACTCCTAGCTAATACTCTATCGTTCCGAGACCAGATCCTTGCCAAGCAACAGAACGGCAACATGCTGCAACTGAATAAGTCAGCTGTTTTCCTCACCACGCTGACTCTTCTTTACCTCCCAGCTTCCTTCGTGGCCGTGAGTATGAAACCAGCCCAGCTTATTCTGCGATGTCGTGCAATCACTAATTATCACTAGACTTTCTTCGGTATGAACTTCTTTGATTTAGACTCGGACTCAAAACGAATCATCGGTACTCCTATGATATGGATATATATAGCATCCTCTATCCTGCTAACCATCATTACCTTCTTGGTTTACTATTGGGTACTGCAGCATGATAATGTTGTTGTCAAGAGAATGTCGCCGAAGGTTTATGTGGGGGACTGGAGAGCATTGGCGCGCCGTGCTCTGACGATAAAAGGGGACTCGACGAAGAAGATTGAAAAGCTGCCTGTGTAAATACGTGATAGTTGTTGCTTATGCCACGTCAATATATTATCAAGCAGAGGTACCTTAGACAACAGCTAGGTAGTATAGTAATTACACCACTCATATATTGATACCTAAAATACGAACCTAGATACACCTGAGCCTCTAGGCTATATTTCTTCACTGCAATAGACAACACGATTTTTCTCGAACTACATTTAAATACCCTCCATAGATCCTGCCTACGCTATCCACCCGTCGTTGATATATCGTATTGTTCTTGTAAAGGGTTAACTCATTTGGCCCGATAGTCTCGGCCTCGGGATTGATACCCCAATTACGAGACCAAAGGGCGCAGCAAGAAACCCTTCCTTATTTCTACTCGAGGACAAACGTATCCCCGCCCCACCCAAATGCCCTGTTAAGCCTCCTCCCATGTCTCCTCGCAGTCGTGAATGGTATCTTCCCTCGGGGATGCGGTTCATGAAATTGGATGCTCTGGTCGCCCTCTAGTTTCTGGAACTGCCAGACGGACCCGTATAGCTTCTCGGCCGTAAATAAGCCTGAAGATGTCATGGCGTGTAGAAAGTCGTTCCATGAGACCTCGCCAGGCGAAGACGCTATAGCCGGGTTAAAAAAGAGTGTACGAAATACCTTAAGAGAGCGGGCGTTGACAGGGATGGCAATTGGTTTAGGTTTTGGGTCTTCATCTATGACGAGAGTTGCCGGCCCCGTGGCGTCATTAGAAGATAAGTCTCTTGTCTTGGTCTTGGTCTTCGGTGTCAGCGCTTCAGCTTCGTTGCTGGTAATTCCGGCTGGTTCTCCAATATAGATGGTAGAGAGGGGTTTATACAGATCAGCAGTGTTTGGATCCAGGATTGGTTCTCGGCCTGGCGCTTTCGTTGCAGATGGTGGGGGGTCAACCCAGTCTGGTGTACGTTGAATCACGCGTGGTTGGGATAGGACGCGATGGACGGCCGTACCCTTTAGACCCCCGCATTTTGTACTTATAACCCGGTCAAACCCTGCCCAGAACTGGTCGAGATGTTGCTCAGCTCGCCGCAGTTCCTCTACGTTTTGCTTAGTCCGGCGTTTCTCATATGGGTAGGCGAATCTTCTATCAGAAGGATTACCGATCTGGGCGATCTGGACAAGGTTTCTATCTCGAACCGCTTCCGTGAACATGCCCCATGTTTTAATGCGCTTCTTAAATTCATCTTCGATGTCGTCTGACATATTGGCTGAAGCCATCTCAAAGCTCCTTGCCCACGGCTGATATAGATCGATCTGGCTTATGCAATGTGAGATGATGGCTAGATCACCAATGATGCCGGCGATCCTCTGAGATACTAGTTCCTGTGTGCGTGGTTCGGTTTCAAGCAGCCTTCCCAGCTCGTCGACAATTAGCGGTAGGCGAGCAAAAAAGAGATCCTCGCCGTCGTCCCATATCGTACGGAGAATCCAGAACAGCTGGTGCTCAATGGTGCTCATCTTTACGCCCATCTTCTGCTGTGTACGAATCGTGGTTGAGGTAGGGTTCGGTGGCGGCTGGCGAACAAAGTACTTACGCCACGGAGGAGAAGCAACAACGCCGTCCTTAAGTCCACCCACGGGGCCGTTAGCTGTTTGGTATAAATAACGACGGAATTTGAGTATAGCGTTCATCAGCTCCCCAGGTAAGTCTTTGGTAGGTGATATAACGGCCGCATACTTGATCTGTAGTAACCGTAGTGCTTGGGCCTGTTGGTACAGGTCCGAAAAGGCCTGATAATGTAAGTAAGCCTCGAAAGGAACTGTTCCATAGACGCGAGCCCAGAACATCTTGTCGTGAACTTTCCGGAAGACGGGGTCATCTCCACAAGTATCCTTTAATAGCTCTTGCCGGTGTTCCTTAGCCTCAATGAGCTGCTCAAGGAAATATGCTGGATCTTCCCGTATGGCCCATAGATGGTCTTCAGCTGCGGATAGTCTGGCGCCAAGAACTGACTCAATTCGGCTGAGATCTAGCCTGGCAGGTAGTCGGTAAGGCATCTCTGCTGCCATCACAGCCAAAGAATCAAAGCCATTCGTTTCCTTTCCTGTCTTCAAATGTGGCTCGGGTTGAACGGGAAAGGTATCTGCTACGAGGCTATCGGCTGGAATATCGTGCAGTATATACTGGCAGCAAGTAACTAGGAATTCCATAAGCTTCTCTTGGGCCTCAAGAATTAGCAAGCCTTCGCTAGGGAGGAATTGCTTTCGAGTATCCACCCAGTCGTGGGCTTCGGGGTGCTCGCTCCAGTCCCAGAGCTTGCCGTATTCAGTAGCATTATGAGCGCCATGAAGGGCTAAAGTATATCCAATTAGGAATATAGACCTCATATTATTGGTGACTAAACCTAGGTGCATTGCTTCGAAATCGGCGGCGGCGAATTCTGACGGTGAGTTACGCCCTCGCGCGTTTAGTAGCAAGAGCAGCGTTTTTGGCTTCAGAAGATCTTCCTGGTTGATTTGCGGCAATAGATAGCAGTCCCTGAAATTTTCCTCAGATGCGCCCCCATGAGATTTACCGGTCCGCCAGAAAGCATCAAAGTCTGGGCGATGTGTTACTGCCATGTCTGGCCATGCATTCAACAGAATCTTCTGCTTCTGCTGCCTCGTTTTCTTATTCCAGCGCTTCTGAATTGTTGCTTCATGGCGCATAAGGATATCGCGTAGGTTGATATAGCTGCTAAAAACATTATTTGCTCTCGCCTGAGCCTCTGGACGAACTTTTGCCGGTGATGCGAAGAGAAATGAGTCGAACTGCTTCATGAAGGTCTTTGGGTAAGACTAATTAAAGTCTTCTTGTCCAGATGTTATATTTACTACTTGAATAGGATTCTTAGATGTTATCTTCGGCAATTATTCCTCGCAATTACTAAAGAGTGTACTAAAGAGTGTTTGCATTGAATCAGACATATTAGGTATAAACCCTTATAAGTACCTAACCTGGGTACCTCGTATCTGCAGTGTGACAGTATGTCATACGATAATGCACTTGATACTACCTAGGTACCTAGGTACTCTTGTAATTACCTCATATAATACCTATTGTCCATTTACTAAAGCTAAGGCCATCATTTAAGCCTTAAAAGGCTGATTTTATATAACATTAATCCAGTGGCAACGTAGGCTAATATGATGATATATCCTCCATCTTCATCTTTCCTATTTTCTCCACTGAAAATCATAGCAGTAGCTTTGTCCCTATAACCAATTTCAGGGAGTTCTTTGATTTCTCGAGGCTTTTCTCTATCTCCGAGATGAGGTAGAGGCAATTCGATCAGTAGCATTATGCTGTTACCACACTTAGACGCTAAAGCAAAGAGCCGCGAGTTCTGCTTGTCCATTAAGAGTTTACTAATGAAATAATTCCTGAGGGTTATATCACTATTAGGTATTGGATTTCCACCACCGAAATTTCGGATGCGTAGTTGATTTTCATAGAGTACAACTGCGAATGTTTGTTCGTCATTTATTGCGGTAATGGTTGTGAAAAGGCGGCCCCAGTTGCCACTATCGACGTCCTGTAGCTGGTTAGTTACTTTAATGTCAAGCTTTCGTTTGATATATAGATTAGAACCTACTCCCGATGGTGTTTGGGCCGAGTTTTCCACATGCCTAATCTTGACCTGTCTGGTAAGTAGTGATAGGTAGGAAATCTTTATATCATGTCTTTCGGATATATCCGGTTGAGTAATATAATAAAGAGCTGTATCGGAAGGGAATGACAAATGTGTTACGCTTCCCGCCGGAGCGTCCACTCTGAGTCTATCCCATGGTTCTTCCGCAATAACCCTATACTGGAGTTCGTCGCTGGATGATAACGTACTTTCGGAATCACCCCTAATATAATGTTAGCAAGAATCTAATACTAAGGATGTTATAGAGATACCTCGGGACTCTGCGACTGAGTAGATCGCTTATTTTGGCGTAGTATATCCATGAACTCTCTAAATCCCGATGCACCACGCAAGCAAGGATTTTACCCCCTGGAGAAATGGCTATTCGATCAAGTCCATTAGGAGCGTCAACCGGGAGTTCGATTTTGTAGTTTAGATCAAAATTCAGCCCTGGCAATCTGCCACCCTTGATATCAAAGAGATAGATCTAGACGCCGCATTAAGTTCTGATCTATTCGCCATACAAATAGTTAGTACTAGACTTACGTGGGAATGGCGTCCTGTTACCGAAGCAATTAAATATGTCTCATTTAGCTTCACGCTTTTCCATGCGCCTTTTCCTCTTCGTTCGTAATATGGAACCCTCTTGTCCCCACCTCGTCGCTGAAAATATTGCAAGTCATATAACGAAATACAGGTATCTGTCCAATGAGCGATGACTGGCTCATTGGGGGCTATAGAGTATCCCGCGACAGCTCTTGCATTAGAAATCCACCAGCTTTCTAGCTTCGGTCCGTCAGGTTTCTGACTGATGAGGGCAATATCAGCTACAGGAGTACGGGTGTGGAACTAGATAGGTATTTTTGTGTACTTACTGTCTTATTGGGAATCGAGAAATTATCCTCGAAAGAATTCCGTCTTGCGTATGACCTTCGTATTGTTCAGGAATCTCACTTAGTGTATAGTAAGCCGCTGATGCAGCGAGAAGTTTATCCCTGATGCACCTAGCCGGCTCTCTCCGTCGGGGATCTAGCTCTAGGACCTTCTCTTCAATATAGTTTAATACTTCTTTCATCACCTTGCCTTCGCCCGAATTCCTTCTATTGGCTTCCTTGATTAGACGCCTGTGGTGTTCTTTGATTGCCGGGTGAGGCCTGGGTGGTGTACGATACCGACTGATGAGGAAGAAGTGGTCTTTGTCTCCTGCTCCGGAGTTTTTGGAAGTAGCTGCTCTCCTGTCCGCGTACGTATCAATACCCTCTTGTCCTTCGTTGATATATGTTAAAACGACGCTAAGGACACATCCTAGAGACCAAATATCACTTTTCTCGTTCATATTCCGCACTGAGATACTCGACTCGGGCGCGAGGTAGGTGCCCTCTAACCGGCGATTTACAGTATCTGATACCGAAGTGTCGCCTCTTCTCTTCTCAAAAAGAACGCTGATATCTTGATCAACCGTGTTAGTGTGTTTATGTGATACTTTCACACGCGACATGCCGAAGTCACTAATTTTCCAAACCAATTTTCCATGTTCCCTATCATAAAAGACAAGAACATTTGCTGGCTTTAAATCCATGTGATAGCAGACCATCCTATTACCGCTGGAGTCTCTGATCTCGGAATGAAGAAACTCTAGGCCGTCTGCAAGGCCCGATGCACATTCTAGAATGTCTGCTTTTTCCGATTCGAGAATCGGCGGTGCATTGTTGCGCATCCATTCTCTGAGGTCGCATTCCGCGAGCGGCATGAATAAGCTGAATATACTCTCATCGAGTTGAAGACTACCGAAAGTCTCGACGACGTTCTTAGATTTCCGAGGAGTGCATAGAATCTGCTTCATGGTTCCCAACTCTTTCTGAAAGTGGTCGTTTTTCTCAAAATCCTTTCGGGCCATTGGCATAGGTTCCGAATTCACCATCGCCATGGACTTATTTACCAAGTGCCCTTTAGCTATGAGGACGCGATAAACCACACCATAAGACCCCATCCCGATTTCCTCTTCATCGGACATATAAGGCAGCCTCTGCTTTTTCCCATCGGCCCACTGAACATCTCCACTATGAAGCACAATAGGGCAAAAGCAGGGTTGCATATCGATGAAGCTGTTGATGTCAGGTCCATTCTCCACCCCGAATATTTGCTCGAGTTGTTCGCGCTCCGCTGGAAGCTGATCAATCCTAGTCTGACCATCGTAGGAAACTGGCCAGCTTTCGGGATCAGAGGGACAAGTGAGGAGTTTCCTAGTAAAGCATCTAACCGACTCTATACTACAGCGGGAGTAAATTAAAATAGCTACAAAGTTGTGGAGACTCCGCTCTTCGATTCGAGATGTCAGCAAATCCACAGTTATCCCAGGTCCAAAATGCGTTTCCAGTGAATCATTAGAAGGTACCAGACTGCAGAATAAGCGCCTTAAGTTGTAGGGGGCCAGAACCGCTTGGGTGGTACCGACTTTAGCGAAGCGCCGGTCGGCAATATCCCGCCTTTCAAGTTTCTCGTGGATTTGACTATATAAATCCCTAAGTATCTCATTGTATGAGGGCGAGGTCATTTTTGGGGAATTAGCTGTGAGGGATTGGAGCTGAACAAATACCAACATCAGATTCTAAGTAATATATTAAATCTGGCAGCACGGTGATACAACACATAACAACTATGATCGACGTGACTAGATTACGCGGCTAGCACGGGAGCGGACAATATCGAGATGCTCATTATAGAAGCATACGTAGAGGATAAGCCGCCTTTTCCAGGCCCAGGCAACTCAACGCAAGAGCAATGTGTGCAACGCGGAATATATTCCATAAAGGAGGCCTCCCGTCCGGCTGAGAAGTCGCGGTTACCTACACCTTTAGGCGCCTAGCTAGGTAGCTGATAAGGGAAATAGGGGTTATTGGATTATTTTAGTCGACTCGGCTCGGCATGGATTTGTAGGATCTGTCATACACCAGGCTTGAGAGGTACCTAGGTAATACACTCAGCCATAATATCACCCACACAGGATATTTCATCCAATATCCCCCGCCAATAAGCAATTACATAGGTACCTACCTACCTACCTACCTAGGTACCTATATAAAATAAACCTCGCTTTTTACGCGTGACCCGGATAGAGATTTTAAAATAGCGATCTACCCAGGTCCTAACCTATTGAGCTCGCTGAAGACATCTCTCATAAGTCTTCAGTCCGGATCTATGTATTATTTAGATAGACTACCAGCAACTCGGGCCAAACCTTGAAGGGGCGTCTCAGCCGCAGCACTACCTAACATAACACCCCGAGTAAATTTCCACACACTGACATCAAAGCACTCCTATAGCCAATCAAGTTCTTATGGTAGTCGCAGATAAGTATTATGTCGTACAGCAAGGAACGCCGACAAAACAGCAAAAGTGCTCAGTTAATCATGGATTAGTAATTAGATATATGGTTACAACTTAGCGGAGTCTTCCTTGGTGAACTCAACCTTGTTGGAGACAATTCCGACGCCTTCGAGCTCGACTTCGACGATATCGCCGTCTTTTAGCCACAGCTGCGGCTTGCGGCCCATTCCAACGCCCGACGGCGTTCCCGTCCAGATAAGATCACCAGGTAGCAACGTGTGGCCCCTGCTCAAGAACGCGATGGTTTGCCTCACATTAAAGATCTGATCGGCTGTGTTGCTCTCCTAAATCTTATGTCAGCTGCCTGTTTAAGTCACTACGTCCCTATTCCCCGCATAGAGACTCTATTCATTTGCTTACCTGGACTGTCTGTCCATTCAGTCTAGTACTGATCTGAAGCGTCTGTGGGTCTTTGATGATATTGCTGGTGACGATGCCCGGTCCATATGGTGCCCAGCCGTCAAACCCCTTACCCAGCGACCATTGGCCACCACCGCGCGCGATCTGCCAGTCTCGGTGCGAGACATCGTTTCCGACAGCGTATCCGAGAACATAGTCGAGCGCCTCAGACTCCGATACGTCCTTAGCCTCCTTTCCGATAATGACGACAAGTTCAACTTCATAATCCAGTCCTAGTTCCTCCTGTGCAATTGGGTGGATGGGGATAGGATCCGTAGGCCCTGACAGAGAAGTGACCGGCTTGTACTGTTCGGCGTGTTTAGCGCACGGTCCTACATATATTTCAAGTGAGATAAAAAGAGTCCACTTACGAATAGGACTGGATATTTCGGTATCGGAAGACTGGCCTAAAAAATATCTCAGCATTCTGATCAAAGACTCTGTGTATATTAGATAGGCTAACCTCTTTCGCGTGCAGTGCGTAGTTAAGACCTAGACATCGGACGGACCTGACATCCTCTAATGCGAGAGGTGCTAGAAGTAGTCGGACGTCCGCAATCTGATCGGTAACTTCATGCTTGCCAAAGATATCCCCTTTGATGACACGTGCTTTCTTCGTCTTAGCAATGTCTGTCACTCCCTCTGGTAGAATAGCATCTCCATAGTACGTTTTGCCATTCTTGGCCAGAAAACGGACAAGTCTCTGAGAAGGGTCAGCTAGATGACTATAAGGTACTTTAGGAGGTAGCTAAGCTTAGTTGAAGTTGTTTAGGTACGTAACGGGATTGGTTGGCTAAAATACTGAGGGGTTATCACTTACAGAAAAAGCCGGCATGGTATCCTCTTTTTATATGAGAGAATATGATTTAAGATTATAGTAAGACCAAATTTTCAGACTGAAAAATGTTAAGACAGCGTGATGAATAGTAATGGTATTAAAGCTGGTTATATGACTTTATACATGTTGGACTTGGACTTGGGTGGAGTAGGATATAAATTAGTTAGTATGATATGGTAGGGGTAGGCGAATGATCGGGGTTTCGGTAAAGTCGGGCGGTACTGCGTTTAGCCTGTCTTGCCTATCCTGCCTATCGTACGAAGTAGTCGTAAAAGATAACCCCCGAGGCCGGAGTGTCGGATTCCCCACCTACCGGCAGTTCATTAACTCCCCCTCCCCCTTTCTTTGGCGCTTTATAATCCCCACTGCATCTCCGTCGGGCAATTATTAATGTATCATTAATCTACGCTACCGACTTATGCTCATATTCTGTGGGTATGACGCGCAAAGCTATCCTAACACGTACATGCTTATAATTTTCATTAACATGCAGACTATTCGATGTACATGTTTATTACCCCATATCTTGTTGGATCAACACTGGTAATAGATGGTCTCCCGTGTTGTTGAATACAGAGAAGTGGAATTCTGATGGCACAGTCCAGTGGAGTTAGTCCTTCGGCATGTGGCCGTAGAGTACAGCGGATGAAACTCGTCAATAACTTAGTGTGTACTAACTGGACAGATCTGAGATAGGAGCTATCATATTGACATACCGATATATCGCCGTTTACTAACTTATAAGGTATATATTTAACTGATTTATTCGTCCAAGTCCGGAAACCTTAATTTACGGACCTTTTGCTGGCTCTGAAGTTCATCGAGTTGAATATACTACAGGCGAAATAGCTCTCTAATTTCTAATTTAAGGTGCCAACGAAAAGAATATATATCCAGTGAATCAATATATTCAGTCGCTTGTCATATATTGTAGATTAATAACTTAATCTCTCTGGGGTTGCCCCCCATAGACTGACTGCGTAGTATAACTGCGCTGAGATGGCCGGGGGGTCTGAACCTCATATTGAGTCCTCAGGTGTGCCCGCTCAGACCCTGCGTTGCCAATATACATAGGATTGAAGTTTCGTAATGCGAAGTGGCAGAAGAAACCGAATTCTGCGATAGATAGAACCCATATTAGAGCTCCAAGACCTGCGCAGGCTCCCATTACAGATCCGAATGTATTCCATAGGTCTTTACCGCTGCTCTCTTCGTAACCATTGTTGAATGAGAGGCCATACGAGGCCCAAGACGCGCTCCAAGCCCAGCCTGTTAGCCAGAAGATCGAGTTTAGAGCATAAGCAGCCAATACTACTATGCGATAATAGAATCGAGGTGCTTTGAGCTCAATAGCCAGCGGGGCACCGTAGACGACCCACGTAAATACTGTCTGAAGTAGTTAGAACTGTGTAAAAGACATCGAATTCAGAAAAGAACATCTTACTAGGAAGATCAGATATTCTGGAACTCCGGAGTTATAAGAGGGGTTACTGTGCTGAATAGATAGCACATAGGAGGCCAACGCCAAGACGATAACTGAAAGAAGGATAAGAGTAGCTTTGGTATAAAGTAGGAATTTGGGAAATGTAGGGGCCCCGCGGGCAATCAGTCCTGATGTCAACATTATAGTAAAGATTAATTAGTCTTATTTAAGATATCGAGTAGCCAAATTTGTAACAATCTAGAGTAACTTCATTAGCATGTGTCACTAGGAGGTAGCTATTATGAGATAGATAGGCAACTTTAGGTACGATAACTCCTGAGAAGGCAACAAAGCACTGAGAAAGCGACTGGACTATTCCGTATGCGAACCTCATTTATCCCGTTCCTTTGCTATACCTAGTCGTTTCCCATTGTTAGTTCGCTACTACCTATAATATTAGGTAGTCTTTGATTATTTTTATGGACATCTGGTATTTTCTTTTTATCTTCCTGGGGGAAATTTTAGTGTAGACTTCTCGCCCATGCAATACGTACATTAGGTATTTTACTAGTATCATAGGTAGTTATAATATACAGAGCAGGTATGAGAGTAACTCTCATTTGGCAGTTTTATATGAGGTTATAGTATTACATGTATATAGGTGAATGCTAAATACAGATGTACATCCTGTATATTACTTGTATCTGAGGAAGCTGTGAACCTCAAGTGGAGCTTCCTTATATTGTTTAAGATAAATCATAACAGGTATCGGCTGTAGCATGTAGTTCCTGCTCAATTGCTTCCTTCCTTCCTGCCATATTATATACATGTGCCCACCTTAATTAAGAGGTACATACGTCACTTAGATTAAGGGCATTATACACTCACAATTATTCCATATCATCATTTATTCAGTTCATTTTCACTTTAGGTACTCCCATGCAAGACCATTCATAACTGTTTTTCCTAGAGCGATTCACGTCAGGAGACCGGAATGGATCTTCAGGAATCTTTGGTAGATGATTCTTATCTAGAACCTGATGAGTATGCGCGGTTGAACGGGTTATCGATCGACTCCCAGGCCCAAGTTTCTCTTTTACTTGACCATTTCCAAAGGCAAAGCAATCATCTACTGGATAATAAATCAGCCGATGATAACTCTCTTACTCAACTGCATATCCCGCGTCTTATTTCTCAAGTCGAACAGCTTGATGGTGTATCCAGAGAATCACTGGAACTATTAAGTCATGCTGCATCGCTGGGACGCGAGAATAGTCATGCATTTGATTGTCCTATCCCTGTGGACTTTTCGAAGTTGAAATTGGAATCTCCATTGCTCCGAAGCGACCCTGAATACGACTGCCGAGAACTTGTTAGGTCTATGCAGCAGCTGCGACAAGCCAAGGTAGACCTAACAAGTGTGCCACTGGAGCCTCTTCGCAAATCAAATGATGAGAGCTTAGATTTTCCAGAGACATCGTACCAATATAAGCAGATACTTACCAAGGAAATTCGTGAGGAAAAGATAGATATCCCAAAAGAGGCTCTTATCTATCTTTCCCGCATGCTGAAAGATGTCTGGACATCAGAAAACCATGCAGAGTTATTAAACAAAATTTCTCATCGAAGAGTGAGCAATATACAAATCCAGATTACCTTCGGTTAGGTAGTCTGCCTACACTACTAACTTGCATCGTCAGGTTCTTCGAGATCTAGCCCTTACACCTCCTCTTAGTCCGTATCCACAGCACGAAGGTTATTTCATCCCCGAAGACGTAGCATGCCAAGTTCCGTTGTCTTCAGATACCAGCACGCTGCTTGATGATGATTTGACCAAGGCCGAAGCGGATCTACTACAAGAGGATGACTATCATGCCGATATTCCCTCGCTCGTAGACCTCGAACCCCTAACTATACCCCCATCAGACGACTTCAAACTGCCAGACACGACGCGGCTAAAAATTGACTCACTAAAAGTTGAAGGTCCCTTGACCCCATTAAACTCATTGCCCCCATCATCTGAATTAGCTGTAGACATGGCAGACCTCGCTAGGTGCGTGGATATCGATCACGTACTCGACAAGCAACGATCGGGTATACCGGATGCTAAGGGCGTAAAGGATCCAAACGGTATGTTCAGCGACGATATTATGACTGCTCTTGTAGAAAAGGTTAAATCTATTAAGAGAAGTATCGAGCAGGAAAAATTACAGGTCGCGGATGCGATCGCTAGAATAGAAATTCCTACGATGGATTTCTCGATTACTGACCCCGACTGGAAAGAAATCTCGCTAGATTCTGGGTTGCAACTGGAGTGGATAGAAACGACATGCGAAGCTTTTAACGCACCCTCATGGCCGAAGGACCCTCAAGCAGAACGAGAGCTTCGTTGGTCCCCCTTTCCGTCTAAGATGGGCCATATATCTATGAATGAGATAATCATAGATGATGGTATTGCAGAAGTCTTGCTCAATTTCTCGGGTCCTCTCGAAGTGCCAACAAGTGGGGACTATGTCTGGAAACACCCAGGTCTGGCTATCCTTCGGGAATTGGATGATGATGATGAAGAGGAGCAGGAATTACCTTACGTTTCAGGCGAGGAAAAGAACATTGAGTCATTGGTGAGAAAGAGGCGACTAGAACTCAACAACTCGTTAGATTCAGCTTCGCCAGTCGAAGTAGTTCATGCTCCTCAAGCCATAGGAACAAAATCATATCAAACTTCACTTGACGAGCAAGGTCAGAACTCTCACCTTCTCCTCGGTTGCAACGACAATTCTGCTACATCGACTCTACTTTCCAATTACCTCGACTTTCATACCGCAAAACGGCAAAAGAATATGAAAAGCTCCTTCTTCCCAACCTTTCCTAAACAAGTAGACGACGTCAAAACAAAGGTGGCTTTGAGTACCTCGACGAAAAGTCAACTGGATGAAACATTAGTATCGAAACCAGAGCCAGAGAAGGAGCCGGTAGTTCCCACTCCTTGTCCTCCATTACAACTAACCTTTACGCACACGAAGATAATAAAGGCGCTGACACTTGGACGAGGCGTGTTCTCCCGCCTCGAGAAATCTCACCCGAATATTGAAATAATCGAACGTGATTTCGAGCGCTGGAATTCTTCAGCATGGAATCGTAATTCAGTATCTCGGTCGCCGATCACGTCACCACTGGCCGCCGAAGCGGACGTAATCGTCTCCCCCGCCACCGGAATCGTGATGATTACATTGCTCAGAGCTATACAGAAACCACCTCCGGGTCAGAAGGGCCTTTCAAAGGTCCGAGAACGTATCCGTAATGTCGCGCTTCGGTACGAACGTCTCATTATCCTTGTATCGGAAGGAAATCGCGTTGATGAGACAGCTCGGAATCTTACGCCTGCAGAGTGTGCTGGCTATGCCGATTTTGTCGGCTTCGCTACTGGACTGGACACGAATGTGCAGGTCTACTATGTGGGAGGCGGCGATGATACACTCGTAAAATGGCTGGTCTTCTTTCTAGTCCGCCATGCACCAGACGTAGAAGCCTTGAAAGATATAATCATCCAAGAGGAGTCGCTATGGGAGGTGTTCTTACGGCGGGCCGGTATGAATGCGTATGCTGCACAGGCTATACTCGGACAGCTCAAGGCCCCTGATGATATCCCTGAAGAGCAGGCGGGCAAATATGGGCTTCCAGCCTTCATCAATATGGCGCCAAAGGAGAGGGTCGAAGCGTTTCGAAATCTGATGGGTGGGGAAAGGGTGTTGAATAGAGTCAATGAAACTCTGGAGACTCAATGGGGCTGATGGAAGGATTGCTTAATCTGTGCTTGATATATTGTCTCTTATGCTCGGCAATCTTCAACCTAATATCGTGATCGCGAGAATAAGGGGGGAAATATGGCCAAGGATTAGAAGATGTTGGCTACTTGCCTGAAATTGGCTTACCAACTGCTTTAGACAGCTTCATAAATGAGTGGGAACGAAGTAATTCGACGTCAAGAAGTTCCATAAAGGCTCGTACTCGCAAATAATTCCGGGTGCGAGAAGCGATGATATAATGAAATGAGTATACACGATTTACCTATGGGTATCATTGCCGTCTAGCCCACTATACGTCTTCCTAAGGCTCTGTTTCCTCAGAGTTATTCGATATGCTCCATATCTTCAAGCTACTTTCTTTATTTCGTCTGCGCATCCAAGGCGACGCGGGCCTTGAAATATCGCTGCTATCATCGCTTTCCCCGCTGTCATCGCTGCCGCTGCTGTCTTGCGATAGAGACTCGTTATCTCCGTCATCGTCATCTGGAAACTCCCAGGATCCAGAACAAGTAGCGACTACAGTACCGCTTTGATGAACACACGTACTCCCCACAGTCGACTTACGGGCAGCGTCCCAACTCCAAGCCGGTTCGTGCGCACCCTCGCGAGTCCCGACACCTTCCCACATCTTAACAGCACCGTCCGTCGTCCCGGACCAAACCTCGAAACCCCCTTCTTCACTCCCGCCTTGTCCGGGAAACACATCGCAGCTAATCCGCTGGTTGCCGAGCGCCTCGCGGCTAGCTAGCCACCCGAGTAATTTCCCCGTCACACGTACGTCGTATACCAGGACGCCTGTTGACTTGCGCTCGCCGAGTAGTAAGTACCGGCCACAGGGACTCCAAATCGCCTGGGTAATGCCGTCACCGCCGATACATGCCTCCTCGTTGGCTGCGCTTGCGATGTTCCACGTGGCGGCCCAGGACCCGCCAGACTGCGCGAAGTCATATAGACCGACCCAGCGGGTCCAGGTGCCAGCGGCAACAAGGCTGGCGAAGTTCGCGTCGGGGGGTTGGGCGGCGAGCGAGGAGATGGTGCCGCGCATACCGACGCCGCCGCCTTTGGATATATGCCGCTCCGAAGGAATGGTCTTGACGCGGAGGACGGGCTCCTCGCCAGTGCGAGTCACGTCGAAACGTGCCAGGAGGTTGCGGCTACCGGCGATGAAGTGTGTGCCTGGGGAGGGCCAGACGAGCGCGGTGGCGGTGAGGAAGGTCTCGGAACGGGCTTGGGTTAAAGGGTAGCTGGATGCTGGAGACGGGGATGAAGATGGGGATGGGGAAGCTAGGTAGAAGAGTTGGATGGGGTGGTCTCGGCTCGAGACAAGGAGCTGCTGCGTCCAGGGCTCCGTGAGCCGGAAATACGGCGCTCCTGCTAGAACATTGCTTGGTTCCGGGAGTTGGATGCTGGCTTGGGGCGTGAGCTTAAGGGGCCGGCTAGCTGTAGGGGAGAGTAAGTCTTCGGGTATGATGTAGCCGGAGATTAGGTTTGATGAGGACGATGTTAGGAGGGTGGTGCCGTCCGCAGTCCATTGAGCCGTCTCGAAGTAGCCTTGAAGTGCATCGTTTGTATCGTCATGATGCTGTATTATATCCCCAGTCGAAGCTACAAGTTCTACCTTGTTGCTATGAGGAGGCTCCTCTTCGTGATCCATGCCGGAGAGCTTCTAGTTTTATAGCTTCTCATTTCTACGGCATGCGAACTATTAATGCATAGGTTTTCTAGACTTTCAAGACGAATTGTCAAAAATGCTATGGATGGAGGTAAGGGTTCGTTGGGAAGTAAAATTGACGATAGTGTACCTAGGTACACCCTCAATATTGACGGAACCTTACTGGAGTTGGTGGATCTTCATGTACAAGGTTTCACTAAGAAATAGTAGGTGTGTTAGCGAAATACTACTGTTTCTTGTATTTAATAAGCGTTTTTACCGCTATAATATACGCACGCTAGCTTGCCCTACTATCAAGCTTCTGATGCAGGGGCTAACCTAGCTCTGGCTGTCTGGGTCCCGCCCGCCTGCATCCTATCACATGCCCCAGATTCTAGGCAAGTGCTGATAGGTCGCCTATCATAACTTGTTCCTGATTTCTGACCTGAAGTTCGCCATAAAATCGAAGCATCCGTCTTCAACCTTGGACATCAAAAAAACAATCGCAACTGCGTAAAGGGTCTCGTCCTTATCCGCCATGTTAGATAGCAAGTAGGCTATCTACTTCTGGCGTGACGGACGCATTCCACCCTTATTTGTTATTTATATTCCATTTCGATCGCTTTGAGGATATCCTCGACGATCGCCAATTAACCTGGTCAGCTTAGGTCGACCTACTCCTTAGCCATCTCAGCGACTATCCGTTTTTAGGACCTAAATTACTTCTAGTATTTCCTAGCTTTGTCCATACCTTCGATATCGAAATTTCTACGTAGAGAATTGCCATCATGGACAGTCTCTTCGTTAAGGATCGCTGTGACGCGCTCCGCGAGGGCGGCTTCACCAACTTCTTTATCTCCATGTTAGTGGATTTAATCTGGCAACCACATTTATAGTAGACCAAGCAATACTAATCACCAACCATCTACGTCTAGTCTAATTGTGATCGGTATCATGCTATCATATGTCACACAACACTATCGAATCATCTCCCGCGGATCCTCCGAAGGAATATCTCCGTACTTCGTGTTGCTCGGTGTCACCTCAGCGAACTCGCAGTTTGGGAACATCCTCACCCTGCCTCAATCGCGAGCCGATGTTGCCTGCTGCAAAGTAGTTAGCCCCTTCGAATGTACTGCTGGATTACTCGGAATTGCACAGATTGGGACACAATGGGTTTGTTTTGCTATCATGTTGGTTCTCACTCTAGCAATCTTACGTGAAGTTATTACTGACCTAATATAGCCTCGTTCTATTTCTAGTCTTCTTCCGTAGGGAGGATGTTGATCTATCGGACGATGAATGCGAGCGAGACCCCGACCAACCAACCTGGAGGACCGCTGTTACCGTAGCAGCTCTATGCTTGATTCACGGTCTACTCGTTGTTATTGTATCAGCTGCATTTGCGTTTGGTGCTCCCTCGTACCTAGGTGCGTGGGCGAATTTCTTGGGAATCATGTCTGCTGCACTCGCCGCCGTCCAATACATTCCTCAGATTTGGACTACATACCGCCTCAAGCACGCTGGTAGTCTTAGTATTTTGATGATGTGCATACAAACCCCCGGTGGGTTTCTTTTTGCTGGTAGCTTAGCAGCACGTCTTGGTTGGGCAGGTTGGAGCTCTTGGGGAGTATATGTCTTGACAGCCATAATGCAAGGTATCTTATTGTTTATGGCCATCTCGTACGAGTGGCCGTCGCAGGAGGAGCGCCGTCAGTCTACTCCGCAACCGCAACGTCCTCCGTATAACCGACGTACCACACCCAGAGTCTTACCTTCGCCAGGCCCGTACTCTGCTCACTTACAGGCCTATGGCGAAACGCAAGAAGAAATCGAACGTGCACTAGACCGCGAGAGCGTCCAAGGCATAGGAGAAAACCAACCTCTCTTGGCACCTGGTGGACTTGGCAGCTCAGGTGTTCGCTAGCTTACCAGCCTTGAAGAGTAAGGTATCTACTCTATCTCTCGTTTCTCCAAACATCTATCTATTGACTACGAGAATGTCTATGTCTATTTGCTTTAAAGTTGGCTGAAATTGCGTGTTACTTGTTTTATGAAAGAATAACAACTACCTTAGGTACCTACCTCTAAATATGAACTATAAATAAGTAAATATGATATTTCCACATGTGCAAAGTTAATAGCCAGACCAGCTTCCTACGTTAGGTAGAGACTAAGTTGACCAAGAGAACTCGCCGTATTTAGTTTAAACAGAAGATTGATATTTATAATCTTCTTATTATGTTGTAGCAGTCTACGAGCGTAATGAACGTGAAGCATGATTCCTTCATTCTTAATGATTTTTATTTTGGTAAAAACCTAACCACTAAGTAGGGGCAAAGTAGGGGCAAAGTAGGGGCATACGAGCTAAGCTACCTGGCTACCAGGCAATACAACCCGGAGCAGTCATACCGCGGCTGCATCCACTTAAGATCCCTTTAGGTAAGATATGGGGTATGTACTTGCCGCAGCAGTGGGACCAACCAGTATTGCGCGTGTTTGCGCTATAGTCTTGATTGGTCAGAGCTTATATCTCTTACTCACTGGACCAAATGTTGAGTCAAGGTCCGATGTGTCATGAATCGTACTCTTCTTATCCTCAGATATCCGCAGATAAGATATCCGCAGATAGAAAGGGGGCTTAATTACTATTACCGATCACGCCGCCAGCGTTGATTGATTTGCTCAACTTTTTAAAATCTGGATATCATTTCCGCTGGACACCATATTCCCTTCTCAATCCATTCTTCGAATACATAGAGCATCTGTATTATTCTTTTGCTTCAAGCAGAGTTCGTTATCGCAGTAATGGCTATCTATAGCGCTGTCCCGCCCCCTCCGGAGTTAACCAACACAGCGAACAATTCAAGCAATTCGAACCAAGGACAGCACCAAGAACAGCATCAGCCGCCGAACTCGAATCCAATAACAGCAAGTTCAGCACCTGATGGACTTGATATTGAAGCATGGACGATATCTGCGCTCGAGTCCCTCAGCGTATCTTCGATCGCTCGCGGTATCGGTGCCCCTCTATCAATCCCATTAGATGAGCATGAGTCTACAAAAAAAACATCAGTCATCATTCAAGATCCTCGCTCTAAATCTACTGTCATCACACCGCCACCGCGTCCTCTATCTCGTCGTGACAGTCAGCGCAGACGTGAGGCACTCTTAAAGGGCAAGGAGGGCAGCCGACAACGGCGGCGTTGGGAAAATGGTACTTGCAACCTATCAGCCCCTCCCTATTCACTCGACTCCATTTTTCTCGAGTAAATGGGTACAATGGCAAGACTAATATGATATCCTACCCTTTCCCCAGACCGCCTCATGCATGTGCCCAACGCACAGCCTCCACAGCCTTTCGACTGGGAGCCGCGCCCGCTACACCCCGTAAACCATGTGCCTTATCAGATCGCAGTCATCTGGGACAAGCGTGTCCGCGCCGAAGTCGAGACGAAATCGGACATAGCGGCTCGTCGTAAGCAAATGCAAACTAGGACACTAGGTGACGCCCACGTCGCTGGACGAGTGCCCCGCGAATTGTTCCAACGTGCCAAGAAAATCCCCGCCGTTAAGACTTGGGTTCGCTCGCTCGAGGAACCTGTCCGCCGATACCTCGTCGAACAGGAGCTTGCGAAAGAGCCTCTGTCCTCAGAAAGTGAGGATACCGAAGACGAGGAAATCGTATTCGTTGGTCGGGACGGTAATACGCGGGATGGCTGGAAGAAAGCAAAGCGAGAAAGCAAGGGTAAGACGGAGGAAGAGGGGATGATCTTTGATGCCTTGGGTGATGATACCGATAGTGCATTCAGGTATGAGCCTTTGAAATACGAGTATGCTAATTTAGTCTATATAAACGATACTGACGATTCTAGACGATGGATTACGCATTCCATTTCTGATTATTACGGCCTCAACTCTCGATCGGTCTTCATAGGCAACCCAAAGCGCAAGGTGGTATATGTACAAATGAAGACCGGACACTCCCCACCACTACGACCAGACCTTCCGCGACCCCTCTGGGAGCTATGCTGATGAAGCTCTGCGGCTTCGGAACCCTCGTCCACTTCTTTCTTTCATTCCCGTTTATTGGGTTGCAGACAGCATTAGTGTAGTAGAGTCGTACTCGGTCGAGACAGATATAGACTTGCATAAGCAGACTTCCAACACATAGCTGCAAGACCAATTCCAGCTCAACTCTTACTTCTAGGAACGTTTCTGTTCCATGCGTCTTATATAATCAGTAATGGCAGTGATATTCACCCAATCATGCTCAGCCAATCATATAGTTAGGATTCAGAGGATCCCAAACTGCTGCCTTACCTTAGGCATATAAAGCACTCTTACGCCGCCTTTCCCCAACTTATCTTTTTCATCCTTTAGCTACCCCTTCACTTTTAGTCATCATTATAACCCACCCCTGACAACTATAATATATACCCAACCCTAGGTATACAACCCGCCCAGATACCTAAGCATGTCTCTCTCAAGCCTGCCTCCCGAGACCCTGTCTTTAGTCCTAGAGTTCCTCGCAGACGAAGACTTGACCTCTCTCATACTTGCCCAACGTGTATGTAAGCGCTTCCAAGCAACCATAGAACGCATCCTATTCCAGCTACCCTTGAGGAGGGCATGGGACGGAACCAACCCAATCGGTGTCTGTCCTCTCCTCTTAGGCAAGTTCAGCCACCTATTCGTGAACGGAAAACGTGAATTTAGTCCTGACGAGGGCTGGAATACTGGGATACCGTTCCGTCGTTTACCATGGGCTGCTAAGCGCCAGGCGGATGGAGCAGCAGTGAAAGCGGTTGCGATGCAGGACTCGCCGTACTTACGCCGTGAGGCAAGCTGGCGTCGTCTAAGCGTAACGTTCGGCGCGGGGCCAAGCGTTAGGTCGGTAGATGTGATAAAAGTGCTGACCGTGTACGGCGGGACGAGCATGGAGTACAAGCAGCTCGATATCCCACCGCCGTTGTCTGAGGTATCCGGGAACGCTGACGAGAGCGTGGAAGAGGGCAGAGAGGGTATCCTGACTATGGGCCTGCTCTACGACCTGCTCGCGTCAGGCGTAGGCCACATGGGCCAAATAACGACGAGTTGGCAGTTCCTACCCGGCAGCCGGCTGGGCAGCTACAACGACTGGCAAAAGCTGCGACTCCAGAACCGATACCCGGATGTCAAGCGGATCAAGGAGCTGTTTGTTAAAGACAATGAGAGCGCGGTGTTGTTTGTTACGGGACACAGGGGATGCACGATGGGCAGGCGTATGAGAAGGAAGAGTTGCAGTGAGGAGGATAAGGTGTGGGAACCCAAGGTTATTGGCGGCATTCCGATTAAGATACGGTCATGGCAAGAACCATCTCCAGATCGCTTCTCGAGGACGTATGAGAATAAAGATATGAGAGAGGAGAGAAGGGCGCAAGAGGCATAAGTTAACGTATTAGGTAACTTACCTAGATACTACATTTTCTTAATCCTCCAAGGTCAAATAGGGGTATTCTAGTTCATACAAGCTAATAAGGACCACTTTTTCATTTTTGCCGTGTAAGCCTAAAGGCATGGCCAATTTTACCGCTCAGTCTTACTTAAGCCTCGGCCGGCCTCCGGAGACGAGTCGGGCTTTATTCCCGTTAGCGGGTCCGGGGTGAACCGGTCTCTTGAACTTTAAACGGACACGGCGGTCTCATCTAAGAAGTTTAAATCGCGGACGAGAAGCTGAAAGGACTGAATTGCCCAAATGCGACGCGCTGGATGCTTTATCAGCGTAACACGATCGCTTCGGTGGTATAACGGTGCCCTCCCAATGGCGAGCACCGAAATAACGAAATAATGTAGATTGGGCTTAACAATCAATTGATCTGGAATTTGACTGATCCGGAACTCCTTCTGTGCGCCGGCAGGATCAATAGCCTTCACGAAGGGCGCGGTATGTTCTGGTGGTATTGTTTCCTTTTCCAGTAACGAACCTGCTTACACCCCAATTCTCGCGAGCCGAAGGGGAGCCGAAATACTACGCATTGGCGCATCATGTGGTATGATTTCCGACTGATCATACCCGCATATGAATTCGTGCATTGAGAAGTCATCGAAGCCTTAAGACTATTGGTTAGTTGGTACATCAAGCATGTCATAACCCATGAACCGTTCGCACTTATCTTCATGCAGTACAGCGTAAGATTTTCAGGGGAGCTTGGGGTATTCTCAATAATAGGAATATTCTGTGCAACTTTAAGCAATTCTGACCCGTGCTGCAGAAAACATAGGGGTGTCAAGTGTCATCTGCGGAATGTTAACAGTCTATTGAGACAATGATATGAGACTTATCAGCTTGAGTGCCTTATGCTTTCTTCAACCTACCTAACCTAAGGTAATTAAACTTACGTGTAAGTACCTACCTATCTCATCTCAACGAAGAGATGTATATACTAAGAGGAGGAAGGCCACGTGCCCTCAATATCTCGGAGAATTCTTCATGTATATAATCACAGACGGTAATATCATTGGTAGAAACTGTTGAGTCGCCATTGAGAGCAACATTAAAAGTACCTAATCTAATTAACTACCGACAGTTTCGGAGATAAAGTCCCATAGTCTTGACTCTTCGGTCCCGACACATTGCACATTCTACAAAATGGCTTATTAGAGGCGCACGGAATAGGACTATCTGGGAGCTCACGATCCGGAGCGTGGCATACCAACCTATCCCGAGCAAAATGCAGGATCTGATCTGGTACCACACCTGTCAATCCAGCGTTCCACGACACATAGCTAAATCTTGATTTGGAGAGTAACTTGTGTGACATTTGTACGATTTCCCTCCTCTTTCACGAATTTGTTGTTCCGGTATCCAATTACCATTGATACTTGGCGCCAGGCCTTGGCCAATACATAGTTCCTTTTCCCGCACTTGGCTTTTTTTTATACTTATGATACCGTGTGGCTAGAACCGTGTCCCTAGAACCGTGTCCCAAGATTCGCCCATCGTCGCCCCTAGCGTCTACTAGTACACAGAGCTACTATGTACTAACCCTCAGCTCAAGCTATTGCACCTACATATTAATACGGTGCAGTCGTTCGTTGACTTTAGATCGAAATGGGACACTTGATTCTTACACTTCAATGCTAGGCAGCCTACACGGAATCATAGCAATGTGCGAACGCATATAGTACCCATTGTCAGATTCCAGTTGCGTCTGGTACGAATCCAATGTACGCCGGTTGTATTGAACCCTCCTATATGTATCATCAGCCCGCTTGTGATCCTTCTACCGGGACCGAAAGGTGGTATAGTTGCGTTCTTATTGCTCTTACCTGTATATTCCTACCTAGAGGTTGGTAGTTCGCGACTTCACGCGGGTCCGAAGTAATATATGCCATGTGGTCACATTACATATTTAGATATATTCAAAGGTCCAGTTAGGCATCCTAACTTACTAATCCCCTTCGGACTTCGATATAATTCAATAATATACGGTGCTCCGGACCTCGCGCTCGCGTGTCGATGGATGCCGATGTAACAGCATGAACTTAAAATGGACCGTCAATATATTCCCCTTTTTGGTACTACGATGTCCGGTACATTTCGGTGTCTCTCCAACATGGTCCGAAACCTGCCCTTGGGGTTGGAATTGTGTACGCCCACAGAAGGGATACGGACAGACGCGTCCCATATATAGCAAACACCCACCCTTTGGAGTTGTCTAGTGTCTTCATTTCTCCATCATCAACACTTCCAACATCTCATCTTCGCAAGCCCTCCCAGAAGCCGCCCTTATATTGTCTTTAACGATTATACTCTCCCTTTATATTAACTAGCTTCAATATATTCAACATGCCTAGCGCTACCAACCAAGCCAAGCAAACGAGCAAGTATGATGCTATCCCGGGTCCTCTTGGTCTTGCATCTGCCTCTCTCGAGGGCAAGGTAGCTCTTGTTACCGGTGCTGGTACGTAGTTAACGCCCCTTTTCTCTTTCCGTTCCTCAACACCCATGCCTCAATTCTCAACCGGAATCTCGAATCCCATGCGCAAGCCACGAAAATTGCATTTTCACGGCTAGGCGCAACCAAGATTAGGGCGGGGTGTTGCAACACAACGTCCCGGAACCCCCAACCGATGTCCGGTGGCTGAACCGTCAATCGGCGGGATGGCCCTTCATGAAAACATCCCCAAATAGGAGATAGGATGCGTAGGATCGGAGCTGACCATGACACACATATATAGGGCGCGGTATTGGTCGGGAGATGGCTCTTGAACTTGGACGCCGCGGCGCTAAGGTCATCGTGAACTACGCCAACAGCACGCAGTCAGCTGAGGAGGTCGTACAAGCTATCAAGAAGGGTGGCTCCGATGCGGTAGCGATTAAGGCTAACGTGTCCGACGTGGACCAAATCGTGCAACTTTTCGACCAAGCCGTCAAGGTCTGGGGTAAGCTCAACATCGTATGCTCCAATAGCGGTGTCGTGTCATTCGGTCACGTCAAGGATGTCACTCCGGAGGAGTTCGACCGTGTATTCACAGTCAACACCCGAGGACAGTTCTTCGTCGCGCGTGAAGCCCACAAGCACCTCGAGGTCGGCGGTCGCCTCATCCTGATGGGCAGCATCACGGGTCAGGCCAAGGGTGTCCCGAAGCACGCGGTTTACTCCGGCAGCAAGGGTGCTATCGAGACCTTCGTCCGCTGCATGGCCGTCGACTTTGGTGACAAGAAGATCACCGTCAACGCCATCGCGCCCGGTGGTATCAAGACCGATATGTACCAAGCTGTATGCCGAGAGTACATCCCCGGTGGTGAAAAGCTGAGCGACCAGGATGTTGACGAGGTAAGCTTACTTCCTTTTACAATCCATCATCCATCATCCATCTCCTTTATGTGTTGAGAGATGGACTAATTCAACTCCGCAGTACGCCGCCACGTGGTCGCCTCTCGGCCGTGTTGGCCTTCCCATCGATATCGCCCGTGTTGTCTGCTTCTTGGCATCCCAAGACGGCGAGTGGGTAAACGGCAAGGTCATCGGTATTGACGGCCATGCCATGATGTAAATAGGATGTTGCGGTATTATTTACACGGGAGGTTCAATAGATGGGAGGTCACTTTGCTGTCGCATGTTACATATACATATCTCCTTAGCCGGCACCCAACCGCGGATACGTACGGCCTAGCATAACACACACTACTATCATCGAAGGAAGCTACTGCACGTTCTCGTTGCATATCTTCACCGAAAGACTGGCAGCGGTAAGGCGCGGCATGTCCTGTCAGGTGGTCATTACATGGTCATTACATGGCCATAAACATATATACGGTTGGATGTAAGCTAGATGGGATTTCTTAGAAGTACCGTATAGGGGGAAAAATATACACTACGAATTGACTAGGTTACCAATGTACAGTTTGATTTTTGTGTTGCTTGGTAAAGTCCTAGTCACCGTTATTTACGTGTGGACAAACGGCCTCAAGCTCAACGAGACTACGTGATGCGGGTGGCACAGCCCAAACATGGGATGATGTGTCTGCCGTGTTGGGTTGTATGCGGAAATACAGCATTTACACAGATGAGCAACAGAAGACGCATCCTAAAAAAGAAGATCATAGTAGGCAAGGGTTGTCGTACATACATAGATGTAGATCCATCCCAAGCCCCTGCTTGTTCAGGCGATCTACACTAGGTACTGTACATAGTGTAATTCATCTTGCGCAGGACATAGAGGCGTTGTCTTGGCTACCTCCCCCCCGGATGGCGGGCCAAACAACCTTGTAGAAAAGAATATGATTGGTCGAAGCAAAGATATGCCGACTACCTATTGCTACATACCACAAAGCTGCTGCCTGCAGCATTCTCCGGTAGGGATTACCTATACTCTGTCGATGTTGTATCTGTCGTTATCCCCCCTGTCTAGGACTCAGCTTTCCCTACCTAAAATACATAGGTTACCTTAAAACACAAACCTCGTCTTCCTACTAGTTATGTATTCTAGGTGTAGTGTAGGTATGACTGGGTATCCGTACGGATTAGGTAATAGAAAGGAATAACGTAACGAAAGGAAAGGAAAGGAAAGGAAAGACAATACGAAATGAGGCTATCGCGATGACTGTTGTTGTACTGATTGATTGATGTTGTAATGATTACGAATTGTGTATGTGGGTGCTACCTAGAAAGAATTGCCTTTTGTGTGGGGAATAGTCACGTGTTGTCACGTGACTATCCTTACGTAATGATATCCCATCATGTAGTTATAGGTATTTGTCTTTTTGTAGTTGGTGAAACGTTTCTCACCATACGTGTATGTATATAAGATTACGGACACATATTACAGGTAGGTAACGAAGAAGTTCGAAAGAAATAGGTATAAGTACCTCCTATGTAATTCTCAGCCAACCAAATAGATCCGAACTACCGGCAAAGTCGGACAGTTACATGACGTGCAAGTTAAAATACCCTAGCGAATCCCGAGCGAAACAGATTGAGAATAAGTCATATCAACGCACATAGCATACGAAATGGTTGCATACCTAACCTAGGTAGGTATATACCTTGTTTGGAAGAGAGCCGCATCACGGCTGATGCTGGAAGTAAAATGTACGTACACGTATGCGGGTAGTTTTGTCTGTTCCTAACCCCCTGCCAGCTCCAAGTCCTGTCGACGTGCAGCACAACAAGCAGATGATCGTGGGTACCTATAAGATGGGACCAATTAGCTTCCTTACAAATCCTATCCGAATCATTGGTACATGCACTACATACCTACCTACCTACATACATAGACCCCTGTGAGTGAGAACCCTGGTAATATGTATGGAACTGGCGTTTGCCGCATATCTAGGACTCCTTACTGCAGCCCGAGCGAAACAACTTCATCACTATGCTATCTAAGGCAGCTAAGAGGCAGGCTGGCGAATACGGATTCTACAACTCCTATACACTTACTCATAATGTGATGTAGCCTGCTCATCGTTACCCTACACTAATAGAAACCCGGCAAGTCATCTTGCTATGAGTGCAACGTTTGTCATAGAGTGCGTGGAGGTATGCGCGGCTTTCGGCAAGATTGACCTGATGGTTGAATATAAATACCTTCAACGAACGAGTGTTCATCCTGATCGATCGTGCTACTCAAAACCCTGATCAAAGAAACCCTAGATTCTGCACATATCTTCTCAATAACTTATTCTTGCAAACTCTTAACACTACTGCTACCTACTCTCTACAAGATGACTTCCGACCATGTTGATGTAGAAAATTCCAAGACGAACGGCACGCCTACAAACATAACCATCGGCGAAAAGTGCGAGTTCAAGGCCTACCATGAGACTATCAAACTCGGCCAGAGTAATACGGAGCTTGCCCCGGACCCCTTTGATAGCAACTCTCACGATGAAGATAGCGCTTATGCCTTAGTTATCCGAAGGAAATACGAGGAGCACAAGCCTAGCAAGACTACCTTGCATGTCAACTCCCCGTATATCCAGAAAGCCTTCCGTGACGTGATCAAGTCATACATCGCTGTTGCGTCGGACTTCACCTCTTCCGTGGAGCTTCATGGACCGTTCGAGATGCTCGCCCATTACTGGGACGAGCTAGATGAATACCGCAGGTCTACAACTGATGTAATTGCACGGGAGCATTTGGATCTCCTCTTTGAGTTCATGGAACACGAGGTTAAGCCCGATCGTGACCGTGCCCTCAAGATGATCCAGAAACAGCAGATCGCCTACGACAATGCGTGGTTCATATATCGCCCTGGGGATATCCTATACACTGAAGTAAGCGGCCATCCTTGGCTCCTAGTGTGTAAGAAGACGGCGTACGAAGATAGTAAGGATACCGGTCCTTACCTCGAAGTTCATTGTACCTGCACAGATGATGATGGCGTGGTGGCAGGCCAAATCTTACATGTTGCGGCTTTGAATCAGAGAGCTGCATTCCCAGCAGGAAACCCGGTCTCCATTACGGAACTAGAGATCTTCCCACGCAGGTTCGTTAATGAAGGTGACAGCCTTGAACACCGCCTTAGGGTACGTGGGGAGAAATACTTGTCTCTGAAAAATCTATCTACTGTGGCTTACGGTACGTATGAAGACATCCTTTACTCTCCCCGACAATAAGAAAATATTCAGATTCCAGAATATTACACATACTAATAGTTACATACCTACCTACAGATGGCGCTGCTGAATGGCTCAAAGAGCCTCCTTTCGAGTACTACGATCCCTCTCGATGTAAATTTCGCGGTGTATGGCTACCATATACCGAAACAGGAAGGATTATCCTAGATCGGAAGACATACGGTGAGGAGCACCCTCTAGGTAAGCCCCAGGTCAAGAAAATGGGTCCAGAGCCGATGTACTGCCCACCATACACTCTAGGCTACTCGCTTGGGCGCAAACAGTGGTGTCGGTTTTTCGTTGACTTTATCCGTGATGTTCAATGGGATGCGAATGCGTGGGACTCCTTGGTGCTTCCCGACAAAGAGAAGCATCTTCTCAGAGCTCTGATATCTTCCCACGCATACTCTAAGAACCCTCGCGACTCTTTGCAGCAGAAAGGGAAAGGTCTTGTTATCTTGCTCCACGGGACGCCTGGGTCGGGAAAGACCCTTACGGCTGAGACGGCCGCAGAAGGAAGTAAGAAAGCGCTTGTGTCGACTTCAGTTGGGGAACTCAACAAGGGATCAAAGTAAATCTCACTCCATACGTTCTAGGCTTCTTTTCTAACTTATATTAGCGCAATCTATGGGTCTGCCACCTTTGAGAAACAGCTCAAGAAATTGTTGCAATACGCAACGATCTGGCAAGCTGTGGTACTTATCGACGAGGCCGACGTGTTCCTAGAAGCTAGGAAAGACACCGGAAATGCCGAACGCAACACGTTAGTTGCTGGTGAGTGATTTTTTTATATAAATACCTTTGAAACATATCTAATATCGACGCTACAGTATTCCTTAGGGAACTCGAATATTTCGGTGGCGTCGTCTTCCTAACGACGAACCGTATGAGCTCATTCGACGTTGCAATGAAATCCAGGATCCACCTCTCCCTCAGCTATACGCCACCAGAGATTGACGTGCGCAGACGTATCTGGTCGCATTGCCTTAAGGCGGTGCCGGCAGACGCCAAGGAGATAGATATCCAAGGAGAAGTCGACTCCTTGGTGACTGCTAAGCTGAACGGGAGGGAGATCGCTAACGTCGTCAATACCGCGAGGACACTGGCAAGATTCAATGGCGCCCCTCTCAATCGCAGCCACCTTGACACTGTGATAGAAATCCAACAAGGGTTTGATGAGAGCTTGAAGAAGGAGGAGCTTCATTAAACAAATTTGACTGCTTACCTGACCATTATGCCTGGCCTAGCCAAACCATATATTCATTTTATTGTATCATTTACATAGGGATATTTCGACGTCGTAAGTGCCTAGCATATAGTTAACTCTCATTGAATTTATACTATTGCATTATTATATACTCGGAGTAGAAGTAGAAATGTTGAATTAGGTGCACAAATGTTTGCTTTCCCCCCTTTTACATTTCCCACATGCGCATTGGAATCCTTGTGTGATAATATTTGATTGGATATTGAATTTTAGTCTTGAATGTATTGCTACGCTTTATTACGTATTATAATGGGCTTTGGCCTAGGCCATAAAGGTAGAGGATATGAAGCACACCTTATGTATCCCGAAGCTTTGATTGGGTTCTGTCGAACAACCGCTATACCACTAAAAGGTTATTTGGTAACAGATTTTATTCTATTACATTTTATATGTATCGGACAGATAGTAATATCTGACAGGTTCATGTGAACCCCTCGTCTTACCTAGTAAGTATCGCAAGTAAGCAAGACATAGAAGGCATGGGTTCAGAATGGCAGATAATATCCTTCTTTTCCCCCTCCGTTTATTGCTATAAAATCCATCGGTGTAGCGTACGGTAGCCAACAATATGAACTTGAACGTAAACATAACGATGGACCATTTCAAGGCAATTTTATCGTGGTCCAATATCCCTGTCCTACTTGGCTTATGGATCTTGTACTATGCAGCCGTTGCTGTATACAATATATCACCGCTACATCCTCTCTACCGATTCCCCGGTCCTAAAGTTGCTGCGATGAGCTATTTTTACGAGGCCTACTTCGACTGGTGGCTGGTGGGAAGATATGGTAGAAGAATCCGTCAGATGCATGAGAAGTATGGTAAGCTTCTGTTCCCACTTATCTACCTATTCACGCGAACCAAAGACGGAGCTTATACACAGCAGGTCCAATTGTCAGGATAAATCCCGACGAGCTTCACTGCAATGATCCGTATTTCTCAGACGAGATCTACGCCGGTGGAAACCGCATCAGGGATAAGTGGCAGCATCAACTCAATACTGGTGCAGCCGGCCCCGTGTCGGTTACTGGCTTTTCTACTGTTCCGCATGAGTTGCACCGAATCCGAAAAGCTCCATTTGCAAGGTTTTTCTCGCGGCAGCAAGTGTTAAAGCTCGAAGGAGAAGTACATGATTTTACGCAGCGCACTATAGATAAGATGTTGCGCTTCGCGAATAAGGGTCCGTTTGATGTTAAGGAAGCATATAGCTGCTTTACAGCCGATAGTACGTATCATATATGGCCTTTCATTACCCCTTTTCTCCTCGTGTCACGGTATCAATAAAGTTCCTGATTAGGGTGAAGCACATACTTGTAGACTTATTTACCCTATAAATAATTAAGAGGATCATATTGACTCTAGGATGTTTTAGTCATATCTCAGTACGCTTTTGGCGAGCCTATGGGCTTCGTTGACCAAGATGGCTGGGAACCCAACTTCGCGACATGGGTCAAGTATTTCTTCAAAAGCGCATACCTGATAAGATACAACACCCCTATTAGAATACTTGCCCAGTTTTCTCCTTTAATAGGCAACTTCATGGGCGAAAACGTAAGGAAGATGTTGGAATGGATGAATGTGATTATCCCCAAATACGTCAAGGCAGCTATCGACAATCCTGAAAATGGTAGGGTGTTTGCAGACCTGATGGAATCGGATATACTACCGGAACACGAAAAGAGCATGTACCGCCTGTCTGGAGAAGGTTTTAATTTATTGACAGCTGGAACGGAGACTACGGCGGTCAGTTGTTCTCTCGGTATTTATCTGCCATTCAACTAATCGAGTTTATAGGCAACACTCACGTATATCACGTATTACCTCCTCGTACAACCAGAGCTTTATGCCCGCTTGATGGACGCCTTGCAGGGTGTTGACCCTTTCAATCTCAAGTGGATCGACTTGGAGCAACGCCCGTACCTATGGGCCGTGATTCATGAAGCGTTGCGCCTAACACCCGGCGTTTCGCACAGATCGGCCCGAATTGCACGAACCGAAGATTTGGTCTACAATAGTAAAGACGGCAACATCCGATGGGTCATTCCCAGGGGTACACCTATTAGTATGACTTCAGTTATCAACCATAGTAACGAAGCACTATTTCCGAATCCCGACGCGTTCATCCCCGAACGCTGGCTCGTGGACGGGCAACCGAACTATGCTTTGGAGAAGATGTTGATTTCTTTTGGAAAAGGCACCCGATTGTGCCTCGGTATTTAGTATGTCTACCTACGACCTTAATATCTAAGGTTATCTAAAGAGTGATGCTAATTGTCACCTTATAGTTTAGCATATTGCGAGCTTTTGCTCATGACGGCTGCTTTGGCGTTTCGTGTCTTGCCCAGGGCGCGACTGCATGAGACCACTATCGAGGATATAAAATACGATCATGATCTCATAGTACTCCAAACAGTTAAAGGCTCTGTCGCGGTACGCATTGTGATATCTTAGCGATATACTATGATTACTATATATACCTATGGTTAAGTTTACCTCTAGTTATTTTAAGTTATTACTTAGTATCTTGCTATTTACACTCACTTCACCAAATGTTGCCTTATATAAGTTATCGAACGGCCGTGAGCGTTGAGAGTATCACGGTAATGGTTGCATCTTCGCAGGCTAACTTTACAGAAGTTAACCGCGATAGTTCAATAATACATATTAGATGCTGATGAATGCTAATGATCTAGTGCTTATCAAATTTTATAATTGAAATTTCGTTTGTACGCTCAAGCTTTTTCGATGACAACTCCTGTGATGGGTATGAATTTCGAATTGTTTAGGTCATTGGGCGCAGACTGTTAAGTTTCGAAGAGGTGCGCACAGTATGGTTAGTTGAATGTGACCAGTAATATACCTAAGGTAATATAGGCCAGCTACCTCAGAATATGCAGCCACTTCTAACACTGTTCGGGTCCACGAATCGGCTTGATATTCCGAACCACCTTTGCAGCTCAGCCTACTTGAAGCTGAGGGGTAGTTTTTATTTTCACAACGATATTGGCAGGGCAGCGTACATAGCCACCTAAGGCATAACTTAAATATTGAATGGGTTGTGTCCCAACTCAACAGCATTGAGCTATAGGTACTCCGAGTCCTTCTAGCACATCACTATTTGAATGATAGAATACACTTTGCCGAGGTATTTACGAGCCATAATCACGACGATTAAATGCTACAAGCGCCTACATAGCCCGATATAATTAGAATCACACCTGAGAAGTAGACCAGGTAAGTATGAGCATGCTCCAAGAGAAATGCTACCCTCTATATACTGTGTAGTAACTTATGCTTATTTTTGAGTACCTAAGGTATTCCTCTGCGTTGAGTATGTTGGATACTAATAGCTATACCATTGGATGGATATGTGCTGCCGGAAGAGAGCTTGTCGCAGCACAAGCATTTCTTGATGAAAAGTACGATGCTCCGGATGATGTGCCTGTCAATGACAACAACACCTATACGTTGGGCCGAATGGGAAAACATAAGATTGTTATTGCGGCGATGCCACATCAGCAACAAGGACTCGTTAGTGCTGCGATCGTTGCCAGAGACATGGTACGCACTTTTCCTAGCGTCCGCCTCGGCCTGATGGTAGGCATTGGCGGGGGTGCACCAAGCTCGAAGCACGACATTCGTCTGGGGGATATTGTTGTAAGCTCTCCTGGCAATGGGAATGGTGGTGTATTTCAGTACGACTATGGGAAAACAATTCGGTACGTATAAAAACATTTCGCGTTGCTATCTCGAAACCTCCCTTTCTAGCAGTTTCCAAAAAGGCTTCATTCAAAGTGGCTAATATTGAGTAGTAAGTGCTATAACCCTATCGTTTTCACTCAGTCGGAACATGACGTTCTGCTTCTATACCTAATGGTAAGGTTGCAAAGCTAACATGGGGTATTCCAATATACTAGAAGGAGAAAAATTCACGGTCACAGGTCATCTGAACCAACCGCCGCTATTTGTGCTGACGGCACTAGCTGTGCTCCAGGCTAATTATACGGCCAACGGCCATACCATCCAAAAGAGTATTGATAGTATCATCCAGGAGAATCCTCAATTACAAGAGGCATACAAACGGCCGAGTCTAGCTACCGATAGACTATACAAATCAAACTTTAAACACCAAAACGGAGATGAGGCAACCTGCGAAATGGTTTGTGGTGATGACGAGTCAAACTTGGTGCCACGAATCGAGCGAACGGAGGATCAAGACAGTCCTGCAATCCACTACGGTCTCATCGCTTCCGCGAATCAATTGATGAAAAACGCATTGATTCGGGACGAGCTCTCAAAAGAGAAGGATGTGCTATGCTTTGAGATGGCAGCCGCAGGGCTCATGAATCACTTCCCCTGCGTGGTCATTCGTGGTATATGTGACTACTCAGACACGCATAAATACTCGGCATGGCAAGGTTACTCAGCTATGGCAGCAGCCGCATACGCGAAGGATCTCCTGAGTAAAATTGCACCTAATAGAGTGGAAGCTGAGAGGAGACTAGGTGAAGTTTTGTCTGATGGTTACCTAGTGGCCTTATTTGATGCTGCTGTGTGTTCCTATATGCAAAAAATAAGTTAGCAACGGTTTTATAGTTAAGGAAACATTGGCGAGAGTTGAATCCAATGTTACAAACTTAGGTACGCAAGGACAAAAATCCCAATGGCGTTGAAAGATGGATTTTACCACCCGGGGTTTCAACCAATTTCAATCGTATACGAGGGAGGGTGCTGCCAAGGTAGTGATAAATGGTTTCTCCACAGCCAAAGATATTCAGAATTGAAAACCAGGGAGCGATCGTCCTTTGGCTTTGTGGCATTCTTGGGTGTGTCCTGGGCATTACCGTCATTGAAGACCTCATGAATGATGAGACCTATTCTCGGGGTCTCTTATATTGCTATTTTGATTTCAATTATACCGGCAAAAAGTCCTTTGAGAGTACACTGAAATCACTAGTCTATTAGCTAATAGTAATTGCTATGGCACTACTTCCCATGCATGACATGCCTACCTATTATCATAATCCCAATGGCAACCCTATTTTCATCGCGAATTATGGAGGACTCAAGCATCAAATATCGATGCTTATGGTTTCCATATCGACGAAAAAGCCGTTAAAATATTTCAAATGTTGATTGACAGTAGTATAGACATAAATAGGGATCCTGCTATCGAGGTGGCAGCGGCTTTCGGCTACGAGAACATCGTGAAGACGCTGATTGACATAGGCGCTGACGTGGATGCTCAAATAGATAGTAAAAGCAATGCCCTTATAAGCTATCATATATGGCCACATAAAATTGTCAAGACGTTTCTTGATAGTGTTGCTAACGTTAATGCAACAGACATCGGGGGTGAAGCTCCTCTCTCGATTGCCGCAGGCTTACAGTATATGGCCTGGACGGTGTGAAAAGGGGGTGTAAGGGGGATAGTCGAACTTTTAGTAGATAAGGGTGCTAATGTTAACGCAAGGGATGGAGAGAGTCGAACTCCTCTCCAGATTGCCGCAGAATGGAATGATGAGAGCACAGTCCAGATACTGCGGGAGAAGGGGGCTGAGCATGAGCAATCGCGCTCATCTAAAAAGAAGAAGGAATTAGACCGGCAAGACAGTGAGATACATGGGCCCTCCGAATCTGTTCTGGGAAATGAAGAGGGAGTAGAGGCGAGTTTGGAACTTCATGAGGAGCCTACGCCAAGCGAAAATCCCAGCCAGATATAGGCTTCTATACTAACCTACGGAATACGTCTAAGGCCCAGGAAAAAACGTGCCTAGGTGGATATTTCAACAGGTAGATGCTTACCTTAAGGGAACCGGATATAAATATCGCTGTACATTACTATGAATCACGTCTTAGACAATTACTTCGCAGCATACAGTTCTTAACTATAATCTGTATTATCAAAATGACCCCTTCAGTTCTACCATACCTCTCACATCCATCACCTCCATCCTTCTCACCTCCCCGTATCCTGCGGCCACTCATCTAACACAACCGGCTCGCCCTCCAGCGTAAAGTTCCAAACCGCCTGCGTCGGCACATCAACCAGCAAGCTGTACTCCCCGGGGTACAACACCAAATTGCCATCCTCGTCGCGGCGCGCCAGGCTTCCGAGCGTCAGCGTCAGGTTCGCCGTCTGCTGCTCGCCGGCCGCGATGTCGTGCAGCCGCTTGTACGCGACGAGGCGCTTGATAGGGTACGGCTCGGGCCCGTGCGTGCCGGCAATGAAGCCCAGAACGACGAAGTCGGATGTCGTGGTGCCGGTGTTAGATACTGTCACGGGGATGGTCTGGAATGGGGCTTGGTCTTTGTGCGCTGTGGTGGTAAGGGTGCTTGTTAGGTCTGCGATAGCCCACGCATCATTTTCGCCTTCGGGCGCGGTTATAGAGGCGCTAAAGTTGGTGTAGTGAAGGCCGAAGCCGAAAGGTACGGTTGCCTTGTCGTACCACATGTATGTGCGGCCGGGATTACCGGTCTCTGGGTTGGGACGAAGACTCATGTCTGTCATGGGTACGTCGTCGACGTAATGCGCTGGGTACTGAGTTACGGGTAACCGGCCGGCGGGGGCAACTTTTCCCGTTAACACGTTTAAGATAGCATCGCCGCCGGACTGGCCTGGGTAACCGCCCCAGAGAATGGCAGAGACGTTGGGGTGGTTGATGAAGGGTGCATCGTCGCGCTGGCCGCCCATCTGTACGAGGACAAATGGCTTGCCTAGACTGGCTAGTTGGGTCATGATATCGATCTTCTCTCCAGACCAGCGGATAAGCGTGCGGTCTTTACTTTCAGCCTCGCTCGCTGTCGTTGGTCCATCTGTGTAGATGATAATATCTGCATCTGCTGCAGCCTCTAGAGCTCGCGGGTAGCCATCAGTTGTCGGGTCACCTGGGATGCCTGCGTATACAGCATTGATGTTTGGGGCCTGGCTAGCTGCGTAGTACGGCGAGTGTAGATACTTGGCAATACCTTGGTAATTGCCTTGCATATCTGTCGTCGCATTCGCCCAGTCCCCGATAAAAACAGCGGTGAGATTACTCTCAGTAGATATTTGGAGGGGAAGGGTGCCATCATTCTTGATCAGCACGATACCCTCTTCTGCGGCCTTCCGAGCAAGATTTTCAGCGTCAGGGGTAAACACATCAGAGAAGCCAAGAGAACGGTATTCATTAGAGTCTTCCGGATCGAAGTAACCTAGTTTGATAAGCGACGCGTATAGTCGCGTAATAGACTGGTCGAGAACGGTATCGTTAATAAGACCTTGTTCGTAAGCCGTGGGTAAATGTATTTGATAATAGGTGCCGCAGTTGAGATCAGTCCCCGCCAAGAGGGAGCTGGCAGCAGATGCCTCACGAGTATCACGCCAATTGTGAGGCTTGTAAACATTTTGAAGAGCATCGCAGTCCGAGACGACATATTGGTAGTCGCGTGTCCAATTCCAATGATCCCTAAGGATGTCTTGGAGAATATACGAACTCGAACAAGTTGGAACGCCATTCAGAGCATTATACGAGCACATGATAGAACCGACATTTGCACGAGTGCAAGCCTCAAACGGGGGCATGTAATACTCGGCTAATTCTTGGGGAGTGACAATTGCGTCAAATTCATAGCGCTCATTCCCTAGCCAATCTTCGATATCATATGCGGAGAAGTGCTATTACATAGCCCGAGTTAGTATCATTCTCATAACTCCTTCAAGATATTTTGATGCGTGATGGCCTACCTTGCAAGTTGCGATTACTTTGAGGGTGTCAGGGTCATCTCCGCCTTGGAGACCTTTTATTAGAGCGGTCACGTAAGAACTCAGATGATAGGGGTCCTCTCCAGGGGTCTCTTGGCCACGCCCCCATCGAGGGTCACGGTATGGGTTGATGTTTGGAGTCTGTAGTCTGCAAGTTAGCATTTACTATCTAGAAAGACCTTATTATTGGCGACGGATTTCACTCCCTCGACTTATATGTTTGGAATTGGTGAAACGGGTTGGTCAGTGCGTTAAAATAGGGGTAAAGATAGGGTAAAGGGGTAACAAGCTGTGAAAGTGCCCATACCCAGTAGTCCAATCCTGATCGATTGAAGTTGTTGAATGCACGAGCTTCAGTACTGACGACAGTTGCCACGGCTTCGATAAGATCATCATCGAACGCAGCGCCCATGAGAATTGGCTGCGGGAAGGATGTTGCATAGGAAAAGTCACCGGAATCTGAGAATTTGACTCCTGGAGAGGACGCCACTCCATGAAGAGCCTCCTCTAGAATAGCATTAGTAGGTATTTCCGTGATAATAACTTGCATTGAAAAAAATAATACATACGCCACCATTCATAGCTAGGCAGTCCCAGTCTCTCAACTCCGGGCGATGTGCTGACTAACAGATCATATTTCTCCTCGGTTTTGAGGGCCGCAACCAGAGCTTTTGCTCGTTCTCCAACGGAGAGTTCCTTATTACAAACATCATTGGAAGCTAGGGGTCCGTTTCCGCAGTTTGGGAATATGTGCCCGACAGCCAAAACCCCCGAGCTCATAAGCCATATGGCTGACCCTAATAAAAGTGCCATATTTAATTCTTGAAGGACTTCAAGACGCTTTGGAGACTCATATAATAGCTTATAATCTTTACCATGCTAGCTTTTATAGCTTCAAGCTCCCCCAAGCTGTGGAGCAGCGTAGCAGCTCGTCTCCTCCCGTTCCCCGCATCAATGATGCATCGATGCTGCAGAATAGCCTGGGTAACTCCAACTCGTACCCACGCACGTTCCAATTGAGCGATGGAAAAATTCTGGGGATGTCCATTACGGAGACGCATCGGATCAACGGTAGACGATATGAGTGCGTTGGTTGAACCGGGAGACGACATGCCGGGATGGATCCGCAGATTAAGTGTTCTCCCAATCTCCAGGTCCAAGCACACATCTACTCTAGACTCGTTGTCTAAGAGTAGATACGGATGTAGTATTACGTCACTTATTAAGACGGACTTCCTTTATTGGTGATGCCGGCTGCGATTGCGCACCGAAAAACTTGGAGAAGAGAAAGATTATAACTGATCAACATAATGTCTCGACTCAGCGAAAGGATCAAGACGAAGAAACACCTTGAAATGGAAAAGGTGGTAGCTCATGTCACACTGGGTAGCTACCGAGAGAAGATCCCGAGTAACCGAGGATACCTGTCAAACTGGAATACCTCAAGCATTGCCGTGCTAGCAGGTACCGAGCCTTGGTATGGCTTTTTTCCGCAAGTTAAGACCCACGACGAAGACAACATAATGTTGACATATTCCTGCCGATATTTACCTAGACACTATAATATCGTAACGTTACTCTGGTGGCCGTAGAGTTCAACAATTCCGCAGGTGCAAGCCACGCTACAATCCCCGATATGCTTCCGTATGCGTTTCCGAATATCCTTGGGAACGCCGACAAACGGCCTCGATGTAGAGAAAGCCCATATTGAAGGCCAGGGTAGGTCCCCAAGAGTGGGAAGCTGCTCAAGATCTTTCTCTAGTTGCTTAATGAAAACCGAGTTGCAGGTCAGCGTGGTGAGACCGCTTGCCCAGCCGTAGGAAAAGACAGATCTTCCAGGATTTAACACGCCATCAAGAAGCTTCTTTATTAGTTCAGTGAAGCGGGCCTGGCAGTCATTCTCATTCATGTCGACGATATCAATAGGGAACTGCAAATTCGGTGGGACTTCGTGAATCGACAGCGACTGCAACTCTTTAACCCGCTGTACTTGGGATTTCTCAGCGTCAGGACCAAGTATCAAATAGGCACGTGCCTTTTCAGACTCGGTCGCTAACGTGTTAACAATATGGAAGAAGGTTTCGGCTGCTTCCCGTGTACACACGAGTTTATGATTACCTATCATGGGATATACCAATGAAAGCATCGACTGCTCGCTTTCTAAATCAGTATGGTCGTTGTGTGAATGACTAAACCATGGCTGTTTGGTGACTTTGGTATGAGAAAAGTCAGAGGCGAGAGCGACAAGGAGGGAGGTATCAATGTTCAAGACTTCCGTAAAATTGGCTTTTGGGCTCGGGGCCATTATGTGAAGGAGACTGCCTGAGAGAGGTGGAGCTGGCGGTAAGGCATCGCCACAGAGTGTATTGACACCCAACTGCCGACAAGCATCGAGGACTTTATCGACTTCAGGATTTTCGCCTTCCTTTATGCGTGGTAGAATGAGGAAAGTACTTGGATTCTTCGTTTGAATGCGATGTCCCTTGGCTGTGTCAGCTAGATTCCTAGCTAGCTTCACGAGCGGGATATCCGTGTAGTCTTGAATTACACCAGTATCACTATCCTCGTCATCGTCACTATCTCCACAGAATATTGCTTCCTTTGCTAGATCAAACAGTAATCTTTTATTAGTCATTGATGAAACTTTATACCACGAATGGCCGCCATCTGCGATTACATCAATGATAAAACTGCCTGACCGGAAGGGCTGCGATTCGCCTTGAGTTCGAACAATACGTGTTCCAGGAGCCAAAATAGGGTTCTTAAATGGACCAGTAGATACAGCGCACCGCAGCCTCACCACATCTCGAGATCTTTTCGCGGTATCCCAGACGGGCTCGAGGAACGGGAGATTGGTAGATTGGGCTCGGTGTGATGCTAGAGGATCCGATGATTTGACATCACGAAAGGCCCTCTCCAAGCTCTCAACCTCGGCCCGGAGCTCACTGGTAAATGATGTATGCACATATGTTGGCATATGGTGGAAGTAATCGCTGTATACTTCTGTGAGATGATCCGCAAAACTTTGAAGCTCGGACTGCAGTAACTTGGCGCGTTTGAGCAAATCCTCACTAAGGGATAGCTTAGCGGCAGCGTCCCGCGTGGCATCATCGGAAGGATGATGGACTGCCGAAAGGGACATGATTGTAAGTTTCGTTCGGTGAAGAACAAGTAACGCAAGATAGAAAATTATTTTGATCCAATCAAGTAGTTAACAGTCCGTTGGCTACCATGACTGAATACGGTTAGACAAGTAATATCGTACCAGTTTTAAGACTGATCTTTTCTAAATCTCATTAATCATTGTTAATTTTTATCATCATCACGTGACTCGAGATAATTACACTGTAAAAGAGGATAAGGTCATTCCAGACAATGTTTAAGGATAAACTACCTCGAAGATAGAGAACCGAGTTACCATAAACCGCGAATACTAAAAATATACTCACTACGGTTTATTTGAAATAGAATTGCGGTTTCAAACTTGTCGTTAAGAGCGCCAACAAACAACACCAAAATATAAATAGATTACTGTTTTATTAAAGTAAGGATAGCAATACCTTCGTCGATGATACAGGGGTAGCTGCAGTGTTAAGAAGCATCATCGAGTTTAGCCACTAATAATAATTACGATAAGGACGTCTGAAGCTTTGTAGATAAAGTGGCATTGGTAATGACACCGCATGCCATAGTTGCACTGGGCGATCCAAAGGAATCTCGTCTTGATGCAGCAAGATGAATTGTCAACGCAGACAACAAGGTTACCCTCTCAGATCGTAGCCGTGGGGAGGCGGTGAGAAGATCACGTAAATCTTAGACGATCTATCTCGGTTCAATATGACCATGAAACAGTAACTAACATATACCAAACACCTCTGTAGGCTATCCATTAACATAATGATTATATCAGCGGTAAATTGATGAACATCAAAGATTAAACTAGATCGATTTCATGTAGTTGATGGGAATTATCTCTTGGCAGGACTAACAGGGGAAGTTGAGGGGAGAGTGGGGGTGACGTGCATTGAGGGGCACAGGGGCATTAGGAGGGCTGGAGGGGCATTGGAGCATTTGGTTCTCTTTTTGCGTGCTTCACAAAGGTCCCTTAGTCAGCTATACTATCCTATCAGCTCCAAGGATCTGCATCCAGGGCAAGTCCAGGGGTCCTTCTTAGGTAGGTACATAGTAGTCAAATAGGAATTAAGGGGGGTTATTTACCGGCGACAGGTACGTCCACGTACGTAATGGAGGGTGAATGGTAGGACATAATTTTGGTATCCTGACCTTATTTGACACATTTACCACATTTATCTGTAAAACTTCTTTAGCTTTTCCCCTTGTTAAATAAGAAATAAGTTCAAATTTCTTCTCCCCTCGAAAAGAAAAGAAATTTCTACTAGGGAGCTTCAGTCAACTACCTCTTTACTTTCTACCTCGTCAATTGGACTTGGACTTTCAACGGTCAAAGCCAATCCTGACTAGAATAAGCCGATATTAAAATACTTAATCCATCATCAGATCATCTACCCCTCCGTAGCTACCAATCATGGCGAGTAAAGAGATGTATGAGGCCACATCGACTCTTACCTACGTGTAATAACTGCAATGTGCTAATGAACTATTACAAGTGATGTCGACGTTCTAGTCATCGGCGCAGGTCCTACTGGTTTAGGTGCTGCGAAGCGTCTGCAGCAAACCGTAAAGTCACTTATACCACCATATCGCACAAACTCGTCCTAACGGGTTAGTTACAGAATCAGGTATCGTGGCTGATTGTTGATTCCAATGAGACCCCGGGTGGTCTCGCATCTACGGACGTAACCCCCGAGGGATTCGTGAGTGCTTGTTGTTTCCGCTGTAGATTGATAGACCGCTCATGAAGTGACCTCCTATGTAGTTGTTCGATGTCGGTGGCCACGTTATCTTCTCGCATTATAAGTACTTCGACGACTGCATCGATGAGGCTCTACCTAAAGAGTCTGATTGGTATACCCACCAGGTCAGTGCCCAGACTCATTGACCCTTATTTCTCCCAAGACATGATGAGTTACCCATCCTTTATCCACTTAAAGATAAACCAACCACACACCAAACCAAGGCTCGCCAAGTAGATCAGTTTCTAAGTATTGAGCGTGAGTTATAGAGAGTCAGTTATGTCCGCTTCCGAGGCGGTTGGGTACCATACCCATTCCAGAACAATATCGCCGTCTTAGATAAGGAAGAGAAAGTAAGATGCCTAGAAGATCTTATCGATGCTGCCCTCGAATCCCGTGTTCGGTCCCCCTCCGACAAGCCCAAGAACTTCGATGAGTGGAATATTAGGAACGTAGGGAATCGTCTAAACGAGATCTTTAGTAAGTAGCAGCATGTGGTTGTTCCACGCGTTTTAGTCTACGCTGGAAAATCTTATTCTAGTTACCCAATGCCGTCAGGCCAAGGTGTGGTTCTAAATTACAAAGCTCTCACCACCCGATATTTGATGAAGGGTTACTGACTTTGGATATTTAAGTGCGTCCATACAACTTCAGAGTTTGGGCTGTGCCAACCACTAAGGTATACATATGTATATGCTAGTAAACATTAGGTTCCCTACTAATTGTGCTTGTCTTCTTTACTTAGATGAACGCAACATGGGTTGGAGAACGTGTCGCGGCTCCTAATGTGAAGCTACTCACCCGCAATGTCGTTCTCAACAAGGTAGCTGGAAATTGGGGCCCGAATGCTACATTCCGCTTCCCAGCCAACGGCGGCACAGGCGGTATTTGGATTGCAGTAGCAAAGACCCTCGACGAAAAGAACACACGATTCGGTGCTCACGTCACTGTGACAAAAGTAGATGCTGACGCAAAAAAGGTTCACTTGAAAGATGGTTAGCTCATTACCCTGCTCAGGATTGTATTAGAAACAAGTAGCTAATACCTTAAGGACCACAGGAACGGTAGTCAAGTACAGCTCGCTCATCTCTACCATGGCTGTTGATCATCTTGCCGAGTCTTTGGGCGATGTAAAACTCCAGCAGACTCTGAAGCCGCTCTTCTACTCGTCTACTAATGTAATTGGCGTTGGCATCCGCGGAGAACGTCCTTCACGCATTGGTGACAAATGCTGGGTGCGTCTTGTGTAACCTCATTCTCCCTAGAGATTCATAGCAACTAACAAGGAGGCATCGAAATAGTTGTATTTCGTTGAGGATAATTGCCCTTTCTACCGCGCTACCATTTTCTCCAATTACTCACCCTTCAACCAGCCGGACAAGGATGTTAAGCTTCCAACCAAACAACTCGCCAACGGGAAGAAGCCTACATCGTCAGATGCACAGCCGGGGCCTTACTGGTCTATCATGCTTGAAGTCTCCGAGTCTTCGTATAAGCCTGTCAAACACGAGACGTTACTCGAGGATTCCATTCAGGGGCTCATTAACACTAACCTATTAGAGCCGGAAGACGAGATTGTTAGTACGTACGTGCGTCGCTTTGACCACGGATACCCCACCCCCAGCATAGAGCGCAACGGCGTCTTAGCAGAAGCTCTGCCGTACCTTCAAAGAAAGGATATTCTTTCTAGAGGTCGTTTTGGTGCTTGGAAGTATGAAGTTGGTAACCAAGATCACAGGTAAGTCCACCGGTATGCCCCAAGTTCATTATCGCATACTAATTTTTCAAACCAGTTTCATGCAAGGTGTTGAAGCAGTTGACCACATTCTCTCGGGAGGTGTCGAACTGACTTTAAATAACCCCGACTTCGTCAACTCCCGTGCTAACACGGAGCGTCGACTTACCAGCCGAAAGTAGGGGTTGGCTAGTTGAGGCACTTACATAATGCATGGCAAGAAGGTAGTCTGGGAAAAGAGGCAACCCCTAAAACAGTGCGATAAAGGAGACGCCTTTGGTTCGATTCGATCCTATTTTCCTATCTAGATATATCTAGACTAGACCTCTAGAAGACCGGCATCCTCTATATCGCCTAATCTATCACTGGCGACTAGATGAGTACATTTCCAAGACCTGTCCAAAGATCGTCCGAAATAGAAAATAAACCATTTCTAACTAGTATTATATTCTCGTATGTTGATACTGTCGTATGTTCAGGCGAAGAAAAGCCGAAGCCTGTTAGCAAGCACATAGCCCCAGTGAGAACGATCTACAGTTCGTAGCCGAGTACACGACATAATCTAATTTAGTGTTGGAAAGCCATTACTATTGCTGAATCCAGCGGACTCGTGCGTTCGTGCGATCATAGTTGAAGCATCAACCCGCAACCGAATTCTCTGCTAATAATCCGGCACGTACGTATGCGTGCTATAGGCTATAGCATCACGGGCACTTGCAGAGAACTAGCACTTTAGAGAAGAATATTGACGTAACTCGGAAGTCCAGAAGCTACCCAACATATTACGTGAGTCATACGATTTTGTATTGATATTGAGAGTATGGTAGTGCTGGATCTGTAGGTATAAGACAATGTCATTGAGTTTGTAAGAATGCGCACCTTTCTGACCTCGACAAAATCAGGAGACAGTCATTAGATGATACACTCGCACTCCTTGATAGCCTTACGCAGTTCACTTGAAACTCGGAGATTTTCGTCATTCGGTACAAGAGAATTGTGAGTCTTGATAATTGTTATTACGTTAACAATCATCCCATCTGACCCTGCTGAGGCTGTTTGTTAGGTACTTAAGGCTAATGTTACCTCAAATTTGTGGATATTCATGTAAGTCACCGTATACAACTTTAACATCTCTAACATCTTTCTGTCACCCATTTCAAATGCACAACTATAAATGCATGTTAGTTACCTGCAAAATAGAATATCGCTTTTGAATTATATTAGTACATTCCCAAAATCCCAACTGTCCACCACCGCTATCAACTTAGCAAACTATCCGGAAGAGTCGGGAACATGCCACTTAAGATCATCATCTGCGGTAGCGGCATCGGAGGGCTTTCAGCTGCCGGATACCTTCGCGCCAAGCATCATGTCACGGTCCTCGAGCGCGGCACGCTCGACTTCACAGTAAACGACTATGGAATGTCAATTGTCTCCAATGCCTTCAATCTCCTGCAAAAGGCTGGTATCAATCCAGGGAATCTTGACATGGTCGTCATGACCCATGTCTGGACGAGAACCCCTAATAATGAAGAGCTGAAGACTACCCACTTCGACACGAGGGCGAGATTTGGAGGAGCCCCCTCTGTCTTGGTTAAGCGAGCCAAGCTGCAAGGAGAATTGATGCGATTCGCTACTAGTACTGAGTTTGCCGGCGCGCCAGCTAAAGTTATTCAGAATGCGAAGGTAACTAAAGTCGATACCGCCGCCGGGAAAGTATGGACCGAAGATGGAAGACTCTTCGAGGGTGATTTGATTATCGGTGCCGACGGAATCCACTCGGTCGTTCGCGGCGCTATCCTCGGAGATGAAGACATCTCAGCATCCGTCAAAACTTACAATACTCTAGCATTTATGACACAGCTATCTGTCGAAGATATCCGGTCAAATCCTAACTTTGCTTACCTGTCTGACCCCGCAACCCAGGCTGGCCTCGCCAACGCGCATGCGAGCTCAGGTCCTCAAGTGAACAAGCACATCCTCGCTTACCATACCTCGCTGAATTCCTTACAAGTCCTAGGCTACAGCTCCGAGAAGGAGTTTTCCGAGCAGTTCGACTCCGCAAAGACAGCCATCATCAAAGACGTCCCCGCATCCAGGGTAATCGAGGAATTCGCGACGGAGTTCGGCGAAGGATTCATCAATCTCTTCCGACATAATAAGATTGACGCGTGGAGGATCCGCGACGTAGCCGCCATGGACAGCTGGTTCTCCGGCAAGGCGTTGCTGATTGGAGACGCCGCACACGCGGTAACTCCCCTCGCCGGACAAGGATCCAATATGACCATCGAAGACGCAGAAGCTTTAGGTTACCTTCTTCGGGACGTGGACTCGCCCGATGCAATTCCAGATATCTTGCAGAGATTCATGTCGTTGCGCAAGGATCGTGTCGATTTCGTTAGACGCCGTTCACATGAGATAGGAGGCATACGGGAGGAAGGAGACGAAGACAGAAAGCCAATTACCCCGGAGGAATTTGCGCGGAAGATTTATACTTATCAGGGGGTTGAGCAAGCGTTGAGCGGACCGAAGCACCCGGGTATGGGGTAGAAAATATAAACGGGCGCAATCACCGGGGGTTGGACCTCCAAGTCTATCGTCCATTGTAAGAGGTATTTTAAGATGCTTGTTAAAGAATAAGGCTACCTCCCATTTCAACATGCTTTCCTGTATCGTGAAGCCGAAACATGGTAGACTACCAGAACAAACAGTACCTATAGTCTTGACTCATATGCCCATTCAAATACATCGAGAACGATATGGATTCAATCGTGGAATGTTTACTTTCTTCCAAAGCACTATTGCTTCCTGTAAAATTGTGTGCATTCATTCACTGTCTGCTTTCACGCGCAGCACGTCCCCAGTATCCATTATGTTTTGCATCGAAAGGGGGTATGTCATCCGAGGTTTGCTGAAGTGTTACGGTCGATTGGTGAATAGGGGTTAAAGGGGTGAGTTGATCTGTATCCCCCCGAGTAGAGGCCGGGGGATGCAAATGTTTCGAATGCTTATCGTAGTATTTATTGCCGGAATAATATATCAGGGGAGCTTCCCGAGGACGTCTAGACTCTTCTAGTAAAATAATCGTTCCAATTATATCAGACTTTTGTCGCCCAGACTGAAATTCAGAACGCCGCCTACTCTTATCGGACATGGCAAGCCAGAATGAACGTAGGCCCGGTACGCAGCCGACGATAGCAGTGCCGAATATCTCCGTATATCTATTGGCGTTTCAGGATTAATACAACCTATAGCCATAATGAAGGTAGTTTTGCGGGCTTACGATGTGATCGCGATATTTCCGTAGTTCCATAAGGGATCATTGCCGTATCGTACAATGATTCTATACGCCAGCCCGGTAACGCTAGTAGCAACCACGCTTATATGATGTTAGCAGATATACTGGAATTAGCATGGAGATAGCATGGAAATAGTCTTACAGAAAACCAATAAGGAACACGATTATCAAATTCCTCTTTTTGTCTCGGTCGATAGTAAGCCTAGAAGTGATGCGGATTGGTATTATAACCACAGTAATGTCGAATATTACAGCAAATACACCTAAAGTGATGGTCTGAGGTCCGGCAGATGTGGCACACATAGCGACGAAGGTAGCATTCCAGTGCTCGTTAGGAATGAGCTTGCAAGCAACCAGCATAGATATGAGAGGGGCAATGGAGAAAATAACGACAGCTCCTATGAGAACATAGGACGTGCGTCGAAGCCATTTTAGAGAACCAAATACCCGGATGAAAAATGCCGGAATGGAAAGTTTCACGAAGGCGTGGGCGATCATATTCAGGATCTCGCCGACAAAATGAAGCTAAAGAATATTAGCCGAGATATTTAAGTACCTATAATAAGGATTCTTGTTTGATCTCACTTCGAAGAGTCGAAAGGTAATGGTGCTGACGGGTACGTCCCATGTGTGTTTAAACAGCCCAGCCTTCGCTTGAACTGCATTTAACCGGTCAGACTATTGCTAATAAAAGGATATGGTAACGACAAGAGACATACACTTATATAGCACAACCCAGTAGGCGATCCCAAAGGCTTCTCCCAGAACACATAAGCCTTGACAGGATTATTTCGATGTTAGCAGCGTCCTATAATCTAATTATTTGGCAAGCCAAGGTCTTAAGCCACTCACAGTCATCAAGGTGCAGCTTTCTGCTATGTTTAAGTGACATTCCCAGACGTATAATGATTAGAATCGTGCTAATCGGTATAAACGCGAATCCTGTCGCTAGGACTACCCACTGAAGTGTAGCCCCCCCTTCAAAGTTAGGAGGGCCCCCATTTGGGTTGCCGGCGAGGGGGATACTTGACGAATTTAATCCTGGCAAAGTCTGAAGAAGACTCATCGCGCCGAAATGTTCACATAGCCGGTTAGTTAAGATATTAACCTCGAAAATTCTGGAGACAGGTAATATGGTTATGTATAGGAAGGAAGAAGAAGATATTTTCCTACAGACGCGATGAGGGGAAACTCATCTACGACAACCTCCCACAAGGGTCTGTATAAACGAAACAGACTAGGAGCGCAGATGTAGAGGTGTGATAACACCACTGGGGCTTAAAATAGACATGCAGGTCGTGCTGGTGTTGGTGAGTATTCAGCTACTACAAGTTGTTAGGGCTTCTTATCTCCGAGCTGTTGAATCCTCACCTCTTTAGGAAATATTCCTCGAGTACGACATGGCGTTGCGCTGCGATTCTGCGGCGAAGAATGAAACTCTACCTTAGGTAGTTTAAAATGTAGGATTCTATTGGACCAAAGCTCCCGAGGCAGCGATCTTATTATGTAGGAAGTTTTAAGTAGTTGACGTTAGGATTTCTTTCTTTCACCAGATATGTAGCCCTAGAACAGAGCGGGTGACGGAGTATACCGGGCTGACAAAACGCATCTCTTTCATAACCCCACGGGCGTAGATGCTGGGCATCGGAATGTGCGCCGAAGGACGTAAGGGATTGACAATTCATAGAACCATTAAGCTTCTTGCTTAAACGCGTATATTGGAGAAATTTATGAATCGAAGAGAAATGTCCTCCAGATTGACCCCCTATTCAGCTAACCAGAATCCAGCAATCCAGTCTAAAACCATCACACTAACAGCCATGACCCTATCAAGAAGACGACACCACATCCTGAAACCAATCAAGAATCACCTGCCCGCTCAGTACAGCCGCGCCCAACGAGCAATGCTCCCCCGCCCCATCCACCGACTCAAACACATGGTACGTAGCGATATCTCCCAGCTTGTCCGCAAGTAGCTTCGCCTGCCCCTTAAAGAACATATCGTTCTGCGCGTCGGCGACGAATACAGGGGCGGTAATATTCTGCACAACCCCATCTAGCGTATACTTATCAACCTTGCTCGCCCAAGCGAACGGGCTCGTCTCCTTGAACGCCCAGAGACCCTGCTCGATGCCCCAGCGCACGGACGTCGGCACGCCGGTCGGCTGCGCCAGCAGCGCCAAGATATTAGCGTCGAAAGCGCTTGCGTTGCCGGCGCGGAACAGCGCTTCCATCTCGGGCCCGAACTGGTCCAAGATAGCCTGCGCGAAGGAGTACAGGCCGTCGAAGGCGATGACGGCGGCGAGACGGTGCTCGAAGGCTGCGGCGCGGGGGGCTAGGTAGCCGCCGAAAGAAAGGCCCAACAGACCGATTTTCTTGCCGTCGACGTCGCTACGCGAAATCGCGTAGTCGACTATGGGCGATACGACCTCCTCCCATTCCGGAATGAAGCCCATGTTCTGCTGGCGGCGCACGGTAGGCTGTCCGGGGCCCTCGAACGTGATCACGTTGATGCCGCGCTGGAGGGCCGCTTCGCCCATCACGTGGTACATTTCCTCCTGCGAGCCGTCGTAGCCGTTGCACATGAGAATCGTCGGGCGGGGGCCCGGCTGGCCGCTGCCGAAGAATGTAGCCGGGATCTGGAAACCCTTGCCTTGCAGCGTGATGCGCTCGCCGGGGATTGGTAGTAGTGAAATTGCCTTGTCGAAAGCCGCGAGCTGTTTGGTCCAGAGTGTGTTGATTCGGGAGTCGTTCCAGTTGCCATGGAGGAAGAAGTCGGCTGAGCGGTAGTAGGTCGCTTCTCGGAAAAGTGCGTTGCTCGCCGAAACGGGGTACCGACTGGAGTCGATTGCGCTCGCTTGGTTGTGAACCCGATCGGCAAGGCTGTGGAAGGCATTATAGTAGCTTTCGAAATCTCCCGCTATAATGTGGTCTGCGGCAACCAAGACTTCGCCTACATCTGAGCCCTGGTAAGGTGCAAGAGCTAAAGCTCGGAGAATCTCGAAGTGGAAGTCCCCATCAGAACTCAGCTGAAGCATAGAACCCGGATCTGAGTCGTTGCTCCGTTTGACTGGTTGAGACATTTGAACATTCTTTCCCACGTGCGGAAGCCCCTAATGTTCATATGTCAGTTTCAAGAAGATGGCTTCTAGGTTCCGTTGGGGGTTGTTTATGCACTTACAAGGACAAAACTTGAGCAAGTGAGGAAGAACAACGGTATACTTATGGATTTCATGGCGAAAACTCGTGTAAGTAACTGTTGAATAGAAGACTTAATAAATTTCCTTGTCCGTAGTAGTCGGAAGTAGTTGTTGGTTTCGAGAACTTGTTGTCTACATAGGACAAGCTCATTGCAATATATACTACATTTTGATTTTTGGGATCGTTATAAATTATTCAGCTTCAACTACAATCTTCCGATACTCGTCATGGCTGGAGGCGCAGGCATATGCTGCCCATGGAACGAATATTCAGATTCTTTGGTAGATCTAAGTATTGACGACGAGATGTTAGCGATGTGAGCGAAAGCGAGAACGAGGACGAGAGCGATGCGCTAAAATTGCTTGGCGATGGTCCCACGTAATGCTGCACCATTACATGACCCCAGGTTAAAGGATTGAATCTGCAAGCTTAAATTAATGAGGATGCCCATGAACACTAAAATTCCTTGTTTTCTATAGCTTTCAGTGGCCAGGCGAGTAGGCCCTGCCATACGTCAGGCAGTACGCCAGCGATTGCGCGGAGCTCATCAGCTCCTATATTGGCAACCCACCAGATGTTCTCAAACCTCGTTAGCAGCGCGAAGTAGTGAGCGAGTATGACCAGAGACCTTGGTGATCCTTCCTGAACTAGTTCGACGAATCGTCGTCCTACTAGCATAGGAAACATAATTAACATTCTTAAGACGGTACATGACAACCCTTGCCCGTCTATTAGGTCAAGGATAGTACACATGTAAGTAAGTATACGCTGATAGGTAACTTGGATTTCTTCATCCCATGGCTCTATAGCTCGAATCTCCTCGGGGCGGTCCATCAGATGTTGCCATCTTTGGTAATCCCCTACACCTGATAGTTTTCCGTCATTGTGTATACCGCGAGTATCCTTAATTAATTGGAAGACTGGCGACTGAGGATCCGGACCCGTTCGCTTTACTACCTCGACGAATGTTGATGTAGAGGCCTGTATTAAAGCGAGCCATTGCCATGGCGGCGTGTAAGGTTGATAACTTCGACCTTCGAGCTGGAGGAGTGCGACGGCCCTTATCAAACATGATGTTAAGCAGACCGCATCTGCCGTTTGTTTGGTAACATTTGAGAGCTCTCTATTATGTTCCCGAACGGCCATGGAAAAGTACGTATTAGCAGCGTTTTCAGCGCCGCCCACAATTTCTTCGCTTCTACCAAGCTTTGCTAAGTGCAGGGCTGAGACGGTGTACATGGAATATAATAAGCCATCGGACTCTAGGGCGAATTTCGGAACCACCCGAGAGAATAAACCTCTAGTGTGGTGGTCAATCGCAAGTGTTTCTCCTGTTTCAACAACATATTGATGCATCAACCTCGTCTCTATCATTCGCCGCGTTCGACTTTCCGGTGGGTCGCTTTCTTCAAGCCTGTAGGTAGGTAACTGAGCTAGGGTCGGCTTCCCAGAGGCTGCTTTTACGGATGCATCGCGATCATAGATGCAAGGCAAGCCGTGCCGCTTGCAGTTATGACAGGTCGGCTTTTCCTCGTTGCACTGAAGAAAACACCAAAAAGTCTTATTAGTTGGGTTTGCAGTTGAGGCGATCAGCTTACTACCACCTTTACTCTTCTAGCTCGGCAACGCTGACAACCTACAGATAGTGAGACTGAGAATGTACATAAAAATGGGTTCAAGCTACATACCGAACATGGATTTCTTGTGCCCGAGTTTTGGTGCTTTGTGGGGAAGCGAAAGACTGGAGCCGGACGCCATGATTGAATCTCTACTGTCGTAAATCTAAACCAAGTATCGTGATGGAGTAGAGTAAGAAGGCTAACAAGGACGCGAGAACGAGCGCGATCTTTAACCGAGAACGACTTCGCTTCGATAGGTATCATTCGCTAGAGCTGAGCGGTCGGGGGTCCCTGGAAGGAAGATCGTATGGGTTGGGGTGGCTCAGCTAGGTCCACCAGCATAACCATCCATTATTAGTACCTTGGTAATAATCTATTCGACTTTTGACTTCGGGAATAATGTCCAATCCCTTGAATCTAAAACCCGTAACCGTTAGCTTAATTCATCCGCGAATAATATGACATTCGGGTTCAACCAATCGCGTTTCGGCGCTTTTAAGTTGAAAAGAAGACATCGAGCTTAAAGCTGAAATAATATCAATTTTGGTGTTGCATTCTGTTCTGGTCCACAATGACGATACAAAAGACTTTCAACGGCGCGTGTCCATCATTAACAAGACAATTTCGTAGCAGCTTTCTCACTCATAATTATTAGTACAGGTTGATGGATTAAAAGATTGAAGAAAAACGAGAAAAACGAAATACATTCATGCCAAACGAATCTGTATCGTGCTTCTTGCAAGGTAGCGAGCAATAGCTTCTATCCACAAAGCAAAGCAAACATTCCATAGTCTCGGCATAGACAACGCATTAGTCATGCATGACTGTAACTATTAATAGACCATCCCTTTACCTTCATTCAAACTCAACAATTCGTCGTGACAATTATCAAGCTTGGTTGGCAATCTATTGGAAAGAGACCGTCTTGCCAAATGTCATGAAACAGTGTAAAAATGAAAACACGGATGCGTATAGACCATCAGGAAGTATCGAATCAATCCCTACGTCGGATGCTGTTTGACATCGAGAATTCGATCGAGGGCAGCGCCCGATTAAGTTGGCGAACTTCTTTAGATAGCAATTCACCAGATATCCCCTGTGGGCTTAGGTGGGTGATTTCGCAGGTTCTCCGCTAAATCGGATGTCCAAATATGCTGAGAGACAGAGTCTGATGGTGTCGGTGAGCCTTTGACTACAACAGTATCTTTCCACTTCCTAAAGGAAGTATTCTTCTCTTCACTTCCCGGACCCCAGCCGAAGACTGAATCGGACCTCTGACTATTCCTACGGCGACGACGCCGAGGAGGGGTACGAATGCCGCCCTGGCTCTCGAGTTGGGTAACACCTTTGCTGTTCTGTGTTGGCTGATTTGCTCTAGTAGAATCTCCTCCGCTACGACGCGGCTCTCGGCGTCGGGAAGCATAGCCTGAGTTGTCCGGTTGATAGCCGCCCCAATGGTTATAGTCGGTGGCTTTACCTTGCTTCGGAGCCTCCGTATTGTTCTTAGTAAGCTGCTGAACAAAATCCTCGACGATATCATTGTCGGATTGAGCCCCAGAATTTCCAGAGACGCGGAGTTGCTCCTCAGCGGCCTCGATGGCTTGCAATTCCTTGGTGCCTTGCAACTTTTCGAGAGGAATAGGCTCTCGCCATTCGTGGGGTAACATCCTACGCTGTGGGGCTCGCAAGTTAGTTCATATTGTGACACTTAACAAAGGAAGAGAAAGATAAACGTACATTTGACCTCCCGTATTCCCCGTTGCGGACAAGAAGTCCGGAGTCGTCAGTCGTGACGAAAAGAGGAGATGCCGCTGAACCGGATACTGTCTTGGTGGGGACGTGGTTAAGGTCGACAGGTTTAAGAGAAGTGTGTTTAGGGTTCTCCAACTCCGTATGCTGAATACCGCGAGTCACTGTGTCGTCTGCAAATTTTGGGAGAGTCCGATTAATCGCAGTATCGAAGATTCCGTCAGATACCAGTCTTGCACTACTGGTTGCTGACGATGAGGAACCATGCTGGTAGAAGCTATTACCATCCTGGTGGATGGAGTCCTTCAAGCTGTAATTCTTCTTGGTTCTGACAATTCGACTCATAGAAGAAGAACCACGACTGGAAGAAGACCCACGAATAAGACAGGTAGCTCCATCATGGCCAGATTTAGGATTAGTGGAAATTTTAGTATCCATGGGCTTTAAAGCGTGATGGGTTGGAGTCGGCTGCTTCTCCTGGGTACCGGTAACCTCGCTCTGGAGGAGATAGACCAAGTTCTGAAGAACATCTCGATGAAGACCGGTAATAGCCGGATTAGATTCAAGAGACGTGAGGATCTTGAAAAGTTAGGATATATCGAGACTGATGTGCCTTGCGAAGCGATGTAAATACTTACGACTTCCAAAGCTTGCGCTGCTAGCTTATTTCCATCGGCATGCTCAGCATGCTTCTGAAAGTAGCTAGAAAGCATACCTTTCTCCAAATCTCCAAGTTGGACAGCGCTCAACAGAACATCAACAAACTTGAGAGCGAGGGAAGCCATCTTGGCGGTCTGTAAAATATATCAGCGATTAGTTCTTCGTAATTGACTGTAGAGATATGAGAATGGAAAGATTGAATCGCGAAGTATAGGCAGGGTGGGCATCCATGGATGATATGTACCTTTGGCAGGTAAATGTGTTAGGATGTAGTTGAGGGAAGAGGTAACAACAGTGGTTGTATTTACAGACCTGTCTAAGTTCGGTGCTTAGGTACCTAAAGACCTATAGGTATGAGGCAACGATGACTAAGAAAGATGCCACTGGGGAGGTGCGTGTTGACAATCCAAAGAGGTAGGAACAATCAATGTAAATGTCAAGATGCAATACAACGGGGTGGTTGAAGGTTAATCCTGAGACAAGGTTGTGAAACAAATAATACAACGCAGGTGGAAGGAGAAAGCTGGTTGTTGGGGATATTGAAGATGCTAAACTGGTGATGTTAGATTGCCATTTAGCATAAAAATTATCTTGTGCAGTCAAAAAATGTACTTCCATATAGGCAGGTAGGTTACATGCACACAAATGTGATTGGGTCGAGAAATGATTAGGGAGGATGCCCCGGGGTATGCGGTCCGGAGGTAAGTAGCCCGGAAAGCCCCGGAAAGCAAAATTACCGGTCCTACCCTGTACCGAATGCTAACTACATAGTACATGTAAGAACACAACTTGAGGTCGCCACCTGCAAGCCTTAGGTACCTAACGCAAGTACATAATGCTTGAATTCATATAAATCAATCCATAGGTATTGTACACTACATGCTGATTCTTAGTATATATCTCAACATGCACCTAGGTACATAGGTTAAGGTAAAATTGCCTGGAATAAGAGAACAATGGATAAGTCAATTGAGTACCTCCCTGAAAAGCAATCTTCAACGAAGATATTTCGGCAACCAATTACCCAAAGAAAATCCAGTTATGTCTGCGCTTTTCCAATATTTGTTGTACAAGTTCATCTGGTCCCTGGCTGTAGCTTATTGAGGCACCCGAACACCACCATCATAGAGCAGTGTCTGATTGATATTACAATTAAGCTATCATTTGGGAGGATGATCAGAGTTCACGTACTGCTACTGCATGAGGGCCCTATTTCGAGAAGGATTTGATTCCACCTGCATGTGGGCCTTTCCAGACCATTCCACCCTTTTGTCAGGGTTAGGGGTAGATCTACTAGGATTGAGCATATAAGAGGAGCGCAGAACCCTCGAAAGAGCCTTCGAAAGAGGATAAAGATCCATGTGTTAATAGTTCAGTTCGACTATCCTGATATTTACACTATGTATGACATCAATCAAAGGTACTGTTCTGACACATGATTGGATACCAAGTCAACTATAAACCAAATTGGGTAATTAGGACTATTGTCAACTATCTAAGACTAGTCCGCGAAGATATGTCTGAATAAATGATGAAAACACACAACATTGGTTACCTATTTGCTAGTCTTCATTATCTAAGCCTAGGTACCTAGATATATCCAGGCCGAATAAGACGTTTATCCTACATAGAAAGCTTGTATAACACAAAGCATACCACCAGGTTTTTTCTCGTTTTACCACATTCGCCTTGGGTCTCTAATATATGATTTTGTACCCTTGTTTCCCCCTTCTACCGCTTGATCTCTGGACCACTAAGACAACCAGGATAAAGATCTCATATTAGTTGTATTTAGACGTTCAATCTTATTTAGCCGCATAGGTTTTCGTACTCCAACAGAATTATATTTCTACTTCTTACCGACATTATCAGAGTCCATGAAGTAGAGTAGCTTCGTGCCACATATGCTTCCTTGATCTTGTTTGTGAGAAAGGGGTAAATATGGGGAAGGTCACTTTTATCTATTTAGATATGATACTTCATGTGTAGTGATTAATGTACCTATAGGAGCTAGACTTTCCGATTTTCTTTAAGATTCTAGAAATATTACCTACACATTGAATATAAGGATTGGACGGTCTCTTATTTAAATGGAGATCCTGGTTATCATATAAAATGCCTAGGTAGCTTACCTAATAAGGTCTACTCATCGTGCCCTGGTCTCCAGTTAGTTAAGCCAGAGTCGTATTAACTTGTATCATGGAGAATATTAGCACACGAGCTTAAACTAAACCCCCTACCAAAAAGAAGATCGTTCAGACCAAATATAGAAGAGGGCGTAGCTAACGATAAAGGAAATATCGACATGAAATTTATTCTTATAGAAGCACCAGGAATAATTGAGACACAAATTGATTTTAATTCTTGACCAACTGAAGGTCATATAACTCCGATACGCCGCGCAATGCACAAAGGATATCGTTCCGAACCTAAAAAGCAATCCGTCTCTTTCGTCCCGTGTACTTGGATGTAGCCTTGACAACCTTTCCTTTTCGTTCCATCTGTTCCTTCTTCTTGATGATCCATGCTTTGCTCCCCTTTTTGATCTCGCCCTTACCATTGCGACTACCGTGTCTTGAATCTAACACATCAACGCCCTCCATACCCTTGATTACCCCAGTGATGTCGCCTCCATTCCCGTCAAGGTTGCCACCACCTACTGTGAGTACCAGGTAGACCTTTACATTCTTGGTCTCCGGATCATCTTCTAATAAACCGGCACCGAAGCCAGCCCTTACGGCCGCGCTCGTGATCATCTTTTTCTGCTCGTCATTCTTCGGGTAGAATTGACACACAGCTCGCCCACCTCTCTTCAAGCTTGCGTATAGACCATTGAAGAATCTCGACAAGCGCCCCGCAGGCGACACGTCGCTGCTTTCGGCATTACATAGCCATTGTATCGCACTGATACTGATAGCTGCGTCGAACGTGCCGGCTCGGAAGGGAACTCCTTGCCCAATATCGGCTAGTAACAGATCGCCTTCCACATCCCGCTGTAGCGCGACGTCCAACATAGAAGCTGACACATCCATGCCCACCCATACGTGTGGGCCGCCTTCTTCGGGGGGTATTGAGGAGAGGATCTCGCCCGATAGACCGCTTCCACAGCCGACATCGAGGATGAAAGAGGGCGAGGATAGATCGAGGAGCTCAAGAGCTCGATGTGTCATAGATGCCTGGATGTTCTGTATTCGGGAAGACGTTGTGTATTTGCGTGCTTCGGAATCATTGTAGTGGACGTCGGCGGACCTTGATAATCGGGTCAGAGTGACGATATGTTTGGTGGGGGAGGGGCTGTTTTACGTACAGTGTGTCCTCTGGCCGCGACATGTTGGTCTCGGTTTACTGTAATAATCGATCACAAAGAAGTATCATATGTATAGAAGCATTAAAGCTTAACAATTGGGTTGTGTTGGTTCAGAGTTCGGTATCGCGCTGTTTTGTACCTATAGGAGCAGGATATTGACAATGAGTCGCATTTTGCCAATTGCTTGTGATGCGCCGACGTCGAACTTTTCTGTGGGGCAGACTCGATTCTTATCGTTATCTTTTATCTTTTATCAGGCGAGATATCGTTATGTATGCAGGAGATGGCTTTATGCAGGGATGGGTAAGTCCATGTACCTTAGGAGGTACCTAGGTACCTAAGGTAAATATGGAAAATCGAATCGCCGTTTCCGTTGTCAAAGAAGGCCACGCTTTCAATTCTTCAGCTCAAGCTTTGGTCGCGTCGGTTCGCCCGGGCCAATCCCATAAAGGCCAAGATACAGCCTTTCTCAATGTCATCATGTTTGTCCTTACCTAAGAGGTTGTAACCAACTTCCTTTCCCTCTTTACCGGATAGTTATACTATGATATTCTCATAGTTGCTACTACGAACAATGTGGATTCTACCTCTCGTTGGGTATCTCGGCTCCATCGTGGGCTTCTGCTTTCTGACGCTGGCCATAGGTATGCTCTTGGCATCATATTCTTCATCACAAAGCTATATCCTAGTCTAGCTTCCCAATATATGTTATCTGATTTTTAACATAAAACTTTTCTCTATAGCTTCCGGCCTCTACTACCTCTCTGAACTAGTCGAGGAACATACCGTCATCGCGAAACGACTTCTAACTAAACTCATCTACTCTATCATCGGACTTCAGCTCATACTCTGGCTTATCGATGGATTCCCTTTGGGCCTGACCCTAATGGGGATTGTATCGCATGTTATATACCTCGGAAACATGCGACGCTTCCCATTCGTCAAGTTGACGGACCCTTTGTTCGTCGCCTCGTGTGGTATGTTAATACCGTTGTCGTTTCTTTCGAGATTAGGTCTGTTATGTCCAGGGGTTACTAACTATGCGGCAGTGCTGGTACTGGTCAATCATTACTTTTGGTTCCAACATTTCTCTGAGGCGCAGCAACGGTCATACTCGCGCCTATCGTCTATGTACGACCAGCCGGATGTACCAAGTTTCACCGAGATCGCCTCGTACTTTGGCTTGTGCGTATGGCTTATCCCGTTCGCCTTATTTGTTAGTCTGTCCGCCAGCGATAACGTTTTGCCCACAATCGGTACCGAACAACCCTCGCGCGACGTTGACGGGAAAAGTAAGCGGCAGGGCATGGTAAAAGTTATTGTTGATAACGTGCTATCGGCCATCGGAGAAGTTACCCGTTTAGCAGGATGGAAGAAGCCAGAGGACCGCTTCTAAGACCACAGTAGGGTTAAGAATCAAGTAGGTAATAATGTGTACGTAAATTCTTGATTCGTCGAACAAGCAGTAATGGTAAGTGATCTATCAGTACCCGTCCCTATCCATTGGAAGCTAACGATATCAAAGCATCTCCAACGGCAAATATGCATGCATCCAGTGTAGGCATCTCTACCTTCTCCAATTGAAGGTATAGACGTGTCCGGTCCGACTTGTTTTGAGACAGTATGCTTTAAGTCCCGAGGGATATCGATCAACTGGTAAGTTAACGCTTATTTCTTAAAGAATATGAGAAAAATATTTTCATGATGACATCTCCAATTTATTATGCTAGATTGTATTTGAGTCGCTCGACTTTGATGTGAACGATTGGGTTTACCTGAACAAAATATTTTTTTTTATCATATTTCTGAAACATCGCTATTCTTTTGCATTTGGTTGCTAACTTGAATTTCAGGTGTATTAGGTCTTGTGATATAAGTAAATGATCCAAGTCGAGGATCAGTCAGTGCGCCGTTACTATTTGTAACATACATGAGGACATCGTTGATGTGAGGTTATTGGGTATGACAGCAGACGATCGTTGTCTACGCTCCATATTCCTCAGCCCATAGGCTACAACATTGAACTCTTCGCCGAATAAGGAGTACATAGGTATTCAAGTACATCGATAAAGCTAATGCCTAATGCCAACAAAGGTGATGGTATTACCCACAGACGCGACCGTATTCACGATACTAAACATTTCAAGGGGAGTATCGTTTATAGACATATCTAATATTACTATAAGCTGTGGAAATTCAACAGTATTAGGGGAAATGTGATAAAAAGTCTCTAATGCAGGTGAATGTTTCCATCGAAAGGCTGGCCTATGAGAAGGGTATTTATTCGTTTGCCTATTGTAACCTCAATCTACCGCTCGCGTTAGCCACCATGCACCTTGCTTACTTTGGTCTACTCTATGTACCCAGAGCAGATCTATCTCCCTATTTCTCCTTGGCCTAAACCTAACGGACGGGTTACACAGGTTGAGGCTGAGCAAGATGGAAGAAATCCCCATCAATATTCTTCATATTTCGAATCTGCTATATGTGTGTAATACAACAGATCTGAGTTGGGTTACTTTTTGCGAACAAATCGAGCAAATGGCGCTTGACAGCAAGGATTGATCGGCACTGCTCAGCCATTGGCTCTCTACATTTTTACCAAGAGCGGCAAGTAAAATGATGGGTAATTGGGCTGATTCGCAAAGAATCCTGGTCTGTTCTGCATCATAGCGGGATCCCCCAGGTTCCCACGAGTTGTTGCTCCCAGTCCCAGTAAAAAGAATCCTGCTGCCTGGGATTTCAGAATACGAAGTCACCTAACCGCGACTTGCCCATGCCAGGATATACTCCTGAATATTACAAAATCAGAGCAAAGCGATGTCAACTCCATATATTCACGCTCTCTTATTCGCTCCGCGCCAGAATGTGTCAAATAATAGGAGTAATTGGCTTCTCGAATGCGTAAAAGAATATCATGTTGTTGGCAGGGAGTTCAACGAGGCTCATTCGACTATTCGGTATGTAACACCGTAGTGTGTAATCTTTGATCTGTAACTCCAAATGCTGCCGCAGAAATGCTGTGTAATGATAAACAAGAAAATGGTATACTGCCGTGGGTGGCTTGGCCAATGCCAATTTTAATTCGGAACTGGGCCGTATCATATATGATTTATATCTGCCCCCGATTTGAATACTCAATAATAATCGACAATTTGGCTGGTTTTTATAGTAGCGTTAACCTACTCGATGACACGTATGGCATAAATTCTGTTATCAGTTATCGTCGGCTCTGTAAAGATGAATCTACAATCGCTAGGGCGCCAGACGTGGGCGTTGACGAGGAAGAACCTCCTCATCACCATTCTTCGAAAGTGGCGCTCGACTTTCTTCCGATCTCTCCTCCTGCCGGTAGTTGTTCTGGTCCTCTTACTTGAAGTTCAGAATTTCTCCAAGGATACTAATAGATATGGAATCGCCAACCCTCGTTCGGTCAGCAGCCTTGCCGATAGCATGGCGAGTAATTCGAAATCGCTTGTCTTAGTTCAAGAGCCTGGCCTTGGGTCTGACTTTCAGCCTGTTCTTGAGAAGATTACAGACCCCCTAGATTCGAATAGACTTGTTCATCTGGATGACTCTAACAAGATCGACGCCACTTGCCCGGTGGATTATCATGGGAACTCACCATGCCATGCGGTAGTGATCTTCAAGGACTCGCCTCTCAGCGGACATGTTAACGCAACATGGAACTATACCATCAGAACAGACCCCAGCCTCAGCTACTGGTCTTTCAACGTCTTCGACGCGAACAGCGCTGTCGATAAGGTCTACCTACCTTTACAGCTAGCAATCGAAAACGCGATGCTTAACTTAACTGAAAGTCCGGACTTCATGCCATATACTTATCAAACACAAGAGGAAGTAGATGAGCAGTCGAGAAGGGGCTTTCTCATTTTGGCGCTGTATCTTTTGTCCTTCGTCTACTACATCACCTTTATCCCAGTTGGCCATCACGTTGCGGGTATGATAGCGTCCGAGAGGGAATCAGGGATGTCAGACCTAATCGACGCAATGGGTGGAGTAGTTGCTTGGCCGAGGGTTCTGAGCTATGTTTTCACATTTGATATCCTATACCTTCCTCTGTGGATCATCATGGGAGCCTGTAAGTGACCTTGTCATCAACTTTGAATGCTCTCTAACGTTCGTTAGTATACTGGGCTCTCTTTTTCCCTAGCCAAAATGCGGCTGTTACGATATTCTGGCAGATATTCACGGGATGGGCAATTACAAGTGCGTCTGTGTTTGGGGCTGCATTTTTCAAGAGATCTGCTTTTGCTAGTCTTTGGGTTTCGTTGATTCCTTGGCTACTAGCTATCTGCTCTGCCTTCTCAGAAAACCCAGCAAGCTCTGCTCCTCTTAGAAAGGTCGCTGCGTTGTCTTTCTTCTTTCCTAGCGTGAACTACATCTACTTCTTCAACTTCATTGCTAAGGCCGAAATTGCTGGGATCCGCCTCAACATGCAGCAACCAATACCAGACTCGAGCTTAGACATGGGACCGGTTACCGGTCAAGGGCACGGGGTCAATTGGGTCAGTCTCGTCGGCCCTTATTTCCTCTGGATTATTTTGGTTGTCCAAATCATTGGTTACGCGTTGTTAGCCGTTCTGGTTGAGACGTTTCTACACGGGAACAATCGCCGTCGTCGAACGTTTCATGACACTCCAGAAGCAGTCAATTCCCATGTCTCCATCGAGACTATCGACTTGGAGAAACAGTATCGGCCGTCGTGGTTCAAGAAATTGTTCTGCTGTGCCCGCACTCCGAAAACGAAAGCCGTGGATGGGTTGAATCTTGTCAGTCAGAAACGCCAAATCCTTTGCCTGTTGGGTCCTAATGGTTCTGGGAAAACATCAACTCTCGACATGCTAGCTGGGTTTCAAGTGCCTACCGGGGGTCAAGTAAACATCAATGCTTCGCCATCGCAATTGGGTAAGTTGCATTATACAATTGGAACTAGGATCCTTTACTAATTTATACAGGTATTTGTCCACAGCGTAATGTGTTGTGGGACAACCTGACTGTCTACGAACATCTGGTCATCTGGAATGCTCTCAAAGGCAATACCGAAGATCCAACGGCCCTCGAAAAGCTGATCGAAAAATGTGACCTTGCGCTCAAGAAGAACAACTTCGCAAGGAACTTGAGCGGCGGTATGAAGAGAAAACTCCAACTGGCTTGTATGCTCGTCGGCGGCTCCTCCGTTTGTCTAATGGACGAAGTTACTTCCGGTCTTGACCCCCTATCTCGTCGCGCCATTTGGAATGTGGTTCTTAGCGAGAGATCCCAGAGAACTATGGTGCTGACTACACATTTCCTTGACGAATGTGAGGTCTTATCAGACCATATAGTGATAATCACACTGGGGAAACTTAAGTGCCAAGGAACACCGACTGAGCTAAAGAACCAATACGGCAGAGGCTATCGTGTTCACATCCCAAGGACCGAAGATATATCGAGCATATCATACCCGGTGACACAACAACATGATAGGTACATTTGCAGAACGCCAGACTCGACGTCCGCTGCAGGACTCCTAGCCTCCCTAAAGAACTCAAGTGATTCGGAGTTATATATCACCGGACCTACCATCGAAGATGTGTTCCTAAAAGTCTCCGAGGAGCCGCACACACTTATCGGTGAGACACCAGAGGAGATTTCAATCGCAGACTCTCAGCCAAGCAGGATGAAAAGCCCACACGTCGAACCACCTCTGTGGGTTACCTACTCGCAGCAATTCTGGGCTCTCTTCCTAAAGAGGATCCAGGTCCTGCGCTCAAACTGGTGGGCCTACCTCTTCGCCCTCGCTATTCCTATCATCGCAACTTATGCCATCGGGACATTTCTCGAGGACTACGAGATTCCTGACTGCAATCGCCTAATGTCATTTTCACCATATGATAACCGTATGAGTTACACATATACAAGTTCCTTAGCACTCGGGCCTCCATCTGTAAACAGTACAGTCGAGGATATAATTAATTCCACGATCAGGTATAGCTACAGAGGATATAGTGGCGGGCCCTACCTCGTAGATAGCCGGAACGACCTCGAGGACTTCGTTCGTACTAACACCGTGAATATCTTGTATGGTGGCGCGGCATGGATGGGTAATAACACCAAGCCACTTGTCGCCTACTCTGCGACGTCTGGATCTTCGGGCGCTTCTGGCCTATTGAACCTCGTTAACCAGGTCCGCAGCGGGGGGCGCGTAGCAGGTTACCTGTCTACTCTTCGCTCATATCACCAGGCCGAAGGAGGGCAGAGCATGTTCTACGTCACCATATTCTGTCTGCTTCAGGCGCTGTACCCAGCTTTCTTCTCTCTTTACCCGACCTACGAGCGCAGATCTCAAGTTCGAGGACTTCAGTATTCGAATGGTGTCCTGCCGTTCCCTTTACTATTTTCGTATTGGATGTTCGATTTCGTGTTTGTTCTAGGAATCACCGCAGTCTGTACCGCCTTGATCGCTCCTAGCGCTCCATGGTTCGGTATAGGTTACATCTGGTTTATACAAGTGCTTTACGGGCTTGCAGCTATCCTTTTCGCGTACCTGATTTCTCTCATGTCCCGCTCGCAGCCAGCGGCGTTTGCTTACTCGATCTTATTCATGGCTATCATGTATGCTATCTCGATCGTTGCACTGTTGGTAAGGTGTCCCTTTTTAATCCTAATGTCGAAGTTGGATTTGCGCTAACCCTAGATCAAGATTATCCAAATGACAGACGGTGCCAACCAGATGGCCAACGACGGAACAGCCTACGGACTCGGTCTTATCTTTCCTATCCAGAACCTTATGCGAGGCATGGCTGTGAGTTTGAACATGTATATCGTCCGTTGCCGAGGTCAGGACATGGTCACAGACCCGGGATCCTTCTACGCTTTTGGCGGGCCCATCATGCTACTTATCCTCCAAATTGTTGGCCTCTTTAGCTTGCTCTTATGGCTTGAAGGCGGTAGCTTCGCGTGGATCTCGAAGCCTAAGCCCCTACCACCAGTCATCGACGACGCGGAGAAGAGCGGTTCCTCGTCAGGACGGCCGGATGTTGACGCCGATACAGCTCGTGTGGCCGCATCGGAGATGGATCTCCTCCGTGCGCTTCACGTATCCAAGAAGTTTGGACCTAACGTTGCGGTTGACGACGTGTCGCTCGGTCTCCAGGAGGGCGAGATCCTTGCTTTACTGGGACCCAATGGTGCTGGAAAGACTACTATGATTAACATGATCCGCGGTGACCTAACACCAAGTAGTGGTCGGATCTACCTCGAGGGTGTTGACGTGCTCAGGAACAAGCGACTAGCTCAGAAGCACCTTGGTGGTATGGTACCCCTATTCCATTACCCCTATCTTTCTACCAGTACTAATAATATGAATATTATAGTCTGTCCTCAATTCGACGCCCTAGATCTCCTCACAGTCCGCGAACACCTAACATTCTACGCGCGATGCAAAGGCGTCGAAGATATCAAGGGTGCCGTATCATACGTGATGGCCCGCGTGGGAATCACAGCACACGCAAGCAAGATGGCGGCCAAGCTCTCAGGCGGCAACAAGCGCAAATTAAGCCTTGCCATCGCATTACTCGGCGACCCACCAGTACTTCTCCTCGACGAGCCCAGCTCGGCCATGGACGCGGCGTCGAAGCGCGTGCTATGGCGCACGCTAGCCGCCGTGGCACCCGGTCGCTCCGTCTTATTAACAACACACTCGATGGAAGAGGCTGATGCTCTCGCCACGCGTGCGGCAATTATAGCGCGTCGTGTCCTTGCCGTTGGTACAACGGAAGCGCTGCGTAAGACGCACAGTAACGAGTACCACGTACACCTGATCCTGCGCAGCGCCCCGCTGTCGACGGCGGAGGAGATGCGTGGCGTAGAGGAGTGGGTGCGCCGCACGTTTGGGAACGCACTGCGCTTTGAGGGAGAGAGCCTCGGCGGACAGGTTAGGTTCGTGGTCCCGGCTGATAGCAGGGTTCCTGAGTCGGCGAGTGCATCGCCCGCCGGCGATGCAATTACGCCTACAGAGGGGCGGCACGCTACGCGCAGCTTTACAAGATACCTGATCGAGACGTTGGAGGCGCGCAAGGAGGAACTCGGTATTGACTGTTATTCTATCTCCGCTGCGACGATGGAGTCGGTGTTTATGAAGGTGGTTAAGGAGAGCGATGCTGCTGAGGATGAAGGACGACAGCAAAAGCGCTGGTGGCGGTGGTAGGAATCAGGGGTTAGTTGTTAATAGGCGACGGCATGAAGGAAATTCGAGGAGTGGGATATAGGATGCAATAGCATATTTCTTTATTATCTGCTTTGTAAATACCCTATGCGTAATGGAGGACATACAAATGTCTAAGATGTTGAGACGTGATCGATACAACTATTAAATCTTCACTTTTCGAGGAAAGAGAATCCATACGACTTAGGAGATACTTTGGTTTATCGAGACATTCAACAAGGTTGTAGTTGAAGCCTGAGTAAACCTGTATATCAACTACTATAGGAGGAGAATACAAATAGCTACGGCTATGTTCATTAAGCCATTCCTCCTTAATCTCAGCACATTACCGAACGTCGAATTAATTTGGTCAATAGGCGATTTCTCTTTTGATATTTTCTCCTCATAAGGGGGGAGGGAGAGAAATTCTAAAGTAATATTTCAAAATCTATTATTAAAGTTTCTCCGTTCATAAGAATTACACATTCTATGTAGCCCATGAATATTATCACTTGACGAGGTTACTCTTTCTCGGTTAGGGCAAGACAATCAATAGAGTCCCAATACTAAAGCCAACTGTTCGCCAATGATAGTAGATTCAAATTTAACGTTTTCTATAGACTTCACATTATTCATCTCTTCAAAGTCGTACGTATATCTTTTATAAGGATGCCCTTGCTCCCACGCAAACCAAGTGTCGTATATTCTCTTGGACTTCGTGGGCGCAACTAGTGAAGTGCGGATAAGTAGAGTTTCAATAATTTACAAACACTTATATATTGCTTTCCCCCGAGCTCGACCAACACCTCTAAGCGCGACCCTTCCGTGCTTCAGCAGCACCCTCCTTGTCATAAGCCTGGACTTCGATCTCGATGTGCATCGTATCCATACCGAGCTGCTTGACGCCGATTTCCGTCCACACCGGCTGATGGTTCGGCATCCAGCGCTTGAAGTTCTCGACGATACGGTCGTGTGTGGCCTTAATATCCGTGCTGTATGTAACCACACGATATACCTGAGACCAGCCCTTACCTCCGGCATGCTTCAACGTGTAGTCGACGTTGTCGAAAGCTTGATCTACTTCTTCTAGGGTATCTTGCTTGAGCGAAATGCTGGTACGATCCCAGCCACCTATTGAATCATGAGTTAGATTTCGAAAATATCTATGAGGAACGTCAAGGTAGGATTAAGATGAATGTTCTATTTACCCTGACCAGAGATAAATATGCTGTTTCCTACACGGATGGCCTGGCTGTAATGCATCGTCTCACGAGCCCATTCGCCAGCTCCGGGATACGCATATGATGGTAGACCAGACATTGCGATAGAGAAATATTGGTAAATGATACTTTGATAATTAGACTAGTAATTGCTAGAGAGTGATGTGTGCCTGAGGTGATTTGGCAAGTCTGAACTATGTAGAAAATCCAACCTTGCATCTTTCCATTTATATATTTCTCCAGTATCCTAGGTCAGATGATTAGCACTATTTGCCTTACATACTATTTATGAATAACGAACTAGACATCCGAGTGCGCCCCTATTTCGCACATAAGCTCATACACTTACTTATATGGACTGTAGAAATTCGAAATAAAATGAGAAAAATACCCCTTCACATCTCACGAAATCCCTTTTAACATGACAACCTATTGCATTAATCATTTGTTTGCTTTACTGTTTTATTAGACAGCTATACAGTGATTAATTGAAGTAAACATAAATATCTATGAAACATAACCCTAATGAGCGTATGGAGACCTTTGCCAGTTGATTATTGATTGTTCCTCCGAATGGCACCTAGACAAGCCAATATCCCCGTTGTTGGGAGTGTAGCTCAAGTGGTAGAGTGAGTCACCAAGGCTGCCAAGTTGGACCGGGAACAAGAAGAAATCCGATCTGATTAATCAATCAAATAAGTAAGATAGCCAAGACTAATATACATAGTAGTGGAGTGGAATTCAAAGGGAAGGGGAACTCTTATTGGAAGGATTGGTAAGACTCCGAACTCTGTGCATAAAAGCTCTATACAATTGTTCACCACATGATCCAGCTGTTATTATAATTGAAACTCTAACGTCATAGAATTGACATTTGTATTAGTTAGTTAGTTAAACAATTCGTACACTTAGATATTATCAACTCTATTCGGAATTTAGAAACTAACACACTAGCTAGAACAAAGTAGGAACAATTTTAATTATTGGGCAACGCAAATCGATAGTTAGATTGTATTAATCTCGGAGAATACTTATAGCATACTATAGTGTCGCTTGTTAATATTCTGCGCGTATCTGGGTATTTAGGAGCCTTTACTAAAAGTGGTATCGTGATCTTATTTCTATCTTGAGTCGTTCTATTCGTGGTGGCTCTGTGGAGACTACACATTGACTTCATATGAAGGAAGAGTAATATTCTTACCGTGATTAAGCGGTTTAAGTACCATATATAAAATACAAAACCCATATCAATATTTCACCTTCAAGATATATTTCATTTGCAGCGATAGTGAAGTATTGGATGTTGGAGTAGATACTATATCAACCTCTCGACGTTTGGAATCTGGTCAATTCACACCGGCCGTGGTCATAGCCCGTAATCGAGATCGGTCCCGGAGATGTACATCACAATCTAGTCGTCATTCATTGGTGGGTAACTGCCGACAAATCCACTCCTCTTCAAAAGCCCCGAAGCGTAGTGGCTTCAAGAAGAAGAGATACCGGCTTGTTTGCACCACTTCATAGCAAACACGACTACTCCAAACTTTTCGTCTATAAAGAGAGAGATCTCGAGTAAGACACAGGACTGAGATTAAGATATATTTAGTAAAATCGTTAGGTTTGCGTGGAATATGGCATTGGGAGTTGCGTGTTCGGCGTGATCCTTAGCTTAGAACGTGGCAAACCCGAGATCATTTACTCCAAACTAGACGACCCTAGCGGTTCTCAATCTACTGGACAGAGCTGAACTTGTCTCCAGTATTGAGGCTGGTGTATCCGTGTAAGCCGAAGCAAGCGGAGAACGCGGCATGATACGAATACAATTGGGTTATTCTTGGTTCTTAGTATCGTTCGAGTTTTCAAAGTGATGCTACATTGCAGTCGACATGGTTGATGCTTGGATGCTGTAGAGTTTATTAAGTTTTCTTAGACATGGAATGGTGGCCGAGGATATGAGTGGTTGAAAGAAGCCGTGTCTTACATAGGCGCCTGCTGTATCTGTATTGCTATCTGCATCAGGACGGGAAGTTGAAGGTCTGATAATGAATGTTTATTACATACATGTAGGTAGTAGTAGGTAGGTATGTATTGGGCAGGAACGCAAGTGGACCGTGCTTTAAAACTCGCCCGCTTGACCGGGGTGCAGGGGCCGGACATGCTTCTTAGGTGCTTCTTAGGTACTTCTCAGGTGCAGCTGTATCCCACTTTTTTCTCAACCCAACCCGCCAGCCCGCAAGATCTACCACCAGTTAGCGGCTGCCAGCTTTCTCACACCGCATTATCAACTATCTTGCAGTGACGCCTTAGATACAATCCATAAGTCCGAGAAGAATAAAACGCATTGGCAGCCCTGATTCTCATTGATCCTCTTAGGTTCCTCTTAGGTTCCTCTTCTCTACCTCCCCTCAACACCATCTTCCTTCACCCCGTCGGAGGCGTGGTGAAGGTTTTTGCGTGTATTGTGGTACCAAGTAGAGCGTTTCACGATACTTGGCACCAGCGGAGTCCCGTTCTTAAAAGCAGAAACTTTTCAAAGACCGGGGGGAAATAGTGCAAATCGGCATTACCCCCTGGGCTTTGGCTACGAGAGATCGTCATTCACTCCGGTGACGATTGACGATTGACGATTGACGAGGAAGAAAGAAAAAGCAAACTTGGACGTTGTCTTTATTAAAAGACTTCATCCATTTCAATTTTCTTACCTTCGCTTTTTTTTTTTTCGGTCTCTGGACGACTTTCTTCTTCCCTAAGTCCTTGGGAAATACTGCTGCCTTCTAAGGCACCAGGGTACTTAGAGGTTGTACATCGCCTAAAATCTCAGCTGGCCAATTGGTGGTGGAAGAAGATCAATACGTAAGCTACTAGCTCTGCCCCTTATTTGTTGATGCAGCCAGGACCGGCCGGGTGTATCTAATTTTAAAAATTACTTGTCCATTTCTAACTTTCAGCCTTTTTGACAGATCTTTCTTCCACCACGGCAATAACGACAATATCAATACCATTTGGAGCATCATTCGCATTTGTCTTGAGTCTAGACCGAAATACCTTAGCTCATCATCCCTCATCTGAATTGATTTCGGCGTCCCTTTCTAACACTCAATCGCCTTATCTGAAGCTGCTCTCTGTGTACCACTTTGTGTCCGACAAAGAATTTCGAAACATCGAATCCTATTACTTTTTCTACACGACACAATGGCTTCTCGTATCCAGATTCCTCTCGACGTCCTGACGTCGCGCCTGAATATTCAGGATCGCTTCGCCGGATTTCGTAACACCTCTCTCTCTAGTCGGTTCGCCAATATGCGTCCCGTCAGCGAGTTCCTCGACTTCAAGCGTTTGTCTAAACCGGAGAACTTCGGTGAGGTTCAGTCGCGTGTCAATTACAACTTAGGCACCTTCTCGAGCAATTACCTCCTGGTTATTATTCTCCTCAGCGTTTACGCCTTGATTACGAACCCCCTTCTGCTCTTCGACATTATACTTCTAGGTGGTGGACTGTGGCTCCTTGGCCGACTTAACGGACAGGACCTCACCATTGGTACCTTCCAAGCCACGTCCTCCCAGCTGTATACCGGATTGCTCGTCACCTGTGGTCTTCTATTTCTTATTGCGTCACCTTTCACCACTGTCCTATGGTTGATCGGTGCAAGTGGCGTGGTCATTTTTGGCCACGCTTCTTTCATGGACAAGCCTATCGATGAGGCTTTTTCCGGGGAGGCGGTCTAGGTGGTCGGCCGCGAGCTCCCAAATCTGCGCCCCAATGGGGAAGACCATCGAGGCGCCCGCGAAGAGGACGGGGAGAAGAGGAGGAAGACAACATATGGGGTACTGGGCGCCGCGTTGTGGAAGAGTTAGGTAGCGAGAACGATGTGGATACACAAGGTACTGATTTGGTAACGACTTCTGGTAATAGGCGATTTGCCAGTGATCCACTTCGGTTTACTGGAATAGATTTGAGCAGTGGTAGCCAGCCACGGAATGGTTATGCTTATCAGCATTCGGATGACGAAAACGACTCAACGGAAGACGACTCGGAGGTGGCATCTGAAGAGGAGGAAGATGAGGACGATGAGAACCAAGCGCTTAGGAGGGAGCTTGACGAGGCTCTAGTACAATCGGCCCTTTCAAGGATACGGAGAGCCCAAGCCAAGGGCAAGGCGGATGTTAAGCTGAACAAGGAGGAGCTTGCGGCTCTTGAACGAAGACGAAAACGTTTACAGGCTGAAGCAGAAGCAGCAAAACGACGCGGTGGAGGTGATCGGAAGCGCAAGGAAAAGGAGCAGCGATATGCTGTTCCCCTTTCACAATTCGATGATCCTCAATCGGGTTCAGAGCAAAACCAACTTGCCCCTCCCATGGGACGTTTCCCTCCACCTAACGCCTCACATTCACGTCCTCGTTCGGGCGTATCATCTACGTCCTCTACTCGTCGTCCCCAGTCTATAGTGCGAGACTCCCCTCCTTTCGACTATCAATACGTACATGCACCCCCTAATCAACGCCATGCCTCGGATCCCACAGCAAAGCCTTCGTCTTCACGCACATCCCTTACAGAAATCAGAGATCCCTTCCAATATCAAACTGCGGGTCCACGTGCGCTGTATGCTGATGGAGTTGCGGCCGCCAGACTTGACGCAGCGGGCAGGACTGCTCCTGCAGATAGGAGCAGTTCGAGGCACCCCAGAAGCAGGGAGGAGAGGAATAGGCACGAACAGGAGGATGAGACAACTAGTGACGATGGAGCGAACGATGCACGGCTTTCAAGAGAAAGGAGTCGAGACGAAATTGTGATGCAAACATCCCCTTCACCCGAACGTACCAAGAGTAAAAAGTCTTCGCCGCCCATTGCAGCTGCGAAACGGAAAGCGGTTGCCCCTAAAAAAAGGAAAGGGAAATAAATCAAGTAGTCGTCTAGTTATTCTAATAAGCAAAGCATAGCCGCGTAATAAAGTATTGATATGCCAGATGATTCATCAACTTGTCCGAAATTTCTTACAATATTGATCATAGTCTCACTTTCACTTATTATGAAGGCACATTCGGTAAACGACTTTCTAAATTACGACAAGTCTAACTAACACGAGGGTATCGTATCGATTCTTCGAACCGTTCTTTTTTTGGACATCAATCGTAACCCAAACTCTTGCTAGAATAAGGAATGCTATGAAGTGAAGAATCTCTCAAATCTCTTCCTAGAATCAGTCCTAAAACGCCATCCATAAATTCGTAGTAGGTAAGGGGCACCTGAACTTCGCCCCATACCTCATCATAAGCCATTATATACCGCCCAAAGCCAACCGCCTACCTAAGTCCCCCACTACCTACATGCTTCTTACGCTAAGAAAAGAAGTCTCGAATACTGCCGAAGAACCCGCGGCCGTGACTCTCGCTATGGTACTCTCGTCGCCGTTCCCATTGGTAGTCACCATCACGGACCCGGTGGACAGAGAGGCTCTCATTGTTGCCGAGACCGCCAGCCATGCGCACGGCCTCGCTCATGAGACCAACGCTGTCCCCCGAACCGGCGCGGGCCGCAACACCCAGCATACGCTCAATGGTCGGAGGCAGGCGGAGGCCGAAGCGGGCTAGGAGGGCGGTTAGAGCACCTCCGGTGATGAGAGGCATGATCACCAGCATGAACACCTTGATAGGGTGGCGCTTTGCATAGTATATTAGGTCGCGTAAAAGCCGGCGCAGCTTCTTTACTGTCCGTTGGATGAAGGACGAGCGCGGCTGACGTTTGTAGTACGAATTGGAACGGCCTGTTAGGAATGCCCGTTGTTAGTCGCTTATTTGGTAGGTGGCACGTATGACAATAGTATAGGTAGTTATACTACGTGGTCCAAAGAAAATTTCCGAAAATCCACCATTGTGCTTACGTGTCATTCGACAGGGGAATGGGCTTGTAGAGCAAAGGGACGCACGAAATAGAATATAGGAATGTGTGAAAGAAATGGGAGAAAAAACTCACCACCGAGGCTGAAGAAACTTCGGCTGCTGCCATTCCCGAGGTTGAAGAAGGAGGAGCTCCGCGAGCTGTTGTGCTTGTCTTGATGGCTGCTGTGATGGCTACTGCTGCCGCCGAAGATGGATCCCGCACCTGAGTGACGCTTGCTACGATGCGGACGGGACGAATGGACGGTGTGAGATTTTCGTGTCGAGGTCGAGACGACGGACTCGGCGTCCTCGTCCTCCCAGTCAAAGAAACCCATGGTAAAAATTTGACGTCTCGGGTATATAAATAATAATAATAAATAATATGCTAATATATAAATTGTATGTATATATATGAAGCTGTCTCACTCAAACTTGCGACATGCAGTTCTGCAGTTCGAGTATCACAGATCTAGCTGCCGATGCTTAATCGACGCGGCGGGGGGCAGGCGAAAAAGAGCCGTAAAAGCAAGCTAAGGGATATTTCTCACAGACAGCTGCCGGAGCGGATCTTTTATGAAGATCAAGATCGATTTTTATGATCTGACGATCTGCGTGGTTCGATAAGCTATAAAACGCACCGGCCAGCTTGTGAACAGATTCGAGGTGACTTACCCACTTCGGCGGGACGCGATGCTGGAGTAGAAAGGGATTTTTATTTTATTTTTACGGCTTGTAGAGGTCCAGAGGGAAGGTATCGTGAATTGGAACTGCGAATAAGAGAGAAGGGATCGACTTTCTCACCGACAATTCAAGGGGCTGGGCTGGCTGGGCAAACCCCCTGGACGATCTGCGCTGCCCTAAAACCGCCTAGAACTGATCCTGGGCTAGGGCTAATCTGGATCCGCTCTAGTGGTCTGGTTCCGAAGGTGAGCTTGCGGGTCGGTGGAGAACTCACCATGTGGAGAATTCAAGAGGAAATATCAAGCCACAATGCTACGGTGGCTAGAACTTTAGAACTTTTAATGATTGCCCGTTTCGGAAAGTCGCCTTTAGGAGGTAGGTTTGCAGCCACATCTATGACGTCCCTTATTGGATGCACTTGTTATCTTGAGACTTGAGTACCCAACACCGCCTAACAAGCCTGATTCAAGAGACCATGACCTGGCCTCTTAGCTTCGGAATATCTGTCATATCTGTCGAAGTTTACCTCTCTAACTAACTACCAAAATCAATACTTTTACTAACATTGACTTGAAATACTCAAAATGACTGACAGAGCGCCTCCTAACTACTGTACGTCACTAGCTACCTAATCTCCTCTCATCTCTTACGACGTCAACCCCACTTACAAAGGATAAACCACAGACAAGATCCTCGAGATCTCCGAAAGTTCCACTACGCAGCAGATTCGCGATGCCTATAAGCGGTGAGTACGTACTATATGTAGTTTATCATTTTGCTAACAGAAGCTCCCCACGGCCAGAGCAGCCCTCAAAACCCACCCGGACAGAGTTCCCTCGAACTCGCCTGAACGCCCGGTCCGAACACGCAAGTTTCAGCTCGTAAATGACGCCTACTACACGCTCTCAGACACCACACGGCGACGTGAGTACGACGCCCAGCGCAGACGGTTCGGCGGTGGGCGCAGCACTTACACGTACGAGGAGGCAGACGACCCAGAGGAATCAGTGCCGCCTGAGACTGGAGGAGGAGGGACAGGAGCAGCACAGAGCGCATACTCATGGGCGTGGAACTTCTTCACAGGCGGAAACACCAACTCGCAACCTCATGCTCGAGAGGCGCGGCAACAGACTGAAGACGCGCAGTTTGGAGCTGTGTTCGAGGAGATGCTGCGCGAGGAGGGGCTCGCGGACCAGGATACCAATAGGCCGACATCCAAGTTCTGGAGCATACTGGGCGCGGCCAGCGGTAGCGTGCTGGGCTTTATATTGGCGAATATGCCGGGGGCGGTTGCGGGCGCAGTGGCGGGGAATAGGTTGGGTGCCGTGAGGGATGCGAAGGGCAAGAGTGTTTATGCTGTTTTCCAGGAATTGCCGCAGGATGATCGGGCTAGAATGCTGGCTCAGCTTGCTACGAGGGTGTTTAGTCACGCCGTGGGGATTTGACGAGAGTAGATATATGACTTTGGCTTATGGTGCGTTGCGTTTCTGCTGCTTTCAAGGCGTGGGCATACGAGGACTACGTAGTTTGGTTTGACTGCATTCTTTTACTACCTAGGGATCATGCGTGGAGTTTGGGTGTGCTTGTTTTAAAGGCAGGCGGATAGAGGTCTAGTAATGAACTGTTATTCCTACTGGTATAAAGAAAGTATAGGTTATGATCTTATATGTTACAGACATGATGGAATTACCTCGTTCTATTTTATTAAAGAAATCATCAGATACCGTGTAATACAATTATGTTGAAACTACCTGAACTGCACGTCTTGTACATGCATGTATATTTATCTAGAGTGCATTATCGTGTCCTACACCTGATGTTTATCTTCTTATCGAAGCTATGCATTTAGTATCAAGGGTCTTAATAGGCAGTCGCGGGTGAGAAAGGTTACGCAAAAGTTAGATGACGCTATTCCATTTCTGGACGTTTCTCCCCCTCGTACCTGGCAGGGATTGTTGTTCCTCTCCCCCACTACCATCGCCCGTCTTGCCGTCCCAGCACCATCTTCAAACTTTGGGCCTTCTACCTATTTACTCTTTAACTGATAGGCTAAGAGGTACTTAATAACTCCTACATCATCTTCGCCTTACAGTCAAAATGGCCAAGCCCATAGAGATCACGTCGGTTGAGCAGTTCAACGGGCTCCTAAAGAGCTCGCGTATTGTGGTGGCAGACTGTAAGTTAGCTTCCCCCCAAGCCTTATTCACCACCACCACCAACTTGCCCCGCCGTCGCCATCATCGTTACGACGCGGAGCTGACAAATTATTTCGGCGCGCAGTCTACGCGAACTGGTGCGGGCCGTGTAAGCAAATTGCACCCTTCTACGACCAGTTATCGAAATCTCTTTCACGCCCAAAAGTTGCGACGTTCGTCAAGGTCAACACGGAAGCCGAGGGAGCCAAGGCAGTCGCAGCCGAATACCGCGTCACGCATCTGCCTACCTTTATAGTGTTCCGCGATGGTTCCGTTGCTGAGAGGGTTAAAGGCGCCAATCCGAAGGAGCTCCAGACCATCGTTGAGAATTTAAGTCACAACATCGAGCATGCTACCCAGGGTGAGGGTAGTGGTAGTGGTAGTGGTAGTGGTGGCTCGGGAGGTATCGCTTGGAGGGGAGCTGATCTACCCCGAGGTTACACGGACATCTCAGACGCCATCGACGTACGAGGACTAGAACTGCTAAACGCCGATGAAAGCCACTTCTCTGTTCGAACTCTCTTCAATAAAAACAAACCTTCGGCGTTATCCAAGGACAAGGTCGCGGACAGTGAAAAGGACTGGGTAGAAAGCGACACGGATGAGCAGCTGCTTCTCTACACGCCATTCAACTCTGCTGTCAAGCTCCACACGATACAGGTACATAAGCCTGTTCCACTACATATAGCTTAAGTATCAAGCTAACATACCTCTCTAGATCACTTCTCTACCGCCCACCGATGATGAGGATGACGACGACGTACCGATGAGGCCCAAGACTCTTAAGCTCTTCACGAATCGACCACACAATCTGGGGTTTGACGAAGCTGATGATATCGACCCGACTCAGACCATCGAGATTAGCGAGAGCGACTGGAACTCTAACGGTACCGCGAGTTTGGGACTACGATTTGTCCGGTTTCAAAACATTACTAGCCTCGTTATCTTTGTTGTGGACGGCAATGGTGATAGCGAAAAGGTCCGATTGGACCGAATAAGATTTATTGGCGAGTCTGGCGAGAAAAGGGAAATGGGGAAACTCGAGAAGATCGGCGACGAGCAAGGTGAATAGAGTGCGAAAGAAAGAAAAAAAAAGAATGGGTGGGTAGGCGAGCACCAATCGCGGTCACGATTACTTATGGCGAATGTGGGCAGCGAATGGAAGGCGATGAATAGAGTCGGAATGCTTTTGAGACCGCATCTATATAGATAGATGGTATCAATCAATCAATAACCGGAATGCTCATTATGACTTTCCATTCTCGTCTACAGCCACAGAAAACGCTAACAAGGTCCATGATTGGCATACGTGTCTGTCCATCTATTTGGTGTCACCACTGAACCATGGCGGGAACCAACCAGTCTGTCTACTCCTTGCATTGGCCTTGATTGGATTCCATTGATCTGCAAATCTAGTTGGTTGTCAAGTTTAGTTCTGACCTCATCACCACCTTCACGGATTCGCATATTCTTCCTCATTACAATTATCAGTGATAAATTTTACACGTTAAAATGATACTTAAGAACCACGCCACAGCGTCGGGTACTGCCTTGAGTAAGCAAAGTGAAGGGTTAAATCCTCCGGGAAGAAAAGTATTCCCTCAAGATTGCAACAATGTCTATCAAGACATCATCCTCATCTAATGGCAGAAAATTTTACCAACTAGCCTCTCTCGTAAGCTGAGTTAGGTAGGCTAAAAGTCTTGTTTTTTTATTTTTATAATGTCCAGCATCTTCACTGCGGTTCGAAGAAGCGACCAAAGGCTTCAGGTTCGAACCGACTTCAGAAGTGAAGTCGCCGGCTTGCAATTTTAATTTCTCTGTGGCATGACTGACGCTATATATCCATGGGGGTATATTCCACTGAAGGAAGAAGGGATTCGAGCAACACGGGGAGTGTTGTGTCATGCCAGCCGCACGAAGAAGAAAAAAAGAAGAAAAGGAAATAAAATTTTGTCGCATCGCGCTCGAGTTTTGATTTGCTCTGCTAGCGTCGTCACCAGCTGCGAGCTTGAGCTGCAGGTGTCAGCTGGCTGTCGGTTCTCGCGCTAGAGCGACAACCGAGGCGGTAGATATTCGGATATACATACAACTAGCACTTTTACAATATCTTATTATTAAATTCATCCGATAAATCCGATAAATGTTGTTCAAGGGAACTTTATTAATTATTCCGAGGTTTCATTACTTCCACCAGCTTTTAACCTAGAGATTTGCTCCACCTCCCGTCGCATTGCGCATCAAATTGAAAGCGGGTTCAATTCAATGTTCTTGAGACTTGAGACTTTAAAAACGAACAGAAGGATCAAGTTAATCCACCTTTCTCCAACGAATTACTACAATACAAATGTTAGTCGTTTTCCCCGTCTCAGGAATCTAGACGCTCTTCAGTCTTGTCTATCTAAAGGACCCAAGGACCCTTGGAACAGCTAGCCCCGGAACGATCATGCTGTTTAATATACCCGTCCACTTGGATCCCTTCCATAGGTACCTACTTAACATCCCAGGTCGTTTTTTACTATCGCTCATCCCGTCTAACGGCGTATCCCCCGCAGCCCCCGTCAAGTAGGTAGGAAACTTGGAAGTGGGAGGGGCATACGTGTGCATGTTCATCCTGTTCGTCCTGTTCGTCCTGGGAGTAAATTACGGATACCTGTAGGCTATCTACCTGTATCGAGACAAATACAGAGGTACTCTCTATGTGCTGTGTACTCTTTCACCGGGAAAGGGTTTCAGGCTTTGGGGGCTGCTAGCTAATAGCTGTAGCTAATGGCATTTCGACCCATTGGCAAGCCTCGTCTACAGCCCTGATTCTACCTATCTGGCGCATCTTTGTCATATATTCTCGTCGTTGAACCCCCAATTCCCCCCCCCTCCTCCTCCTCCTCATGCAACGTCACGCAGCAGACTATATCCCACCAGCACGGGGCTTTATTAAGTCGTCAGAAGCCGCACACACAGTAGCAGCGCTAACAAACCCCCCTTATGTTCCCCCTAGGCCGACGTCAGCTGCTCTAGCCTCCGTCTTGGATATGATAGTCTGCTGCGTGATATCTGCACGTGTGCCACAGCGGCAGGGTTCCAGTGTAGCACGAAGAATGGCGAACCAGCGTTGGGATAACTGTCTAACGTGGTATACAGCATTAATATACAACTTAATTGTTCCATTTATAGACCAGTTCCGACCGTCGCATGTCTCGACTCCCTATTCGTCTACCGGCCAACGCATGTAAGCTTCTGCTCTCTATCTATCGTCTCAAAACTCGTGGCTATCGTAGTAGTCTTATTAACCCGGCCCATTTCATAGGATTCTCCAGCACGCTTCAGCTTCCCTTTTCAGGACCTGCCTCGCTACGTTGGTTGTACGTCAGCGCCCCCCCGACTCGTAGCTGATTTGTATGTAGGTATTGTCCGTATTGTGCCATCACCCCCATGTCTCTTTCTGGAAGGTTTCCGCCGCTCGAGCGTCCTCTTAGACGAGTGTTAGCTCATCGCCCTTGGTCTTTGCTCACAAGTCCGTCCCATACCCGCATGACTGGCTTTTAAACTATTTGCTCTGCCCCCAACCTTTTTCCATCTGAGTAAAGAAGCAAAAAGCTTTGCAAGCCACCCCTTTCCCTTAGCGGCTCCCGCTGTCTCTAATATTCTGGAGACGCCGACCCATGTGATCAAGCATCCTACGCATTTCTAGGTACATATTCCGCCAGTGACCTTAGTTGACTCTTAAAATCTCATAAACATCTTACATCATATGTTGGTTCGGCTCCTTCTTGGTTAACCCTGTGAATAAATCTGTTCCTTTTTCTTCCTCTTGGATCTTTCCGCTTTACTCCTCTCTCTCTCTCTCTCACATCGGCGTCAGAAAACGTCATTGGGTTTTTACATTGGATTCGGTGGCAGAGTTAAAGAGAAGCGCGGCGTAGTAATTAAAGTCGTGGCTTATTACTTGAGGCCTCCCCACATCGGTTTTGACAATCTATCTGTGGCCAACTTACACGGCGACGTGGATCGTCCATCACTCCTCGTAAAGGCTTACGAAACCCGATATAGGGTACCCGGCGAGGTATTTAATTTGGTCAAAGGATCTTGGGGCTGAAGAGGAAGCCTCGGGAATCGCTGCTGATAGATCAAACAGCTGAGAGCGCTTCGAGGCTGTGGCTGGCAGAAGTTTGCATTGGCTTCTGCCAGTTAGCCACCTTCGTATCGACTTCTACATACATTTCTACGGCATCGGACCGACTCAAGAGTAAGCGGTAGGACTTGTTATTTAGAAGTTTGGCGCGGAAAATCCCAAATTTTAGAACTTGGACATTCTATGCAGCCCGGCCGTTAGTAAAACAAACACCAGCGCGACGACTCACGATGGCTTCCGAACTCAGCTTCCCGCAATTCGGAAAATTGCCGTTGGAATTACGGGATATGATATGGGGGTATGCTCTCCCCGAGCCGAGAGTCTTCGAGGTCCTCGATTCTCCGTCATCAGCGCAATCTCAAACCACGCCTTCGGGCCGTTTGATGTTTGCTGACGTCCGTAACGAGCCGCCGCCCTCTATAGCACGAGTCTGCCGCGATGCCCGGCAAGCGGTTTTGCGTCGCTACAAGCCCATCGCATTTTCCGGAACAGTCAAGCACCTAGATCTCTGTCGAGACATCATCCTACTTGACTCTTACTTACAGGTGAAGAGACTGCTAAAGGTGATTCGCCTCCTAAGCCAGATTGAGCCTATTCGTCGAAGCGCTACCAGGTTGGCTCTCGGTACATCATGGGGCTTACACACCGGGTTGCACCTACGAATGTTTCATCGCAGCGTCCAAACGAAGCGAAACATGGCCCGGTTTCTCGAGTACGTATCCAAGTTTCGCCAGCTTGAGACTATCATCCTTGTCGTTTACCAGCGTTCGGCGTTTGGGCTCCGGCTCAAGTGCTGCGGCCCCGATCGCCCGCGCAGCCTACCCTGGCGCCATTACGATTTGTACGAATCGTACCATTTCAACTTTAACGTTAACTTCAACCTCGACAACTACTGGCTGCGCCGGCCGTACCAGAGTAGGCTCGTCAGGTACGACCCGGAGGACGACAGAACTGAGGCAGAAAAGGTGCAACAGTCTCCCTTACCGAGGCATTCGAAGCAGTGCGTCCACGATCCGCAGCCGCGCGGATACCAGGTACACGACTTGAAGGGCACGTTCGAGAGCTGGCTGAAGAAATTTGCGGAGGACGAGACCCTGGGGCCATCGCTAAAGGTGCCGGGCTTGGAGACGGCCACTTTAACTTGGATTTACACCGGAGTTCGCAACGAGGGTTTTTATTGAAAGGATTACAATGGGAGCATACGGAGCGCGGCGCTTTTAGGTTGGCTACCTACCTTGTATATGTGTATAGACTACATCGTTGTCTTTTGGAGACTTGCCAATACGGGCATGGCATCATGCATTGTTCGAATTAGACAGGATTATACATTTTCTGCAATACGATGCTGCTGCTTTTACATTTCAGAGTAACGAAGCAGATAGCAAATGTAGCATAGACACCAAAATCTAGATGCATTCACCCTTTTTTTATCACCCGGCAGGAAAGAGTAGATAGAACTTGGGCCCGCATATGCATAATGGTAATTGAGGAAATGCATTACAATTATTTTAAAGGCCCCGCCGATCCACCAAGACAAGATCCCCGTTTTCAAACAGTAGTGGTAGATACATAGATTTATCCTAGAGAAGAACGGATCCTGCAAGCCACTTACTCCTAATCACAGACAAATAAGCGAGGTAAAGCAAGGCAAATCATAAAAGACCCAGCATGATGATTATGGTCGACGCAGTACGCAGTACGCAGTGCTCGACATGGCTTTTAATAAGTCGGTCAGGCTACACAAAGTCAAGTCAAGTCCACTCTACCTAGGTAGGTAGGTAGGTACCTAGGTAGGTAGGTATGTGCTCCGCTCCCGAGCACACGAGTACCTAAGGCAGGCAAAGCCCGCTGTTCTGCTGCGCCCGTGATACGGCTCCGTGGCCGACCCGGGTTCGATACCGGCGCGGCTGCGGTAGAGGGTTTTATCCACTGGCTTGCATGCTGCGTATATACTAATATAGTGCAATATAGGTAAGCAACCAGCTAGCTGGCCAAAACTGCGTAGGGTGCGGTTTGGGTGGACTATGCACGCACGTAGGCATGTAGGCATGTAGGCATGTATGCACTGCGTGCTCCCGTGGAAACGGGGGGCGTCGAGTGGGTTGGGCTGGGCTGCGTTGAGCCCCTCCTTTTTGTGTATGTATGTATGTATGTATGTATGTATGTATGTATGTATGTATGTATGTATGTAGGTGCGTTGGGGTTGGGAGTGAGGAGTGAGGAGTGAGGAGTGGTGTGAGGTAAGGTGTGGTGTTGCGTGGTGTGCCTATGGATATACTTATAATATGATCTTGGGTTTCCTGACTTTGCGTTTCGTGTAATATATATATTGGTGACTTGGGCGCGGCTGCTGCATTGATCTGTATAGTACCTAGGTATGTATGTGTGAGTGTGGGATGTTTTGAATTATCTACTAGGGGGGTCTGTGTGTTGTTCGGTGGGGCGAGGGAGTGCGTCTACTTTATGTGATATAAACAGGTTCGTCTGATGATATGATATGTCGTGTTAAGACGGATCAGTCAGGGTTAGTTAGAAGGCTAAAGACAGGTACCTAACGTAGAGAGGAGCTTGATATTACCTTACATGAACATATACCCCATATAAAGACAATAACTATTGGAAATGGGTTTGTTAAGTTCTTATAAGCTACCTAGGTTGAGAGGTATGTTATGTGAAATTTACATAATGGGAATGCGAGTTAACACATAGAAGTTATCTACTATGAGAGAAAGGTCAAATTTAGTATAGCGTTCGCATATTCAAAATTGGATAGCGGAAATATGTATGCTACTTCACAGGCTCTAGCTTGTGTCTTACTGTATGTTAAACTGCGATGTCTCAGACTCAAGAGACTTCCAATGGAGTTAGCTATTGCTGCTATATCTAAACCGAATCAGCTGAAAAGGAGCAACTATGGAATTCTTATATATATATTTCTTCAAATAGGCTTCGGTACTACAACGCCTTTTATACTATAGTTTCGTGTAGGTATGCATGTTGAAGTGAAGCGCATACGGTATGACCAACCAACCAACCCCCTTTTCCACATCCAACTCCATGTCTCGAATCGGCGGCAACATATACACAAAGTCACACATATACATAACAACAACAACAACAAAAATCAACAGGGACTATTCTTCCCAAACATAATCCTGCTCCACAGCCGGCCCAATCTGGTTCCTCAGCGCAAATCCATAGTCCCCCGCATTCGGCGTCCGCAACAAGGTATGAATATGAAACTTGGCCGGCACGGCATTATTCAAGAATACGCCCGAGTGGTGGTCAAACTCGATTAGTATAATGGGGCTCTGGATGCGGTAGTAGAACGGGTCCGCGTCGCCGGACCCCCCGATCCACGAGAAGTACGTCTCGCCGAAGTGCTCTACGCAATCCCGTATCTTCAGTTCGCGGGATCGAGACGGCAGATAGAGCAGGTACTGAAACAAGATCCCGCGCACGAGGTCCTGCTGAGCCGACGATAGTGTTCCCACTATTATCCCCTCGTACGGCACCACGCGATTATCGCGATACGCGCCGCACAGATGTCGCTGGTCGTCGTGGTTCCAGCGACCGCGCGGCATTTTCGGATCCTTCATGAGCTCGTACACCGTAGCCCGGCGCTTATCCTCCGGGCCCAAACTCTGCATTAATTCCAAACCCAGCCGCTCCTCTTCATGCAATATGCGCGTGCCTTTAAACGGCCCGTCATCAATAATATTAGGCTCCGCGCCCGTGAACCACGGGGACACTACGATCTGCGTCTTATACAAGAACACGCTAAGACACAAATGATGTCCGTAGAACGAGAAGCCCCAAGGCCGATCGGTCGCCGACACCCCGAACAACACGAAGTTGTAGCTGTGCTCGTTCATGACCTTCGGCGCGTTAACTAACTCTCCTAGGAAATGATTGATGCGCATAGCCGCGCGCGCCTTTTCGTAGCCCTCGGGGCTGAGAGTAGTCTTTAGAAGAGCGAAGACGGATTCGCGCAGCGAAGGGGTGATTTCGTCGAGACGAATCCCCTTGTCGCTGACGAGGAACTCGGGGTTTGACCATGATCGCCACTCGGGCGAGTCGATGTGCAGGAGCGTGCGAGCGGTCTGCTCGGGGCTCAGCTGCGAGATTATGGCGTTGGCGTTGGCGGCGATGGCGCTGATAGGCACGCCTTCGTCGCGGAGCTGGAAGAGGTTGGGTTGGACGGTGCCTGGTGGTTGTTAGTCTTATAGGTATATTACATCCTGCCAACTTATTAGGTTATACTCATTTACCCCCTTTTTCAACGCCTACAAAATGTCTAACTCGTTTCCCTCACTCTTAATTAGAGATATTCAGGGAGACCAAGATGGAAAGTAACAGGAAATACATACCATCGCTAGTCACACCTTTGAATGGCTCCTCGAACAACTTCCGCCAGTGCACGTAAAGCCCATACAGCCATGGCGGCCGGTGATGCTCCAGCAGTTCCTGCGCATGGCCGTATGCGTCATTCTCCGCGATAGCCTGGAACCGCGGAGTGTTTAGGTCTGGTAGATAGTGCCGGAAGCTTTCATGCTGAGCGTCTTGCGTCGCCTGGGACGCCATCTTCAATACGTTGGTCAACAGTAACTCCTTGGTGTAGAACTTTGAGTGATCTGGACTGTATTTATAGGTGCCGTTGATTTTGTCGTTCACCTACCACGAGGGGAGTTATTGGTGCCGAGCTGAGTCCTTGCAATAACTTTTGTCATATATGCTTGGTCGCCTCTCCGTTTTGACTTTACAATCCCCCTTTATTCACTAGATTATTCTGATATTACATCTATAGGAACATCATAAAATATCTCTAGCTGTCGATTATAAACAAAAAGAATAATCAGGTCCTCGGGACTACCCGCTACTAGCTAGATAAATCGAACGGTTCGTCGGTTCTCCTTGGTGGATCCTACGCGGGGAAATATATCGGCTCTTCTACAGAGTAGCGGCCATGGTTTGCCGGCGTCGTCATCTACCTATGTATTCTCTAGCGTTGCCAGTCATATCACTCCTTAGCTATACAAAGGCTACCATTAATTATGTTTGCTGAAGTGGTGAATTCCGCTAGAGCGGTCATCTCTCGTTTTTTCGTCTCGTTATTATCTACTAGTGACCCCTGGTTCGTACAGATACAAGGTTCTAATTGCTCTTTTTCATGACATCCCCAACTCCAACACGTAATAAGCCTATCATACCAACGCGATGCAAAGTCCTACAATATGCCGCCTAACCCTTGTTCACCCCGTGCAAAAACACCAATATATGCAACGTATAAAACCTGTCTCCGTGACTATTTTCCAGTGCTCATCGCCTCCTTTATTGTCTCTATAACCGACGCCTTTGCGTGTTGCCAAATTGATCTGCTATAGCTGACATTAGGCTCCGTAATATCCAGCTCAATTGCCCAAGTTGTCCTCTTATCGCGGTTTGGCGCTACGAGGAGTGAATTGTAGCTCGTGTGGGTGACATCAACGCTTGCGAGTATCTTTGCCCTTTTTACTCTTGCTCTTCTTCTTATCCTTGGGGAGCTCCAACGCTGTACCTTCTAGCTGTTTGCCCATTATAGCAAGCATGTACTCGTCGATGCTGTGAATTGTCTCTCCCCAAGCATTAGTCTCAATCTCTTCGATTGGGTCATCTGCATCTGCGGACTCGGAGTATAGCCCAAGATTTGACTTTCCGATGCCCGGTGTAAGTGATCCATCTCGGGTTATGGGAGTGCCCAGCCTAGTACTTGAAGAGCCAGATGCGCTTCCAGTCACCGGTTTTTCAGCAAAGTCGGCTTCGTCTTCCTGTATCTCTTTCTCCGCCACGTGAGCGGCATCTACGTCTTCGCGGTCTTCAGCCTGCTCGAGAACTCGGCCGACTGTGCGTTGGTCGCTGTTCTCTACACCGCCGAGAACGCGGTCCATTGCGTCGCCGACTACATCAGTCTCGTCCGGGGTGCCGCCAATAACGTCACGCACCGAGAGCTTATTGAAGTAGTCGGTAGTAAAGCCACCCTCCTGGATTACGATATCGTCGAGCATTTGCTTCTGGCTTGCTTTGCGAAGAATATTCGCCTCGATGGTGTGCTCACTTACGAGCCGATAGATATGCACATCCCTCGTCTGACCGATGCGATGACATCGGTCTTGGCATTGCTTGTCCATCGCAGGGTTCCAGTCTTGATCATAGAAAATAACAGTATCGGCTCCAGTCAAGTTAATGCCAAGACCACCCGATCGTGTAGATAAGATGAAGCAGAGAATCCGCGGGTCGTGGTTGAAGCGATCTGTTAAAATTTGCCGTTGCTCTACTTTCGTAGCACCATCAAGTCGCAGATATTTGTGCCCATGAATATTGAGGAACTGTTCAAGAATATCGAGCACTTTTGTCATCTGCGTAAAGATTAAGGCACGGTGGCCACCAGATTGCAACTTGCGTAAGAGACGGTCGAGAGCCTGCAATTTTCCGCAATCATACTGTAGAAGCCTCTTGTCAGGGAACTGGATGCTGAGCCTCATACGGGCTTCGTGCCATGGATCAAGCGGTGCTTCTTTCTGCATGAACGGCGAATGTCGTACTGGAGCTGACAACTTGAGATTTGTCTCATCGAACATCTCCACGCCGCTGGAGCCGAGTACGAACCGGTCAAAATCCCGAGTAACGACAGCTGGCGTGACACAAGCAAACTTAGAGATAATGGTCTTCATGGATGCAGCACGCTGATCGAGCGTAGGTACCATTGATCGTAAAACAAGTGAATCCTCTTCAAACCAACTCATGATCTTCCGTGGGACTTTTGGACGAGGCTTGTGCGGTCGTATGCTGATACCAAGAGTCAGGAAGTCCGTAAGTTGTTTACCATATATTGGACGTTGTTGTCGCCTGAGTGCGTTTAGGTAGACGCAGTGTTGTAATTCCTCGAAACGACCCCATCGCGCCGCGCTCTCTAGGTACACAATATTGGACTCTACACTAGCAGGATCTAGATTTGTGTAAGCAGCCTGGGCTCGCGCCTTCTGAGCTTCGCGGAGGTCCATCAATGGGCGATGGGCGCTAAGTTGATAAACTCGATCGCACACTGATCTTGATAAACCCTCGTGGTGGGCTGGAATGAGATTGAGGAAACTCTTGCTGATGACATTCATAGGCTTTTCTTCGAGTAATTTTCCTCGAATAAGGCTCCCAGTCGCCTCGTAACCGGCTAGGACTGACCTACGTTGTCGGAAAGATGTCATGATTGGACGTTCCACGAATAGATCTGGATGGTTACAAACTTTACGTAGTTGCATGAGACAGTTGATAACCGAGATATAGTTGCCCGAAGAAAGGGCTTCTCTGGTGTCCGTACGGGATAGAAATCCATCGTACAATTCTCGCTGTCTGCGCGATAGCCGACAGAATTCGACGTGCTCGTATTTGGCTGGCATTTGTTTCTCGACGTCTGCTTTTAGACGCCGTAGAAGATAAGGTCTGAGCACCTTGTGCAGCTTGGCAATGATTGCACGAGCCTCATCGTCCATCTGTTCTCGGCCACTTTCCAAGATCTGGGACTCTGGCTTATGAAACCAGTCTTGGAACTCTGCTAAATCTGCAAACCCGCCGACCCCGTTCTCGGACGGCATCAAGAAAAACAGTAGCGACCACAACTCGGTTAAATTGTTCTGCAGCGGCGTGCCTGTGAGCAAGAGCCGTGCTCGAGTATTAAATGTGAGGAGCGTTTGCCAGCGTTTAGACTTGAAATTTTTGATGTTGTGAGCCTCGTCAAGAATCATATAATGCCATTGTCTGCGCTTGAAGACTTGCTGATCTTGTAGAACGATTTGGTAGGACGTGATGCACACATTCCACATGTCATCCGTCTTCCACCCTTGGCGTTTTCGCTTACGCTCATCAATACTACCATAGTAGGATAAGACTTTAAATCCAGGACACCACTTCTTGAATTCCATTTCCCAATTCAACATAACACTTGTCGGGACAATGACCAGATGCGGACCCCATACTTCATGGTAACAGGCTAGATGAGCTAAGAGGGCGATGGTTTGAATAGTCTTCCCAAGACCCATCTCGTCCGCAAGAATACCATTAGTTTGATTTCTATAGAGACCAGCAAGCCAATCCAAACCATAATGCTGATATTCACGCAACGTTCCTCGGAGCAAAAACGGGACATCTGTCCTCGGTACCTGATACTGGGGCGAACTTGATCTACTCGCACCTGACTTAACGACGGAAGATGCCGTGTCGACTTCTGAAGGTTTGGTATCAGACGTCCGGGGTGACTGGCTTCGATCACGGCTGGGAGGATTTGTGATTGCGTCTGTATCCGAAGTCACTTGTGGCTGATCTGACGACGTATTTGCGGCTTCGACGCTTGGTACCGCTCCCACACTCGGCTTCACTGCTGCAGACAATGTATTCTCATTAGAGTCTTCATTGACCTGCTGAACAGCTTCAATGATTTCCATTTCGACATCTTGTGCCTGCAATGGTTCCGGCACTATAGTAGGAACATTAGGATTGTTAGCTTCGCATGGGTTTTCTGGTGGTGCAGCCGTAACCGCAGTACTAGGTGGATTCGCTGACACCTGATCCTGGCTAAGAGTAGTGCCCTCAATGACATGCTCCTTTCCCTTCATTAATGCCACCGAGGTCTTATCTTGCACATCTGCGCCTTCTGGTACTGCGTCATCCTTCGCGTCCTTTTCGAATGTAACATCATCGGGGGCAATCGTCCCGTTAACAGGTACTGACTCAGGGGCGTCTGCCATTTCAACATCACGTTGAGATGGCAATTCGTCTGTTACTGCCTCCTGCTTTATCTTCTGTAGCTCAGATTTACCAAAGAGAAGGCCCAGTAACCCAGAAGGACCCTCGTCAGCCCCAGAATCTTCGTCGTCTTCCTCCGATTCGCCATCCTCTTCACTGCTGTCTATATCCCCGTCACTTGACCCTAAATCATCGTCCATGTCAACAGACTCATCCGTAGTCTCGCCTTGGTCATCTGGTGCCAAATCCGGGACATTCGCGTATTTCTGTCTTAATTGGTCTTGCGTGAGGCCTTCATTCGAACCGTTCGACTTTGCGTCGTCGTCGTCGTCATCATCATCGGAAGAAGACATATTGTCCTCATTTTCGTCCTCGTCTTCGTCTGATGCTTCTTCCGATAGCCCCTCGTCAGAACCTAGTTCATTATCCTCGCCGTCGGCCTCATCGTCTGACCCTTCTAGCTCTTCCTCATCTTCGTCAGATAGAAGTTCTGAGTCAAAATGCGCTCGACGAGCCTGCAACTTGAGTTCTGACATGCTGACAGCTTCATTCAAGGCAGCTTTAACTCGTTTTTGTTCCGCAGCTTCCCATTCTTCTAGGCGGCGTCGATTGACCTCGGCTTTAACATTCTCCCATGTCCCAGAGACAGCCTTAGTAACAGCTCTGTAGCGATTGATCCACGCCGCCTTAGCCTCGGCTTCGATTTGCTCTGTCGTCTTAGGCTGTCGACGTATCCACTCGTCCCGGCAGGCTTCAGCTAATCGCTTTGCCGTAGCTCTGTGTCTTTGCTGTTCCATTAGCATTAGCTTTCGAAAATTGGCCATTTGCTTGACAAGATGATCCATGTGTGCCCACTGTCGTGGAGGTTCTTCGACAGGTTCCGGGACAAACAACGTAGAACGCTCCTCGCTAAGTAGTCCACCAGGCTCCGTTTCAGCCTCGATTCGAATGATAACATCGGCATCTTTCTCAGCCGCCTCTTGCGTGTAAGGGTCTCCTTCGTCGACAAGGTCGAGCCAGCCGCCATCCTTGACATCTACAGCCGGCGCACGGCGTACAAAGTCGCAGAAATCAGACGCTATTTTGGCACGTGCGATGGTCTGTCCCGGGAAAACGTTGACTTGAGCTGGATGAACAGTAGGGATGCTGGGACCCTTTAAACGTAGCCGGATTTTTGTTGGGCGCAAGTTAGGGCTTTCATCAGCGGGATAATTGGAGCTGCCATCGGGAGTGTCGACAACGTCTCGGAGAGTTCTAGAGCTACGTCGTGTCCGAGCAGATCGCCTCGGCGGTGTCGTCTGGAGAGGCGGAGAAGGGGAGTGTCTTCGAGTTTTTGGCGAAGGTTTGGAGCCGTTGGTCAGAGATTTTCTTGTGTTCGGCTTGGCACTAGAAGTAGAAGCTTTGGATGGAGCACTCTTGCCCGTTGGCGCGTGCTTATGTGAACCATTTACTTGGTTACTAGTTACAGCACGTTTGTCTTTGACTGGAGTAGGGGGTTGGTGGCTGTGGAGAGCACCTCGGGTCATCCTCTTGTTACTTGGTGGTTGCAGCTCTAAGGGTATTTGGTTGGTGCGTCCAGACCTGCGTTTGCCATTTTCGGTGAAAGTGGTGGGCCCATCAGCCTCTATCCTCTTCCATGGAGGAGATTCGGGTTTCGGTCGACGGGATGCGCTTTGGGGTGTTGTATCACGTAGTCGGCGGCGTTTAGAAGGTCTCTCGTCAACATCATCATTCTTAATGGGGGTTTCGACAACTGCTTTATCCGCGTGGGTGCCATTTGCCTCGGCCTTTGTTAGGGACAATTGGTCTCTAGTGTTTTTTTCTAATTTTATGTCGGGGAGAGATGGGCTATCTAAAAGGGCGGTAGAATTATCAGAAATTAGTTGGGAGGTTTGGTCGTTTGTACCGTTTAAGTTTGTGGGATTTGTGGTGTCGTATGAAGGCGCAGACTCGGGCGACGCGGTAGCCGTCATAGCTGTCCAGGGGTGTAAGGAGAGAAAGAAGACGCGGGTCTCGACGAAATGGACATTGGATGGGATACAAATTACGTCGAGAGATAGAGAATTAACGGGAGATTATCATGACGAAGTATAAGCGTGCACAGAGCATTAGAACAATAACTGTGATGAATTTTGTATCAGAAATTGGTATTTATCAGCGGTTTGATGATGATTCAAAAATTTCGTCGGGTCTCCGCCTTGCCTTGGACAGGAATAACCCAGCTTGGTCAAAGTTCCCCAACGTAAGAGGAAAGAAATATGATCCGTGCGTAGGAGGTAATTCCCCCATCTTCTACGTACGTACAGTACATGTATACATGCATATGTATGTACATGTATAGGTACATCGCCTCTAGCGCTAAGACTACATGTAGGTACCTACCTAGGTACCTAAGGTAATATTATTACTAAGCCTACATCGTCAGTGGTCACCTTCAAGCTTCAAGCTTCTCAAATACACCAGCGACAAAGTACCCTAAGCAAGACACAATTCGATACTATCGAGGTATCGAGCCGATAATCCTTACAGTATGTTGCAATTGGCCTCGGCGACTGTCTCATTATTCATAAATAGCTAACATTATGCTCTCCAGATGCTTCCTCAGCGAATTGTAAGGGCTTCGGCTCTCCGGTCGGCATCGCTGGCATCGCTAGCATCGCGAAGATTACCCATCATCCAACAACGTACATTCCTTCCAAAGTCACTCAATGACCCCGGAGTCATCGAGGAGAAGTACCCAGATAGGTCAGAACTCACAGATGCCGAAGATCCGGACATGGTCAGTTAGCTTTGGGAATCAATCAGTCATGTTCTCATAACTGACGCATACAGAATGGTGGCTATATTAACCCCCCGCCCATTAAGCGACAGTTTCGCGATCCGTACGGGGATTGGTGGGATAAGCAAGACCGACGAAACTATGGGGAGCCGGTCCATGAGGATCATGACATTCTCGGCATATTCTCTACGTACGAGTACACATGGGTCTCCCCTGGAAAAGGACTACTGCAAATTGGCGCATTTATCGCTACCTTCGTCGGAGTATGTTGGATGGTGGGTAGGGTATATCCTGACAAGCCGTCTTTCCCTCGGGAATTTGAAGGTGGTCTCGAACGAGAACTAGGCGGTCCTGGTGCTTTGAGGGTAAGTTAATAGTTGATTGAGTTAGTAAATATGGCTATGATATTGACAATATTTATAGGCAAGAGCTCCTGGCGACCCAGAACCGTATCAGATTGAAGAGGCAAAAGAAGAATAAAGATGTTTTGTACATATATTAGGGCAGTTTTGCCCGGAGATACTAAACATGACCCAGATCATCTTGACAGAGGGACTACTAGATGAGCATGCAAGTTCGTCGAGGCTGGTCATCCTATAGACAATTGTCTCAATTTTCCCGATTTGCACGCTATAGCTACTGCAAGCTCTAGCAATTCATGTCTTCAGTATCGAGTTGATTATTAGACTATATGTTCAATATGTTCAATATGTTCAATATGTTCAATATGTTCAATATGTTCAATATGCAAGGTGCTATCCATTGCACTGTACATTAGCGTCAGGACATGAGGCCTAAATACCGTACTTTTATAATAAGTAAGGACCAAACCGTAGATCTACTATTTAAAGCTTTGATATTATTTGAATACCTAGATGTTTTAATATTTCAATTGGTATTTGTTTAAATGGTATATATTTGGTTAATTATTTAAATAGTTTATATACGTATAAATGGTTTTTTTTAACAAATAGTTTTTTTACGGTTTAAAAAGGTATAATAATTAAATAAAGAAGTTGCAAATATTATTTTATATATTTAAATAATTATAAGTTATACGCGTTTATATGTAATAGTATATTTAAATAATAATTTTATAGCTGTAACTATAACTGTAACATATTTAAATATAAAATAATACTTATTAAATTTAATTATTATATGTATGTATTTATTTTAATCTTTACATATAAATATGTAATATAATAATTTAAATATGTATAATAGTATATATAATAATATATATATATATATATTTTTTTTACCTATTATACCTTTCCGGACCGTATTAAGACCGCAAAAAGACCGTTGGTAAAAAAAACTATTTGCAAAAGAAAAACCGTTGATCCGAGACGACGTTTAACTTTAAAAATACCGTTGTAAAGCAATACCGTTGGTAGATTTGGCTACTGTCTTTCTTTCGTACTGAGATGCGCAACTATTTAGACAATTATACCGTGAATATACGGTATCAATACGGTCTTAAGGTCTTATATACTGACGCTAATGTAAGAGTTACATGTGGTGAAAGAAGAGCTATTGCTTACCTTGCATTCCAATTTCCCGAGTTCGTCACTTATAAAATCATCAGCGCATAACGACATGTCAAAGTTTCTTTCTTTTTTTATCCCCTGCTTAGCCCATACCCATACTTGCCTCTAAGTTGAGTACCTACCACGTATCGATTCTATACCGTATCCGAGCTTACCTGAGCAGATAGAGGTATCGTACCTGCCTGCACCTTCTGACAATTCTAAGAGCTCCGTAGCTTCAGCATATACATATTTGATAAACTAGGAACTCACTATGGAGCCGTCACTTTACAGGTACACCATCCACATGGAATTTCATCGACCAGGTACCTTACCTTACAGTAATCCATCTCTTAATGTTCTCCAACACTTAGAATATTCAACTGCTACAATTCACATCACCAACAACTAAATACTGCCGAACACAGATTTCATGCTAATGCCTCTCGAAGGTTATCGGCTCTATTCCAAGTTTTGTTCGTTGTATCAACCAGATATTCTTTGAGATTTCTCTACTTCGTCGTTCAGTATCCCCAGTTAGTGAAGATGCGTTTTGAGGATTGGGATGTGCTATTATTTCCCAGGGATTCCAAAATCCCAATGAAGGAGTTCAAGACTAATTGCCATGTGGTCCACGATAATGGTGAGTAGTATTTCCTATCAAGGTGCCCCATCAAGACGCTTTTGGTCCTCAGGCCACCTTCGATCCTGAGGGTCAAGTAAGATGTATCAGCATTCAGTCTCTTTGCCGTGGACGAGCTAATTTAGATGTATTCAGAATTTGCATATAGCCACGGATCGTACGGCTTACCAACCATGACATGTTTCATGCCAGGACTGTCCCCAGGCACCCAATTCAACATCTCGCTTCACTCCTGGAAGACACCCGATATCAGTCAGTTCACTAGAAGCTACAGCAAGCATCCAGAATTAGTCAAGTTCGAGGCACGAGTCTTGATCGATGGTCGTCTAGTCGCGTATGTCCTCAACACGAACGTCCTAAGGCTGAACAGACACTAACCAAACTATCCCTCAGTTCGTCAGCATTAACCCGTACTGGGCCGTGGCCTCAGCTGATCAACCATAGCTTTGGTAAGTAAACCATGCTATAAGCTAAATTTTAGCAACTAATTATGAGTAGAGTTCACCAAAAATGGTGACCTAGAAACTCTCAGGTTCCCTCCGTTCCGCAGCGAAGTTCTCCAGCAAAGCTACTGGAGCCCGGCAGATGAAATTGGAAGAATTAAAATTGTCATTAGCGAGGGGTTCCCGAGGGACTCTCTAAGTGTTCCCATCGAACGAGTCAAGAATGTTGTGGCGTTTTCGTTCCAACATGCTCCCCTTGGTAGAGAACCAAATACCCCCTATTTTGACACAGTAAGATATCCCATGCTAACATATATGTATCACAGATATTCTCGAGAGCTCTGGTATTGCGTGGCCGAATCCCGGGATGTGGCGGCGCACTCCTTTCAACCCTACCATGCCTGTTCCGTCACAGCGCCACGAAGACGGTCCGGATGCCCATCAACACTCCCCTCGTCGTCGGACGACGAGTTACATGAAAGGAACATCCAATTCATCTGGGTACAACCCTGCCCCCCCGGGGCTAATACAAGCAAATACCAACGGCTTGCTTAGCTCTATGCCTAATACCCAGGCATTGTTACAGCGTAACGAAACCGAATCTGGATCTGGATCTGGATCCGCCTGGGCAGATCCCTTCAGCACGCAAAAGTCTGAAGCGACTGCTTGCTTTGATTGGACGAATAGCAATTTCGGACCCATAGGATTCAACCAGACCACCGACAGCGGCAAGTCTAACTGTAACTATGCTTCTACTCGCAGGACTACCGGCATAAGCAAGGTGTCACGCTCTGATATGAGCATGCCTGATTACGGTTTGTGCAATTCGAACACTACTCAAAGCATATCAGATCATCAATTCTTAAACCTCTCAACGTCTAATCTTGGAGATGCGGATACAGCCACCCATAATCCCAAGGTGCCATCTAACACGCCAACGACTTTGACTGGGACAAATTTCATGGATGAGCTTAATATAGACGTGAGCAAGATCGACGCGCCTGGAGGTATCTCAGCCCATTATCTCAATAGCCACATTGTCCCTTCACAAAATGATCAAGACGTCAATGTAGTGAGCAAGGCTGACAAGTATTCTACTACAGGCACGTCAATGAACGACTTTTTCAACTCTAACCACGCCAATTTCTCGTCCGAGCTCGCAAATTCTCTTACACATTCATTGCTGAATCAACCACATCCGCTTCCTGTCTATGCCGGAAGCATTGCGCCACCAGCTCCTGAAGTGAAGTCACGCAAGGAGAATCGTCTTCACCAGGACTCCCCGAATGAAAATGTATCAACCATAGACCACGTCGAGATGCGCAAGGTATCGCAGCCATCATTCTATAACCTTGGGAAGGAAACCCAGGACAACAGCTCAAACAATTCTCCCCCTAGCCAGGGTACATTCTCGGGAGTGTTCTCTCATCGATCCACGTCAACAGCTGACTTTGGTAATGACCTCACCAACTGCACCAACATCTTTCAACACTCGAATGTAGACTCGCATATATGTGGCGACGCAGCCCCAGAGATCCGCATCACAGGCTGCCCCGACAAGGGCATCAAGCGCACTCGTCACTTCACGTCGGCTGGTGGCAAAGTGATTGATGATACCATTGAGGCACTAACCAACAGCCCCCAAGTGCAAACCGACCTCGACGAGCAATTCGGGGCGCCAATGTAATCAAAATCCCGCCGAGTGCACTCACAATAACACCCTATTTTGGAAGATCATTGAATATTCATGATTATTGGACGCGTTGGTAAGGGGGATACCTCGTCGTGGCCCTTTCATTATAGCCAATGCATTATAGACTTCTTGCTGGGAGAGCGTATCGTTAGCTTACTACCTAACATGAGAAACATGGCTACTGGTTTGTTTTTAATACTACTGGTAACCTCGAGTTGGCTTGTAGAATATTCTTGGCCTTGTAAAAGGTTTTGAACCACAGCCCATAGGACGTGGGGTTTTAATGTTATGGTATGGGAAGGGAAGCAAAGTTTGGTGTTTAGCTGAGAAGAGTATAGATAGATTAAGTCGACTTCGCGGGTACATAACTTGCAGAACAATAAATGGGAATACCACTTTTACGCGAATACTTAAATCGTAGAATTAAATCTCGGTTGAGCGCGGGGATAGCATGGTGGTGGAGGGCACCGAGGCGTTTGTTAATCGTGCTGCGGGGAAGCCGAATGCGGCGCGGTTTACGCTGCGCGAGAACGCTTCGCAGAAGAGCGGCGTGCCGAAGTATTTGCGTGTCGCGGTGCTGCTGGAGCGGAGGCCGGGCGATGAGGGGTTGTTTCTCGCGACGGTTAACGTGCGGGCTCACGTCTCCGTTTTTGCGGATGCGACTGAGAGGGTTCGGGGGATTATGGGGAAGATACCGCTGGATGATGCGGTGTGTTTTGATCCCAAGATCCCGCCGACGACGGATAAGTACCCTGTTAATAATCTAGCTTCGGTCTCGTTGGGCGAGGAGTGTTCTATTGAGAGCGGGTATGCTGGGGGGATGAGGCGGGGGTGGAATCTAGTGAATGAGATGGTTAATAGGGATGAGAAGGACAAGCTTCCTCAGTGGTTAAACAGAGTAATGACATTGGTCTTAAGTATCGAGGCAGTAGGGCACGTATGTTTGAAAGTGCACTTCGTGATCACATTTTAACCTATATGAATGTCTGGTGAGATTTATTTAATGTAGTAGGCATTGGCCTGCGAAGGAATTTCATTCGTAATAGAGTCCTATCTCCTACTTTCTTTTGTTTACGGCTAATGTATATCTAAGGACCGCAGCCCCCTCCCCTGAAATCACGATCGATATACCTAAGCCGGACTCAGTGTCTAGTCTATAATTTTCCCGGTTAGCCAAGTCCATCACTCCTCCTATCCTCGTCATATAACCTTCCAGCAAGCCTATCCATCGTAACTACCTAAGTCTACACAAGTCATAGATGAACTACTCTCCCCATCCTGTCCATTTCCAGCTTCTGGGTTATCACCTGGTGGTGTATCTATTTCATGTGAATCTTGATCATGTCGCGAGAATACATGAAGTCTAGGGTGTGTCTCCTCATAGATCCAGTAGCACTTGAAGCAGAGCCAATACTTAGGGCATGTGCCACAACGATATCCCGTCCCGTATATATCCTGCCAACAGTCAGTATTGAGTCCAGGTATGATCAATAATGAACTTGTAACTTACACAGAAGCACGAGTCGCAGAGGTCATCGTTCACTCGTTCGGCAGCTTCACTAGGTAACTCCTCATCATCGGCATCGCCCCCGTCTTCTGGGAAGAAGTCTAGGTGTTCTGTCTTTCCGTGGTAGATAGCAACGTGGCGAGGAGCCCACCTATCGTGAGTTTTGGCTTCTTTATTAGCTCCATAATTAATCAAGGACCTCGTGGCTTGTATGTTATCTTGTCGACAAGTCCAATGGAGTGGGGTCCAGCCATCACGATCTGGGGCATTGATCAAGTCAGGGCATTCTTTTAATATCTTCTCAATCGTGATATACCGGCCGCCGGCTGCAGCATGGTGAAGAGCATTACGCCCTTGCTTATCTGTGCTTCTGAATGTAGAACTTTCTGTAGTTAGCAAATCGATTCTTGTATCAGTAGGGCATCGCCGTGCTGCGAGATGAAGAGGGAGTCGCCCTAGGTCATCCGCAACATCTCGAGAGACTCCAGGCAAATTTACTATCTTATTGAAAATTTCATCGTCTTCGACCACGCAAGTTGCGTTCAGAACCGTTCCATAAGTGCCACTCGAGATTGTAGGATCAGCTCCGTGTGTGAGAAGCAAATCCAACATCTTTTCTCGAATGCTTGGCAAGCCCCAGTCCATTGCTAGTTGGAGAGGCGTGGTGCGATAGTCGTCTACTTTGTTGAGATCTACAGGCGTTATCATGTTGTCCAATAGCTCCCGAACAATTTCTAGATTATCATTGATAACGGCCATGCCAATAGCTGAGCCATACGCGACGTCAAACTTTGAGATCATAAAGTTGGGATCTGCGCCGAACTCTAGCAGAATTTGTATGTTCTCGAGCTTTGAAACATACGTCGCCGCGACAAGAGCTTCGTTGATCTCTAAGAGGAAAGCGTCCTCACTGACTTGGAGCTTGAGGTGCTCGACATATGCTCTAATAATATTAGGAGAGCATTCATGGGCAAGTCCAGCAAGGAAAGAAACCCCAGCTTTAAATACTGGGTATTGAGGTGGTATTTTAATGCTCTCAGGCAACACTGCCTGTGCTCCGTGCTCTAGGAGGATTTTGAAGCACTCAATATCGGCTTCCGCTGCTTGAAATACTAGAATATCAAAATTAGCCAAGCGTCTGGCTCTGAGGAGGGATCAATGTAGGAACATAAATTCCAAAGAATGGCTCTGAAAGGGGTTTAAAAAGTAATACTAAATTGTACTCACAAGGTGTCCTGCCAGATCCGCTTACTATCTCAAGATCTGCTCCAGCATCTAGCAACAACTTTAGACACTCAGACGCGCCTCTCCAAGCAACATTTTCAATGGCAGCACAATTATAGTTATCTGTGCGGTTTATATCCGGCATGCGAGCGAGCAAGATTCGAGTCACTCTTGGATAATAGTTCCAACAGGAGACGTGAAGTGGTGTATCGCCGAACTCATCTTGATGGTTGATATTTGCGCCAGCATCTAGCAGGGTATTAACAATCTCGTGGTAACCGTAACGTGCCGCAGATATCAGTGCGAGCGATATCGTTTCTTTGGAACTTCGTGGGATTAGTTGCTTTACTACGCAGATTAAGCCCTGCATAGCCGCGTATCCAAGAGGGGGGATCAAGTCGTTATCAAGATGGTCAACAGGTGTATTTCGCTTCAACAATTCTTCGATCACCTCTTGGCTATTGTAGTCACAAGCATCATGCAGTAGTAAACTACCATCGTCTCGTATTCGGTCAAGCTGTGCGCCGTTGTCCAACAAGTAACGGACCATGTCTATATCATCCACTATCGTGGCTCTAAATAGGGGATCAATGTCGTTCTCATCAGTGATGTGTATGCTAGCCCCGATGTTGATCATAGATATTACCAGGTCCATATCACCAGTCATTGCTGCGTACATTAGAGCGGTTCGTTTTCGAGAGTCAGCTTGCGCGTTGATGATTTTCGAGAGATTTTCGGCGTCATCGCTGCTGTCCTCTCTATAACCCGGAAACTGGTTCTGAAGAGCTTCAAGTAATGTTGCGGCCGTCTTTTTGTACCGCTGCCCTATATAATACCACCTTACTGTAGTGTATAATGGCGTTTGGTGTTGTGCATCTGTTGCAATGAATGCGCCATGCTTAATAAGTAGCTTACAGATCGAAGCAAATCCACGCATACTTGCAGTATGTAGCGCAGTTATGCCGTTGGCGATTGGGAGGTTGACGTCTGCCCCCGCGTCGAGCAGCAGACGTACCATGTCTATGAGGCCGAGTTGACAGGCAACATGAAGGGGACTATTGTTGCGGTCTAGAAAGCCTGTCTTAGCCCGCGCGTTTACATCCGCGCCGGCGTCCAGAAGTACCTGGACCATCTCCTCATTGCCAGTTAAGACGGCCGTATCTAAGAGTGTAGTAATATCCGAGCCGATTCGGAAAGTCCCGAGAGGAGTTGCTTGGTAGTCTAGCAATATTTTCACAATATCAACGAAGCCCCAGCTAATCGCATAGCTCAACGCCTCGCATGATACTTCTCTAAGATTGACCTGATCCTCGAGTTTTCCGAGCAAGTCAACTAGGAAGGATGAGTTATTGTGTAGAACAATAGACATAAGTAGACAGGATATATCGTCTAGTGTAGCTTCTTTTTGATGCTGGAGGAGTGCTTCTATAACTTGAGGGTATAAAGCGACTGACCCATGCATATCTAACTTTGTGAAGTTAGCATAAACCCAACGACCGACAGCATCTTCTGCTGGGGAGGTAGGGAAGTGTATCAGATCTAGGCATGCCTTGCTAGGCCGACTGTCAACCAGTTGTAATGTCATTTCAAAAGCATCCATCTCACTCATATTGACCGCCTTCCTCAGGTCGGGTGGCATGCGTTCCTGAGGTATTTTGCAGATTTGATCAAATGGCCATCTACTATAAAATCTCAAGGTGAGCAATTCCTGCAGGCGATTTGGATTTGTTATCCAGGGCCCCGGCCGTGGGCTCGCAGCTGCATCACTTTGTGGAGAGAGACAGTGCTCACACCAGTACATGGAAGCATAGGAGGATAACCAGAAAATACGATCATCCAGAAGAGCATCCCGTATATTACCTGGATAGGATCTGGCGCGGCGTTCCCATTGGACAATTGCTTTCAGCGGTGACTTGTCCGAGATACCAAAACGCTCTATGAGGAGGCAAAGATAGTGGTAACAAGCCAGCGCAATTTCCGAGTGGTAATCCTCGAGATAGTACCAGTCATTTGGGTTACGGCGGAGGAAAGACTTCAGTTCATCGTGAACCACGTATACCTTTCCTGAGTGAATTCGTACTATTCCTGGAAGTAATTCCCGAATATAGGCTGCCGTTCCAGGTGCAATGCTCTTTTGGAGTTGCTCGAGACTTTTGCAATCAGTTACGGCTACAGCAGTTGCGAGTTCGCCTATGGACATGGGCCTCATTGAAAAGCATAGAAACCCGAGGACTTTACGTGCCCAGGTTTGACAGCTGTGGGGAACTTGATCGAATATAACGCGAAATGCCATAGCAGTTGAGGTAAAATCATCTGCAAGGCGAGCCAGGGCGCCCGGGATAGGGATGTGAATGAACCGCAACGCGTCTAACAAGAAATCCATTAACTTGTGATTCGACCCATGCTCGTTTAGTAACTGGGAAATTTTCTCCTTGATATCGGAAATTCGAGGTTTGGTAGTTATAATCAGATCTAATTGCTGTTGAAGATCCTTCTCAATAGATTCTCTTAGGATATCGCGATCTAGAAATATTTGCGAATGTATTTTTGACGGTGGAAGGCCAATTCTAGACATCGAGCTAGTAACGATAATTACTTTCCGCGAGCCTTCGTCTAGTTTGCAAAAGAATTGCAGTTGTTTTATTATTTTCAAGAGGAGTGTCTTCTCGGCTGGAGTGCCTTTTGTGTGAATAATCCAAAAACATGGGCTGTCAGAGCGAAGAAAGGCTAGCCTTAAGCATTCCCAAAGTCCTCGGACTCTAAGCTCAAAGTTTAGGTTGTGCACGGCGTTTATGATCCGCTCGGAGGATCTACTCATCTGCTGGTATAGTTTAGGGCGCTGCTTCAGTATTTGGACAAGGCAGCTTGATAAAAGTCCCGTCTCCGTCAAGGAGGAGGGTTCAGTGGGAGTGAGCGAGGAGCAAGCGATGACAGCACCAGGGTATTCCGCTATGGTTTGTCGAATCGCGTTACTGAAACAAGACAAAAACTGATTTCCGTCAACCTCTGCTTCGATCTCTAGTGAAACAAGATCTGCTCGATCGTCGTAGATAGGAGACTTCAATGCCTTTGATCGGATAATAAAATCAGCAAGGCTATTGAGACGTCCCAGTGTCTGGAAGTCCATTTTAATTCCGTCTGACTGGATAGATAGCCACTGGATGAGTTCACGATATCCTCTAGAGACATCTAAACTTGTGTTAGCGACTACGAGGTGGCTCATACAGCAAAAAGAAGAAAAGAAAAGAAAAGAAGAAACTTACATATCTGGGCGTCTGAAATACGCTCTATAATGTAGTCTTCCGCAGGGGATTCTTTCACAAAGAAACTGAGCTTGTGATGCGTTACGTTGCGTCTGATGTTCGTAATATTGAAGCCTTGTAGCTCTGCACAAGATTTGTGGACTGTCTAACTCGCGGGTTTAGCGACAATTGCATGATACAACTATTACAGGAAAGACATTCAGCCTACCAGAACTTCGGAACTAGACTCGGGCAAATCTTGGACGTAGTTGAGAATCCTGAATTCGTCCGAGATCTTATTGAAATCTAGATGGAGCTTCTCTAGATAGAGCGATAACTGGCGGATACGATCTGGGAGCCAGGGACCCCATAATCCTTCATAGGTATTTTCAATGATACGTAATATCGTCATTTCCCAGCTGTATACCTCAGACTCCTGATGAGGGGTCCCAAAGAAAGCCTAAGGAGGTAGTTAATGTGCCGGTCTGATAAATGAAGACATTGTGGCTTACCAGGAGCGAGGTTCTTTCATGTAGTTTTTGGTACTTGGCAAGCGATAATGTTTTCAAGAGAGCCTACCAACGATCATCAGGAACGGTCCAGGCTAGTAGATATCAAATAGAAAACCGACAAACCTTTTTCACGATCATACCACCAAGATCAGCCGACATAAAACCAAGACTGAGCTCGGACAAGTCCTAGTAGGTATAGTTCAGCGATGATATCTGACTGGCAATAGTCTCGGAAAGGGGACATACAACTTTGATATCCGCTGCCAAGTTCAGAACACGATCCAGTAGTTCCTCAACTATATCATCCAAGCTTTCTATTGACCCCTTCTCGCCAAAAAGTCTCTCCGGTTTGAAGGAAAAGGTTCTGACATGTGTCCACCGTTCTACCATGACATTGTTATATACAGTCGGGTACTTCATACTAAATCCTGGAACCAATATCATTAAGCCATTAGATAGGATAGGATGTGGAGCGGGTTCTTCTGGAGAATCGCCCCCGGCCTGGGAACCCGGTGTATCGTCATTCTCGACTACTAGTTCTTCATCTTCATTCGATCCCAGTACAACTTCAATTGCAACGCCAGATTCGGCTTCATTACCCGAGTTGTCCATGCTCACTCTCTTCCGTATAGAAGGCAAGCTAAGCTGAAGATAGGCGATGGAGCATAAGCGGGAAACCGTAGATGATTTTGTAGTTACGTAGGTAGGTACGTGGATTCAGGTATTTCTCCGACGCTCAGACGAGTTTCCGCCTCGTTTTTAATCCAAGAATAGGGTTTCACGAGAACAAGATATTACAAATTTGAAGACCTTGGTGAACAGAGGTCTATGAGGTTTGCCTGGCCATCTAAAAGACAACACTCGAGGAAGGACATTGATCAGCTCGAACACAAATTAGGATATAAATGGGGATCGCCTCTACCCAACTAATTTTGCTGCGTATGTACCCTATTCGTACATTTGTCGGGCATATCAGATCAGCTCTCAGCCATAAGATTTATGGGGAAGTTGGTTAGCTTGGCTCCCAATTCCTGTTGTGGAAGCTTGATAGGGGAGTACTACATAGGTATCTAACCTAGGTATGTAGGTATGACATATGTAGACATATGTAGAGGTTTGGCCCGCGACTGGTTAGATGTCACCCTAAATCCCATCCCCCGCTTTGTTCCCCGTCTAAATATTGTGCGAGTTTTTGAATCAATCAAACTAGGTTAGGTACCTCTTATATCTGAAGAGGTCTAGAAGACTTCACAATGATAGATGGTCCCACGGGCATTGGGATAGAATTTTTATTCCATTTACTGAGGCCAATCTAGATGATGCAGATGAGGAGGAGGTGGTGGTGGATATTGATGACGGCGAGCTAGATTTTGCCATTGGCAGGTCGGGCACAATCGACATCCGGACTGAGCGTACCAAGCTCCTAACAGAAGTTAGCAAAGAGGTCAGGTTCGACGATGCGGACGTGATTGAAAAGTACCGGGCCCGAGTACGTTTGTGCCTCAAGGACGACAAAAACGTAGAAGAACCAACTTTATTACACTATATCGTGTTAAGCCTCCTCATCTTCCATGAAACTCAAGACGCAATGAACTTCATAGTCAGGTTAGCTTTACAGGAAGCGCCCGAGGACCTGGCACATCAAACGAAGGGACCGCTGGAGACTCCACTACATGTAGCGATAAAGCGAAAGAAAATCCCGCGAAACTGATGTGCGAGATAGCACCGGACGTTGCGGCAAAGGCTATATCATTGCAGAATGAAAATGGCGAAACTTGCTTGCACCTTGCTATCAAGGAAAACCTGGACATGGCCCCGTTCCTGATTAGCAAGGCGCACATTGCTGCATTTCGTCAGCAGCGTAGCCAGAAGATACGGCATGGCGCCGGGAATACGCCTCTACACGATGCAGTACACTTTTCTCGTTACATTGCAGAGGTCCCAACTTGCTCTCCAGAAAGAATTCCAAAATGTAGACGTTGTCGGGAAGCTGAGAAGAAGATTACAAGGCTCTATGCGCAACATTTAAATGGTTAAAGAAAAAAAGGGGTGAAGCAAATAGTCAAGTTGGTTGTTAAAGATAATCCGAATAGGAACTGTAGTGATGAGACCATTGATGCATGTCTCGACGGGTTTGATATTCGCTATTCGCTATCTTGATTGGAATAAAGCCGACTTGTGCGTCGATACTATACGCAAGAAAGCGCCTAATGTAGCACATATATGGCTTCATTCCAGCGGTAGCAACGCTGGTAAGTTCTCTTCCTGTATTTCATTTAGCAGTAGTGTATTAGAGCACGAGAACTCACATTTCGATAGTGCTTTGGTCCTGGTCTGATAGCAGTGGTCTCCGAAGCTTACCAAAGGTAAGGCCCCTATCCCTATGACATAACAATAACTAACACCAGGGCGTAAGCTAAGCCAAGTTTACCTAAATGCTAGGAAAGGGTTAGAGAGTTATAAGCTAAACGAAGAGAATATATATAACTTTAAAGAACGTTTAAGACAGGCAGTCAATAGTCTACACCCGTCAAAGATAAAAGTTATAGAATCGATTGAGAGACCGCCGAAACCCCGAATTACTCCTCGTCTCGATAGCAGCTTCGATGTTAGGTCACAAGAGTACGTTCTCTTTGCTCCAATCATAACCTCCGAAGAAATACTAACAATAGGTTCTCATAGCCGTCATCATTGGATGAATAATATTAGAGATTTCGCGGCCGAGCTTCGGACGGAACTTGGGGTTAATTATAACCAACGCAGGCCAAAGGTCGCTATAATCGACGATGGTGTGAATCCTGAAGGAGAATTCCTAGGCCAGAGGATTGCTCATGGCTGGCCTCCTGACGAACCAAAGTCAAACTCTGAGCCGTTCTATGCCTCCGCGCGAGGCCACGGAACGCAGATGGCCAAGCTTATTTGCCACGCATGTCCCTTCGCTCAGTTGTACGTCGCTAAGCTCGACGGTTGGAAAGACCCGGACCTCCCCCACCCTCTCAACATCGTCGACACGAACAAAGTGCACTACCTCTTCCCGGGGGAAGTCATCCTCGAGAACGACAACAAGACCATTACCGGAAGTAGCGCGGCCACCGCTCTAGCCGCAGGGACCGCCGCCATGATTCTCTTCTGCTACGAGCTCGGCTACGGCAAGATGGAGACCATAGGTAGCTAAGCCGGGACGCATGGGCCAGTTGTTCAACAGCCTGAAGAAGTCGACGAAATACGTCGATGTTGAGTCGATCCTCAAGCCGGGACAGACGCCGGAACTCGTTGTTAAGGAGTGCGCGGCGCGCGTAAAGGAGATTAGGGACGAGGAGAATCTCCGCGCGGCCCCGGATCATCGGACTTCCGGTGGGTTAGATCCGAACGGGTCGACGGCTTCATTTGCGCCCCCGATAAGGAGGACTACTGGACATTTGGTTGTCTCCGGAGGGCGGTAGTTGATATAAGATACGGATTGAAAAGTTGAAGGTATCCGACATGCTCCTTATTTAAACTCAAGTTTTAAATATAGATAGGATAGTAGAAGGGGAATAGTGTTCGACTAGAACGTAACATTTCCCTGATAAGAAGGGATGGGGAGAGACTAACAGCCTTCATCCCTAGAGACGAGTCATTAATAATAATGATATTAATAGAATATACAAGCAAACAGAGCAATACCGAAGCTACCAGATACCTTATATATACTCCGCCGATGCGATCTACAACGCCTACCAGCTAATTTTCAATCTTCGGTATCTGTTTAGATGGATCGCTAATATTCCATCTTCCTCTATGTACAGTCACTCACTCCATCTCATAAACTCGATCCTATAGATAACACAGGTAGCAAACTCGAACGAACAACCTACATGGTACCTAAGTACATATTCTACACACCACTATACAGCCCCTTTTACACAGCTTGTACTAGAACACCCAAGTAAAATCCGTACTAGGTAGCCATAGGCAATATCTAATTTACCATACCGCCCTGTCTCGGCCTTCGAACGCGAAGTTCAGCACAACTCCCACAAAGAGTGCCGCGCATAAAACGCTCGGTCCCAATCTGTCATAATACTTAATAGCTTTGCGCTCACGAATTCCCTTACTTCGATATAGGTAGATACCAACAGAATAACAGAGCGACAAGACAGCTAGAAAGGTGAAGAGCCCAGATACGATAAATGAGAGCTTGGTCGGGTGTGTGCCGAAGTTAAGCAATGTGACAGCAATGGTGCCAATGTAAATCGAGAATTCGAGCTAGTAATTCGTCAGTAATATCTATCAGAGTCAAAATAGGATTACCTACCCAGCTGAGATAGGTCCTTTCCGCCGCGAAGTAGACCTTAGGTTCGACTCTAACAGGCACGTAAATCTTCTTGCCCTTCGGGGCTCTGAACTTCTTCGTCTGGACATTCTGGTCACCGAAGAACATTTGTGTTCGGTTACTACGAGGCACGGTTGAAGCTCGAGGACGTGGTGTTATGGCCATTAGAACTGACCATGCCCCTTGACCAGCCGCTCTTGCGTACTTCTTAGCTAGAGTTGAGTAGTAGGTCCAGCCGCCAACCCTTCTTGCCTCCTCAAGCGCATCCTCTTCATCTACTTCGTCATCCGAGTCATACAAGGGGTAATCTTGGTTCGCAACCGTGCCCTCTGCCGTCTGTCCCTCGATATCCCCTAACTCGAGAGCTTGGGCACCCCGCGACAAGCCATTTCCGTGACTTGAAGGACCTGCAGATCCAGTGTCGGTAGTATCTTCGGCATCCGAATCAAGGTCATCATCATCATCATCGTCGTCGTCGTCCGAGGTCGTGCCGCTAGTATGGGAATGTGTCGGCCGGTGAATGCCAAAGTTGTGAGTTGCCGGTTTGCGAATATCTACGTCCATCTGCGGCATCCAGTAAGGAAGAAGATTGATTCGGTCAGGGAATAATGAAGCCGTGCCGTGAATGAACTTAGAGAACTTGGGCACAGCTTCTACAAGGTGGCTTGAAATGAGTTGACGAACCCACTCGGGGGGCTCTTGTCCATGTTGGGTTTGGAGTTTTACTTCCAAGACGGCGTAGGGAAAACGCACGACATCTCCAGCAGGTAGCTGTGAGAAGGGATAATCAATCCCGATGTCCATTCGCCTCCAATTATCACCACTCCGCTTAACGCCATCGAGGTTGTCCTCTCGTATCATTGTAAGCTCAGTATCGAGTGAAATTCGGACACGAGCATCGGCGGGCAGTTGGAACGCAGTTCGATTGTAAAACGATCTGCAAACCGGCTTATACCCATTCTTCAAGACTGAGTATTGAACTTCCTTTGCCAAAGTCTCATCCTCGGCAATGGCTTTTTCGGATTTCTTACCGTCCTTTCGAGCCTTTTCAAAGAGGGCTGCCGGAAGTAGGTCTCCCCTCAAGTATGCGTTGACGTTCTTCTCCTTCATAGAAAAGCGAGCTTTTACGGACTTTTCTCCAGTCCAGTCTTCGCGATGGGTCTTACGTTCCACGAAAATAGTATCGGTTTGCATGCCACCATACCATCTAAGACGGATAGCTTCAGCACCCTCCGTCTTCTTTAGTCGGCCTTCGTATAGATCCCATTTCTCTGGGTTATCAAAGTAGATGGAAGAAATAGCAGAATCCTGCGGCTCAAATTCCTTGCTCGCATTGAAGACAAGCACTGGCAGATGCTTCAGGATGATCAGCTTTAATTCAGTGACATTGTCTGGATGCACCCAGTATTTTGTCGTCTGGCGGACGAAGCTGCCCTGGGTACCACCGGCAGCGCTATCACCTGTTACGGGATTGCCACGCGTCCTGACGTGGTTGTACATGTTGGAGAGTTTCACTACTTCGGCGTCGAAATCCTCATTATAGAAGGGCTTGTTCTTGAGTGCGGTATCGAACGAGGGTCGGAGGTGCCAGTTGGTCATTTTCTACAGCATCGGTTAGTTTCCCTGAGAAGCGGTATACTCAAATAGGTATACGAACATCATGTTTCTTGATTATCTTGTAGAACCCTGTATAATTCAATTGGACATACTTGGCGAGATCGTGGACGTCAGCAATTATATCGCTCAGGTCTTCCTCAAGCAGTATGAATTCCTCTTCGGAAGGTCCCTGCTCTGTCAAGCCTCGCTCGGTAACTTTGGCGACGACCTCCTTGACCTCCCGTTCGCTGACCGCTATACGACGTTGGATCTCCGACTGCTTGACCTTGGTCTTAGTATAGACCTTATCGAGTTCCGCATACAGTCTACTAATAAACCTCTGCTCGTCCTCTTCCGTCCACCTGTTTTTCTGCTGACTCTTGGCTTTGGCCTTGCCCTTCTTGCTTCCGGAACCTGAGGGGCTTTCGTCCACCTCTACAAGCGGCCCGGAGGCCGTCTTGAGTTCACTCTTCAGTCCATCGTAGTCGATATAATACCATTGGTATTCGCGAATAATGCTAGAGCGGAGCTGCTCGCCGAACTTCATGACGATTACACCCGGACGAGCGCGCCACCTATCCTTAGTATCACGGTATCGAGTCGAACGCCAGGTGGTCTTCCTTGTAGCCAAATCTTCAATAATTAGCATGGAGAAACATAAATAGATGCCAAACACACTAGTAGGAACATACGAAACAAGAAATAGTCAGTATAGGAAAAAAGAGAAAATGTATTCCCAAGCCCCCAATGCCAACAGGAGTATCAATATTATATCGCGTGACTATGCTCGCAAAAAGAAAAGAGGACAATTAATAATAGCATGCAGAAAAGAGAGCAATTGAGGAGATCGTACGAGGATCTTGAAATTAAATCCGTAGACTATGATAGGTAATATGCGCGTAGTGCAAAGAATATATGTACAATGCGAGGTTGAAAAGCTGCACGATCGATCTGTTGTAGCAGTGAAGCTTGGAAACCTCGCGTCATGATAACAGGGACATTCCCCACTTGTCGCATATCCACAGCGGTACAGTAGCAGAATTTGACCGTCCCTACCGTCTAGCAGCCATTGCCCAATCAATTAGAGTTGGGCTAGCACGTGTCAGCCCGCTGAATGTCCAAACTCCCAGCCTGGATTTTAGCGGCTCCAACGGTGTGCTTTAGCGCTTATGATCGCTGGAGGAAGCTACCTAGCTTCACTAAAAAGAAAGAGGAAATACAGTCTAAATTTCATTCCCTCACACCGTACATATAGAATTGATCTCACTTTATAGCTTATCGGAACCCTGAATTTTCTTCGTTACCCCACCATACCTACCCCCCTATCTCGACGAGCTACACGAGGGCATAGCTACATCGCGAGAGCCTATCCTTAGGTACCTACCTTTTTATAGATTATAGATCTATAGGATCCAATAGGGGGGGGACCATGACAGCAAAGAACGACAGCATCGACGCGCGCATACCGGCCTCGTGCCCGGCGTCTGTTTCCCAGATCCTATACCACGCCTGGCACCACGATATCGCGGGGATCAAGCCCCTGTTAAACGTGCCAGGTCGCGCGAGCGTCCAGGAACCCAAGACGGGCGAGACGCCCCTACATGCTGCGATCCGTGCCTGCGCGCCTGCGAACCGGGGCGCACTAAGCGACGACGCAAAGAACGTCGAGGAGCATGCTAAGACTGTCGTGCACGAGCTGTTCATGAGCGGCGCCATCTGGAATGATGTGGACAACAACGGCGAGACACCGGGGTGCGTGGCCGCGCGCCTCGGGCTCAAGGACTTGTATACTCTATGCGTCGAGGCCGGTGTGCGAGCGGAGCTGTTGTTCGGTTTGCTGGGTGGGTATGAAGAGCTTGAGTCTGACGACGGAGACGAGGAAGAGGAGGAGGAGGAAGAAGAAAAAGGAGAGGATGGTACCCAAGACGAAGGAGAGAAAGACGTAGAAAATATAAACGGCGACGGCGTGGACGGAGATATAGAAGTTATAGTAGACTCAGACCGTGCCTTCGTCCCACCGAAAGGCACCGTCGGGCCTAACGTCAACAGCGCAGACTACCTACGCTCCAACCTGACATATAGCGACGGGAAGCTAGTCGACTCGGCCCAGAACGGCGTGATGAGTATGTACCTTATCTACCTAACCTAATGGTTTGGCCTTTTCCCCCTGCTATAGGCTAACCCCCTTTTCTCAAACAGTGGCCTGGGAAACATCCATTATGCGCGCCTCCGTCGACGCGCTCCTACCCGACCTCCCTGCCGGCCGGAAGATCCTCAATATCGGGTTCGGCATGGGCATCGTCGACGGCATGTTCGCCGAGACGCGCCCAGCAAAACACCACATCGTCGAGGCGCACCTAGCCGTCCTCGAACACATCAGCAGCTCGGACTCTAAGTTCGGCAAGGAATGGGAAACCAGCGGTCCGGCCGAAGGCGCATTCAAAGTCCACGGCGGTAAATGGCAAGAAGTGGTTCCCAAGCTACTAGAACAGGGCGAAACGTACGACGCCATCTATTTTGACACATTTGGCGAGGACTACAGCCAGCTACGCATGTTCTTCACCGAGTACGTGCCCGGGTTATTAGAAGAGCAAGGCAGTTTTGGATTCTTCAACGGTCTAGGCGCCGATCGGAAGATATGCTATGACGTCTACACGCAAGTAGTCGAAATGCATCTCAGCGATGCAGGCATGGATGTAGAGTGGCAGGAATTGGATGTGGACATGAAAGATTTGGGTAAAGAAGGAGAAGGAGAATGGCAAGGTGTAAAAAGACGCTATTGGACTTTAGACAGTAAGTCAATCCGCGGTCTGGTCTTGCAACGTTTTTTTGAAGCAAGCTAACCTGTGTGATAGAGTATCGACTACCGACCTGCACCCTGATGGGCTGAACTCCGTGCCACATTTTCTAGTCCCGTAGCCAGACACCAATTGTTTTTTGCGTTGTTTGGACCATATTCTCTATGTCTATCCTTCTAAGGGACATACCGTTATCTTTTTTTTATTTTGCAGTTCTACTACGCTACCTCCTCGCACGATCTCGTCGTTCATTTGAAATTTTCGGGGTGCAGAATACCAGCAAGGTTACCCTTTTGCACTCTCTTCAGCGTAAGAGCGGCAATAACAGCAGCGCCGACACCGCTTCCATCTTCGGCGGCGAGGATCTCGACCGGGTCTTCTTCTCTAGGGTTTTTCTTAGCCGGCCAGTCGAGAATCTCTCGGAGAGCTTGTGCGCCTCGTGCCTTGAAATGCGGGTATTTGTTGAATACGGAGCCGTCGGCGCCCACGTGGCAGGGCTGAAGGTCCTTCTTGATGCAGATAGCAGCAACTCCACAAGCCGACAGGCGAGCCGCACGTGTGCCGATCAGTTCAGCGGTTCGACGGACTAGCTCGAGTTCGGGACGAGTGCAAGTTAAGTGGAGCTTGTCATGAAATAGGTCTGCGGTCTCTTGCAAGTTCTCGAAAGGATCACTACGTAGGGTCGGTTAGCAGGATAGAATTAGAATGTTTATAGCCCGTCTATAACTTACTCTTCAATGGCTGAGAGGAAGGATGAATCAAGGGTGTAGGGTTTTCGGAGGTATTTGATATCCTGTCCCTCAAAAATATGAACATCCTTGTTATCATGCAAGTCAACTAAGACTAAGCGGAAGATTTCGCCAAGATAGAGACCGGCGATGCACTTTTCGAAAGCTTGCTGGCCTGGTCGAGGGGATTCCTTGTCGACGATGATATCATAAGGAGTGCGAGGGAGGACCTTGTGTTCATTATCAAAGGCACCCCATTCGCAATTGATCGCCATCGGCAAGTTCGGGTCTAGGTTCATGTGGGCCAACTTTGGGATGGAGCCGCAGTTCTCCATATATGCGGCATTGCAGCCGGTTCCAAAGATGCATCCAATAGCCATCTTCGGGTCGGTATAGGCGGAAGCAATAAGAGTTCCTGTTGTGTCATTAATCAAAGCTGAGACTTTGATAGGGACACCCTAGGATTTCGTTAACAACTGTGTCCGGGTATTGCCGTTATTCGATCCGACTTACCTGTTGGTCCAGTGCAGCTTCTAACATCGGTACAACATTCTGGCCTTCCACGCCTTCGATATCAAAACCCTTGGTCCATCGCTGTAGGATACCCTCATCAATGTAGTTCTGAGTGGCGGGGTATGAGAAAGTAAAACCAAGCGGGATCTTCCCCTCTGACAACGGAACCTCACCGTGGTGGGTTTCGATGAACTGCTTCAAGCAGTCGGCAATGTACTCCCACAGCTCATCAGCGTCGCCAGTCTTTAGCTCTTCGGGCATACGGTATTTGGACTGAATGATATCAAACTCCGACTTGTTCTCCGTTAGGGTAATCTCACAGACACGGAGGTTGGTACCACCCATGTCTAGAGCCAAGTAAGTGCCTGTCTCAGTTCCATCTGGGAAATCCATAACCCAAGTTGGGTTCATTGGCTATGTTGCCCTTAGGTTAGTTTACTTGTTTCTAAGGGATACTATTTCCGTGTCTAGAGCTTACAATGCTGCCACCCTCTACACTCAAGCCTATCGTGCTGTTAGTATCTATTTTATAATGTACTTAAGATGAGCATATTTACCCTTTGCAAGCTCGGATACGAAGTGCTTCGTGATTTCCTTAAGTTTAGGTTTTTCAACAGTGAATTGATCTTCTAATTTCTTGATTTCGGAAAGAAGATCTTTGGGCACATCGGCCATAGACCCTATAATATCCCATGTCAGTAAATATGCAGATATCTATTTAGAGGTGAAAAGAACCATCGATGTCATCATTCGAGTTGACTTGGTGTTGGTGGTGGTGATATGTATGAAGGCGCGTTACACGACCAAGAGCGTGTCCAGATTCCATGGTAATGTTCAGATAATATTTCTATGATATGAAAAGAGGGAGAATGCGAAGGGAGCTTCACTAATATGTGAGGACGGCGAATGTGTGAATATTTTGCAAGATTGTATGCTAAGCAAAAGCTAGGGCAAATACAACCCAGACTCGAGTTCCAATCACGCTCATATTCGGTTGGTGATCTTTTGAGCAGATTTCATAGCATTGGATAGCTCCTAGTAATTCTCCTATGGAAGGAGCAAAAGTGCTATGGTCTACCATTATGTGTAGTAACTGCCCTGTAATTGAATGACGGATTCTTAAAGGAGGAAGGTCCAAAGAGTGTCAAGAGTGGGTAGTGTAAAAAGGGGGTTAGACGAACACTAGAACTGAGCTTATAAGGGATGGAATGATAGTTCTAGCTCTAGCATGTCGTCTCGAATAGAAATAAAAAGAGACTTATATCAAATCTCACATAGGGAAATTTGTACGTACCCTTTCGGGATGGTGGCTTGCGAGGACCGAGACCGACCATCTTGATAATATATTTGTATTAAAATTCAAGAGATGTTACTCTGTATTAAGGAAGTATATGGGAGGATGGATCCTAGATTTCTGAAGCCTTATATGTTAGTATAAGCAATAAGCAGGGAAATGATACGATCCAAGAAAAAATTCAGAGCAAGAAACATAGAGGGGTGAGCATCAGACAAACAGCCCTAGCAGCTCCATATATTAATACCTAAATAGAGAAAGCTATCTCGGAGCTAAACAAATAGGAAGGCTGAGAAAAGATTCGAGGTGACAATTAAACTTACTCAGCTCAACCAGATTTTGACCTAATAATAATATATGTATGAATATGCGGGTAGGGCGAGGCAGCGAAAAGAAAGAGATAACATGTAGGTAGTAGGTGGTATTGGAGCTTAAGGTCTTTTCAATGATGAGGGGAATTAAAGTTGACGAAAGTGCCCCTCCATCCTCGACTATCGACCCATAATATCATGTTCGATTGGGTCGATTGGTTCTACGACAATTCTAGTAGTTCTCATTGGTTTCTAAGCTGATCTAGTTGGGTGGATCTAGGTCGCACTTAAAAAGTCGGGCATACCTTTAGGTACATAACTTCTATGCTATAAGTACTCTGATGTAGTTGAAGCCAAGTTCCAACAGGTTTATTAC